CCAGAAACATAAGTGAACGAAGCTAATCCACATTCTGGAAGCCTATGCATATAGCTCTCACCAGAGCATTGGAATGGAATATTCCCCTTGCATGATATTTGCAGGCAGATGTACAACGGTGATAACGCCTGCGCGGAAAGTTACAAGTGCCGATGTATTAAGACCGGCTGACTTTTGGCCTGGCGAGGCCTGATACTCTCAGCCAATGAAATTGATGATTTCAGAGCAGCTCACGCATGCGGTGGCAGCAGTACTTCTCGGGGTGGTACTGTTTGCAGGGAGCGCAGCCGCAGACACCGCGTAGTTTTCGTCACCAAACCCGCCTTTCAAGCACGGTGAGTGACATGCGAGGCCGGGTCTAAAAGGGCAGCTTCCTATCCGTCTACTGGCGTTGCTATGGGCTGGACATCGCAGAACCCGAACGGAGTTCTACAGGTGGTCCATTTATCTACACAGCGCGGTTGGTTTCACTTCATTTTTCTCTCATCGTCGAGACACCAATTGTTAAAAGCGCCATCAAACTGGCGAATGCATGGTTTGCGCACGGGTGCGCGCATGAGACCGGCTGCACCCATCGCCCCCCACTTTCGCCGGCACAACTGTCGTTCTCCCTTTGTCAGAGTGTTGGTCTCATGCCGTGGAGACTCCGAGCTGCCGAGCTCTAGACCTGGCTAGGACTCATGTCCTTCAGTTACTCATCTAATCACGTGTTAATAGAACGTCACTGAATGCAGGCCTGCGGGCCTAATGCACGCGGGACAATCCATCATATCGCCTGTTCGGTGATTTGATGCGATTTTGTTTTATCTTTCTAGGAACTCGCTAGTGACTGAATGTTGCGCCATTTAATCGGCGATGATGCTTATTCCACGGACTCATAAGGTCGGTGGAAATGACCGTGACATGACACATTACTCATGGCTGGCGCTCTGCTAAGTATCTGTACTTGTACCACACCTAAGTTACTCGCCATATGTCTGCATATAGCGCACACATATGCATGCAAGCTGCGCATTAGCGAAGCCAGTGCATGGAAAAGCACTCGTATCTGACACACTTATAAGCACTCGCTACACGGCTGGCCGACGTCCGAAACCTGCGACCATTCCCGCCACGACCTGCGTCGCCGGCTCGGACCGCCGTCCGGTTCTCTCCACAGCCGGCCATTGTAGGGGGAACTGGACGGTGGTTCGGAGTGGAGGGGTGGGCCACCGTCTCCCCCCCCCCCCCCCCCCCCCCACAGCCGGCCGCTGCCAGACGACTCACGAGGGCCGTAGATCTGCTGCAGCTGGGCGTGCGGCGGTGGCGGCGGCAGCGGCGGCGGCGCAGCCGGCCGGCCGGCCGACACCGTCCAGCCGGCCGGGTACGGCGGATGAACGCTGTACAGGCCGGCCAAAGAGCGCAGCGTCGCCTGCGGCCGCGGCCGCGCCGAGCCCTCGCGGTCGCGCTTCTTGCGCTGCAGCCACAGCCGGAAGGCGTCCTGCTGGCCGTGCGCGCCGTGCTGGGCGCGGAACTCGGCCTCCGCCACCAGCGCCTCCTGCTGGCGCAGCAGCTGCACGCGCTGCTCGATCGCTTGCTGCTGGCGCTTCTTGCGCAGCCAGACGCGGAACGCGCGCGGCGCCTGCTCCTGAACGTGACACGCACCCAGGGAGGTTAGTGTCGAGCCACGCGGCCATGGGTGATGGGCCGTGTTATACACTGATAATCGGTTCACTGGAGAGGTTCACTGCAAAGGGTAGGCGGGGGGGGGGGGGGGGGGGGCCCAGCAGTGACGTAAAATTCCCTCATACTCGAAAAGTATGCATATATTTCAAAAAGCAGAGTTGTCAGACACGGGCTTAACAGAACGCCGGACGTTATCGTGCCTGTCAAAATGCCTCAAGCGTATCTGTCAGATAACGTCAGGCAGGTTCAGATCATCTTTACCGGCCATGCTTCACATTTTCTCCCGTCGAGTAAAGCTGATGCAGGTCAAGGAATTCGCCGTCTGCTTCCAAGAGTTGCCAGATCACCCTGAGGTCATTACATGACCTTCTGTAATTTTGACCTTGGGTGATCTCACGCTTGGAGGTTCACGTACGACTGCGCTATCGGTAGGCTTTAAAATATGCACTAGTCTTCTGCGTGGTTTTCAAGACCGTCAGATTTGACCCTGACCTTGGTCGACCTCCAAACTACCATAGACACTTTCCATCTGTTTTTGGCTAAGCTTCTCACGGGCCTGAAAGCTGGCTGGACGTTACCGCCTTATAGAAGGACTGAAATGATGTAAAGGTACCACGGAGGGAATCATTGTTGGGCCTATCGCCTTGTTCTGGTGCGTTAGGATGTTCGCAATGTTACCGTCAGTTAAAGGGAACGCTCCACATTTGGGAAAATTGAGGCAAGCATCAGATACGAAGAAGTGTGTTCACTTGCAATAATTTGTACGCTTTGAAGTCCAACAAGGCTGCTCCAGATAACACAATTTCATTATTTAACGGGTAAGCTCCTCGATTCACTGCCGTTTGATTGCGTCATGGGGCGTTCGCCTGACGTCGATGTCGCTGCCAGATGGCCGTGTCACCACTGTCACTTTAGCGGAACGGCTGACTCAATTATATAACCTCAAACCTGCCGAGAGACGGAGTGCGTCCCAGCGCGTGTTTCCAACACCACAACATCGTTATGTGTGCGTATTTCGACCGTTTCTCGTGGTGTTCTTACATATTGTATACTTGCATTGCCATGCTGGAGAATGGCGCTATTCTGCATTTCGCCATTCCCAGTAATGCCTCCTTCCTAACTCGTACCACTGCCCAAATGCCTGTACGATGTAGCGCAAAACGTTATTTGTGCTCGAAGCTTGCGTTCTAAACATCAAAATGTTTGCAGGGTAACTGATGACCGTTACCGTTGATTACCGTTGATGCCATGAATCCGCGGACGGACACCGGACACGAATATTTCGATGGATATTTTTGTTCTTGGTGTTTGACACTACAATGTTCAATGAGGCGGCGATACTTGCGTGACATTTATATGGTTACGAATGTCTGGGAATCTTGAAATAGTCTGCATGAAATAGTCTGCAAAAGTACACGGGCGTCCACCTTGGCAACAAGAGGGCTTTAGGTCTTAAAAGGGTATGACTGTGATCTGCACTAAATGATCATTAAAATGACCAGGTTAGTTCAAATCCCCCCACAACTATGGAACACTCCTCTTAATGCTCCCTAACACTAAAAAATAGCCTTAAAAATCCGCAAAACTTAATAATATCCCAAATGTGGAAACTCTACGGCCCTCATCGGATGTTATGGAGTCCTTACAAGACTTGATGATGCTTGGCTTTCAGTGATGTGCACATCACAACCCGAATTCTCTCCTTGGATTTGTGGGATCCAAACCGGGACCTTTTGATGGTGAGTCCAGTGCTCTATCCTCTGAACTAAGCGGGAAGATGTACTTCCCAAAGGACGTCCTTCCCGCTCAGCCCAGTTGGTAGAGTACAGTGCTGTAATCAGAAAGCCCTGATTCGGATCACAGCAACTCCAGTAAAATAATCCGGGTTGCGATGCGTACAAGACTGAAAACCAAACATCACTCAGTCCTTCCAAAGGCCCCATTACACCTGGGGATGCTCGGAGAGTTAACTGGCCGGAGCGTTGTATGCTTACTTACACGCCAGACGATAGCGAACGTCCCATCAACTTTGTCATCTGGTTAGGCGCATTTGTTAAGGCGTGACCTGGCGTAGCCTTGAACGAATTGAACTCCCGAGCTATTTCAATCAACCAACACGAACCAAGCGACCTTTGGAGGAATTCACGAGCACTGACGGCGTGCACAATTTAACCATGAACTGCCGTTAAAATCGAAGGACAATGAGACGAGGGGCACACACGAACCAAGAAGGCGCCGCAAAACAAATATTTCCTCTTTTCTTTTTCCGCGTCAAGCTTCGGGGGCGAAGCTATCGCTCAGTGAACCGACAGGGCGGAAAGTTGAAACTTGCAGGTCGAGTGTCAAGAGGTTTCAAATTGGGCGGGCCCAAATTTCACTACAACGTACGGAACGGTCTGGGAGCTGCGTCCGAAAAACAAAACTGGACGAACCGTTGCATCAGCTCTGTGCCCGGCGAAAGTTAGCAAAGGATGAGTTCCGTAGCCGAAGGACGACTTCTGGGATGAAAAGGTGAACAAAGCCGGCTCGTTTGCAGTCACAGGGTGACGCAACGGGACCACTAAACCGAAGTCATGGGTAGGGGATTAGCGTCTGAACCGAAGGCGACATGCCGGCCCGTTCAGGTGAGCTCGACCGGCGCCTATTCAGAGCGCGACATTTGAAGCCGCCACAGTGGCGAAACGGAAGGGCATTTGGTTTTCCAGGCCAATGGTGCTGGGACCGAGTCCGAGAACATGCGCTCTGCTCGATACGACAGGCATCTGAAGCCATCTGGCAATCAGTTAACAAGTGTTAACCACGTGCAGCGTCTTTCGAGCGAACACATAAGAACGTGTTTCTTATTTTCCTGCTTTCAACCAGGAGCAAACGTGACTTGAACAATCCATTCGTTGTCATTGGGGTTCTACGGACACACTCAACTACTGGGCCTATATGGCGTTGCCTGCTTCTCAACTCTTAGATTCTCTCAGGTTCCTTAGGTTCCCAGAGGCGCAGCTTGACACTTTCGGTACCCGAATGATCAACTAGCATGCCGTAATCCGTACGAGTTGGTGATGCTCCGCTGACCTGAGCGTAACACGTCGTGGGAATGCATCACAAACCCTGGCCCGTTCCCACCTGTTTGATGTGTGCTTCCTGCTTGCGTTTTTTGGCACCGCTCTTCCTGTCCTTGAGGGCCTGCGCCCGCTCCTTCTCATGCTGCACGAGCCACTGCTGGAAGGTCAGCGACGGGTCCTGGGAGGCCGGCCGGCGCCGGGTCGGGGACCGGGCAGCGGCGGCCGGCGGCTGGGCCGACAGCTGACCAGCTCTGGTGACAGGTCAGTGGAATGGCATCAGCCACTGGCCCACGGACGGACGATCGGGGGCTCATTAAAACAAGGCTCAGCGCGTGCACATCGTCCTTAGGGCCATTACACCGCACACAGCGTGCTACGCAGGCGGCCTCGATTGATCTAGTGGCCTGGCATCGTACAATTCTGCCCCAGTGCTCTTTACATGCATCATTATAATTCCTACAATAGAAGTCACCTTACTATGCACATGCGTATTGCCATACCATACATTGCCCGCTCCTTTCCTCATAGCTTTTTTTAACGCGAACACCCAAACCACAAGCGCTGATACTAAAGCTGATGACATACAGTACTGAAGCCCAGGAAAGGCCCGTCACAGACACTACCCTCCCTTTAGCAGCGCGTCGGCCCGCTCCGGTACTGACCGCTGCTTGGGCCGCTGCCAGAGGCCGGCCGGCGGCGCTGACCTCGCCGGTGCCGAGTGTGGCCTCTGCTCGGGCCTCTCCGGCGAGGCCCCGGCCGGGCCTTTGACAGGGCTCGGCCGGCGGGTCGGCGAGGCCCCGCCGGCGCCGCGCGCCGCGTGCGCCCCCCTGATGGAGGCCACAGGAGCCGCCGTAGCAGGCTTCGGCGAGGTGGCGACACGCGGAGCCCGGCGGCTGGCGGCGGCCACGGGGCTCGCGCCCTTCGACGGGTCCCGCTTCCTCTTATGTCGCGGCATGGTGGTGATTTGGTGTTGGGTGCCCGTCAGACCGAGAGACTGCTGCTGCGAGGCCTGTGGCGACGTCGGCGGCGGCTCCAGGCCGTCTCCGGACCAGCCGTCGGTGCTCGATTCACGGCTGGTGGAAGTGTGGTCGTCCATAGACTCCACGGCGCTGTCCACAGACTTCGGGCTGTCCGTTTTGCGGGCGTCCGACTGCTGACACGGGCCAACATCGTCGCTGCGAGCCTGGATATCCGCCTTGCCCTGGCTTTGGACCTGCTGGCCTGCTCGAGTGTCACGACTACCACGTACAGACAAAGCCATATTCTCAAGAGCGTTGGCGTTGCCTGGTTGGTCTTCCTCGCCCCCACCATCCTTGCGCTGCTGCGGCAGCTGTTGGCCGCACTTATCTCTCGCCAGGTCCAGCTCATCCTGGCCTGATGAGGCGCGGGCGCCGGCGTCCGGCTCAGGGTCGTCGTCGGACGGTGCCGGGGCGGTGCAACCGCGCGCCGGATCCTCCCGCTCCGTCTGCGTCTGGCTACTCCGCACAGCCGTCGGCTTCAACTGCCGCACCGCCCGCCACTCGGTGCGCGGCTGCGACTGCAGCTCCGGCTCCGGCCGCCGTACTGGCTCCGGCTTCCGCACTGGCTCCAGTTCCAGTACCGGCTCTGGCTCTAGAACAGGCTCCGGCGCCGGCTTCGGCTCCAGCACCGGCTCCATCTGCGGGTCCCGCTCCAGCTCAGGCGGTTCCTCGACCGGCGTCATGCTGCTATAGCCGGTGTCCGAGCGGGCCGGCCGCACCACGCAGTCGGCGTCGTCGTCCGTCAGCGACAGAACAGACAGGCAATCGTCGGCCAACTCGTCTGGAGACTGTAAATTTTGAGAGTCACTAAAACCCCGCCGAACGTTGCTGGCATGAGCCCCCCTATAAGCATACGTACTTGTGGACGCGCCACCCACTGACTTCGACACCCCATGGCCACTCCTTGACATGGTCGTCCTGCTCTGAATCTTGGTCTTGCGGTGGACGCCGGCGGCCGCCGTCGGCGACATGCCCGCAACAGAGCCGCTGATGGTGGAGACGTGCGTTGAGGGGAGTGGAACGTGCGAGCTCTTAGGAGGATCGGGAACCTTCGGCATCGGGTGTGGTGGCGCGCTGATGGAGGTCTCGATATCAGCTACCTTCTCATCCGTTTCGTACTTGTTCAAGTCGAATGGCTCATCCTCGTCGTCGTTCTCATCTGCCAAAGAACAAAAGCAAGAAGGGATTTTTTGGATACGACTGCGGTTGTAAGACCATCCGCCCATGTATTCAATCCGAGGCTTTCCCGTGTGTCATATACTTTTACAGACACAGCTGGAACATAACTGACGGATACAAATAAAAAATTAACGAACATTGCACACAACTAAAAATATGAAACGATTAGATCGTTTACAACAACTGCACGTGAGAGCCCATCATTTTTACAAAAGGCACAGCCGTTTCAGTGCAGATTTTTTATTTTTCATTGCTGGTGCATAGACGGTGCACCAAATCGGTGAGATCTTCATAATCATTGAACATCCGCAGCAAATTGGTATTTATAACATGAAACATGCACATGATGTTCGTAAAACCTTAATTTGAGAATATTTAAGGGATGGTAGAACAAGAAAATCAGGAAGAAACAAAGGAGGCATCGCACCACTCCATAGCCAAAGACGATCCACCCGTACCTGAAGAAACGCAAGGCAAAACGGAATCTGAGCACGGAGACCCAGATGCCCCAAACGTCAATGGGACCGGTGAGCAAGATGTATCGGACAAAGGAGAGGCAGATGCCCCGAACGTCAATGGGACCGGTGAGCAGGATGTACCGGAGACCGGAGAGGCAGATGCCCCGAACGTTAATGGGACCAGTGATCAGGATGTAGCGAAGACCGGACAGGCAAATGACCCGAACGTCAATGGAGCCAGTGCCCAGAATGTAAGGATAGATCAGGGCGCAGCGTCCAAACACAGTTTAAAAAATGCAAGTACAAGCGACACTGGAAAAACGGACGAGACTGTAGACAATGACCCACAAACTTCAGCCAGTGTGACTTCTAAAAAGTCGGGCCTTGCAGAAAATACTCCTCCGAGCACTGTATCAAAGGAACAGAATGCAGCACCAGAAGAGGAAACAAATCCAAACGAAGCGGTCCAACCAGGTCAAATTTCCTCAGATAACACTCATGAAAATCAGGAAAATACAGAAACGAACGGAGCAGAAGGCTCTCCGCTCGAAGAAGCACAAGCAAAGCCGGAAGACTCCGAAGCTCCTGAAGCCCAGAGCAATCCTCCACGGGATGTTCGTAGTAATCACGAAAACAATGCAGAATCTGTACATGAGGATGCGGTGCACGAAAGCGGCGACGAAGAGTGCGAGGACGGGGAAGAGGACACAGAAGAGACGTGTTCTGAAGATAATTCCAGCAACCCGACTTCTTCAGTGAGCCCTGAAGAAGCGGCTGACGTTTTACAAGAATTGCCACCAAAATCTGCTATGTTAGTTCCGATCCCAGAACCAGATTTTAGTGTCTTAGCTGACAGAGAAAAGCTCTTTCCCCGACCAGCGCTATCAAATCCCAAGGTGACCTATCAGCTTAGCTGTAAACAGCTGGGCGTGGTTCCCATAAGCCAATACTTACGGTCCTTGGACACGTACGCCGAAGACCTCCGCCTACAGAGCTACGGCCTAACCAGGCTGGACATGCTTCCACTGTGCCACTCCCTGGCATACAACACGACCGCCACCACCCTGAACCTGAGCAACAACCGCCTTGAGGACGACGTCCTGCCCAACATCGAGGCCATGATGAACGACAACAGCTTCATTGGCGCAATCAACCTCAGCCGCAACAACCTGACGGGGCCGGGGCTGGACAGCCTGCGGGTGATGCTCAGCAATAACTACACACTGACCTCGCTGGACCTGTCGCACTGCCACCTGCTGGACGTTGACGCGCCCGCGCTCGCCGCCGTCATCGAGGTCAGCCTCAACCTGCGCCAGCTCAACCTTGGCTACAACGAGCTCTCCGAGTGCGGCAAGGTGCTGGGCACCGTGCTGACCGCCGACGAGGGGCTGGAGACGCTCGACCTCTCCTGGAACACGTTCCGCGCGCGCTCGGCGCGGGACCTGCTGATGGGCCTGCGCGCGAACAGCCGCCTGCGCCGGCTCGACCTCGCTTGGAACAGCCTCGGGCCGGACGTGGCGCGCGGCCTGCGCGACCTGCTCAAGAAGAACACCACGCTGGCCGAGCTGGACGTGTCGCACAACCGACTGCGCGACCCCAGCATGCGACCCATCGCCATCGGGCTGCGCAAGAACCAGACGCTGGAGAAGATCTGGCTCGGCCACAACCCCGTGACGCCAGTAGGCGCTCTGGCTCTCATGAAGGTGCTGCCCAAGGCGAGCGTCGGTTATGTGGACCTCTCCCAGATCGAGGTCAGCAGTGACTTTGTGAAGATGAAGGAGAAGCTCGATCAGGAGGCGATAACTGTGGTGCATGGGACGATTAACAAGAACATGGTGCTTATCGCGCCACCCCAGAAGAAGGGCAGGGGTCCTCCGCCACCCGTAATTAAGAAGAAAAAGTGAACGCATGCCATGCTCTTTCAAGTGCAGTGTTTTAATTCGACAATGCCTCGGTGTAATTGTAACGCATATAACAGCGACTCTTATCGTGCACTGACTCGCGTTCGTGGTAATACTTTTGGTCAGTACAGATGCCAGTCGGTGCTTTTTATGTTTCGAATGCAAGTTCATAAAAGCTTGACCAGGGCACAGAATGGAACAATGAGCTATGTCTCGGAAGCATTGCGGGGGCATGTTAACGAGCCGTTTAGCTTCTTGTTGTTTTCGCGTCCTTGTGCGAGGGCACGTCTGGCGCGGTCCCAACCGCGCGACCCGCAGGGTCAACTCAATTTAAGGCTCTCAACGCAGCTCCCTCGAGGGTAGGAGGAAGCGCCTCAGAACCAGTTCCTTCTGGCCGGGTAGGCCGAGTAGGCTGTTCGGGGAGGGGAGGTGGTCAAGCCTCCCACGCCGCCGGCACAGTGGGATACCGGCCGGCCAATCCGGCGCAACGTCAACCTGGTCGGTACGCTGTACCCTCTGCGCGGCTTCGATGCGGCAGGTCCGATCCCATCTCACGAAGGCTTCCCGTCCAAGTGTCTGGATCAGGTGGGCTGGCGCTTGACACGAGCTGTCGTCATGCAGTGTGTCAGGTCACGGACGGCCGCTCGAGCACATGGTATGTCGATGACTGCGGGCCTGTGAGCGCCACGCCGCTGCCTGATTGGCCAGTCCGGCCACAGCCTCGTTGCTCTGGAGTCACCACGACAGAGGACACAGTGTAGGGTTATGGTCATCCGTTATTGGGTTAGACCTGTTGGACGGTTCAGACATTTCCCGTGCGATATGTACCTTTGTTGCAGCTCTGATCCGCTTTGCGACAGTTGGGCGTCGTGGAAAGAATCCGAGCATAGGAATGATGCGTGCCCGAGCTCTGGACTGTTCCGGCAACGCTGAGTTGTTTCAGTGTCGGTAGTCGTGAAAAATCACAAAACTCCTCGAAGCAGGCTTCCCTTCTCTACCTCAGCGACAGCAGCTTTGTGCCGCGCCGCTGGCCGGCAGCTGGAGGTGTGCCGCAGGTTCAGCGGAGTATCTTTGTCACACCAGGCTGATGCTTGTCACAAGTTGGCGTCAAGACTCATTTCTGCGAGCCGTCGGAAGATCCGCGGAGGCCTTTCACGGTTGACATTTGCAGCAGCGTTACCCAGCGCTCCTGCCTCTGGACGTCCAAAATGTCTGCCCTTTAGCGGTTAGGAGCCGCACTCATCCACAGTGCCTCTTCACGCTGATCTTTTGTGTCCTGACAACCTTCGGTCTGGAGATGGTTGTTCTTCTGTCTTCATTGCCGCATGGCATGGTCCTTTCGGTTACTTCGATGGCTTCCAGGGAATCACCCTTTATCTCGCCAAATGGTGGAGCTATAGTGTGGGGTCAGTTACCCATGGTTTTATCGGGATATTTGTTTGCCCGTTTATTCTGAGCGGTGTCCTGGTGGTTTGTATTTTACTTTGAATCGTTAGGCGGACGGTGCCGTTGCTCTTGTTGGTCTCCCACTTTACTCCGGTGAGGAGATTTATTGACAAAGTCGTGAGGTCGGGGACCGATCTTCCTCCTATACTTTCCTCCTCCCTCCCTCCTTCTCCTTTTGTCACATCTGACGAGGATAGCTCATGTAGATATGCAATTGCATGCGGTACGTGCAAAATTTGTTTCTGGATTTTCTTTACTAGCCCGCAGAATGCCGCGGAAATAGTTTTTATCTCCTCGCCAATTGTTCGATGGCTTTTAAATAGCCTTCTTTCAGCATCCCAAAAGTACAAATTTGGTGGACAAGTCCAAACAATGAGGTGCCCGCTTCAACGTTAAGAGCTACCCAACTGCATTCTCTCGGGATGCGTGTTAAGCCACAGCTTGATCCCCTTGGCGATGTAATGCGGCGCGCTGTCCTGAAATCCAGGCACGTTTCTTATAATGCCACATTTCCATTCATGAGCAGCCCCGACTGTGTTTAGCGCCTCGGTGCATCGGAAAGAGCTGCTCTCGCGAAAGATATACGTAATAATGCTAAACGAGGACGCGAACTGCACGCATGTCACGAACCAACTGTCAGAAACGGGTACTGAATTTTGAAATGGCTCTTTTGAAATTTTAGTGAAAGTTGAAACGGTACACAGTGGTTGTATGGGAAGGAAACAGGGTTGTGTTCATGTCTGACAAGTGTCTCAAGCGTGCGCCCAAAGCGATAGAGATTCTCGCTGAAATCAATAAGGTGCTTCAATGTCGCAGTGTTCGCAGTACACTGCGACTGCAGTGTCCACGCCACTACACCCGCTGGCGCACGGTGCGTGTACCGACAGCACCACCGGTCAGCACCCGGCAACAACCACCGCCCGCTGTCAAAACTGCAAACTGCCTGATGACCAAGCAGCATATGGCTTCTAGCACGTAGTTACATGCGATGGATAGTCATGGCGCATGGCCATCGGAGTTGCTATGCTTTCAAGCTGAACAATGAAATCGTCCCTGGTGCTCGGAGTCTTGCACACATTAGACGTCTATTAAGAACGTACACGCCGTGCTTCCGCATCAGCGTTGACAACGTGTTTTCCTAAAACTGCCCTGCGAACCGTTAATTTCCGAACCCTTCTTCATGCCTATGTTGGCGGTTATTTAAAAGCCCTGCCAATGTTGCGGGTTCAATGAAAACGAATATGATCAATCCATAGTGATCTATGGGATGTGCTTAGAGGACTACGAGAAAATGCAAACTGTAAACATAGCAATGTTTTTTTATCGAGTGCTACATGGCAACATGTAAAAAGGCGTCATACCAGAATAGGTTATGCGGTAGACGGCAACCCACAAAAGACGACACGTAAAATAGGTGACAAGTCCCGATGGCAAATGGTAAAACGTGCCCGTGTTAAAATAGCGACGTTTCAAAATGGTGAGTACGACCAAATGGGGAAATAAAAACGTTCCAAAAAGATAGAAAAAATATAAAAAGACATAATACAACAGATAGAAAAGAAGAAAAAAGATGACCGATCAAAAAACAAGCACAGGAAAAACGACTGTTCGCAACATACAATGTTTAGGAGCTCGGAATACGATGGCTTGCAAGAGCGCGGCATGCCAAACTGGAGAATCACTAAGCCAACACTGGCTGAATGGCGACTTACGAAAAATCAAACTGTGAAATCGTGAATAGCCAATTTATGAACGACAAAACACTTCGAATGTTGTATGCAAAAGTGCCTATGTAAACATTACCCCTCTACTAAGGTGCATCCCAGAACATGGGTGTATAATGACAAGCTGTGGACAAGCACGGCTGGCAAAAATGGAAACAGGGAGCGAATCTGACGGGAAAACCCAAAATTTACTGCAGAAGTTCACTACGGTACTACGGGAGCAGTGAGAGAAGTGGTGTCCGGTGGCACGCATTACTGGGTATCGGTTAGTTTCCGCAAAACCAGCCCCCTTTCCACACCACGTTTGTGTTTCTCACGCACGTCAAGCTTTCGGTACGTTGGCGTCGCCCTGTTTCATCTAGATTGGTCAACTTCCAGCACCACACGAATGGAATGATAGAGCGATCGCCCGGCTGCTGACGTGTCCGTTACCACGCTTTTAGAAGGAGAATCAAATCAAGCAATATCCCGAAAACGAGCTGCATTTTGTACTAATGGCTTTTGTGGTACTGGCCCATGCACATCAAACTGTGGCTCTGCTTCAGCTCTGCCATTTTGGACCAGTTTGCAAAATGACGCTATTGAAAACAATTCCGTATGGAATTGACATGTCTCAGTGTTTGCCAAAAAGTACAAGCAAGCAAACGTAAGCTAAGTAGCTAGTTATAGTTGATAAAAAAGAAACGGTTTCAGCCAATAGATTTTCGACATTACTGGCTGTGAGTTATGTTAAGGTAATTGTTAGCGAGCAAACGGGCCGTCGCTGCCGGTGCGGCGGCGGCGGCTCCGCGAGGGTGTGAGCGGCCCCTCTGCCGATTGATTCCGAACATCTGTGGCCCATGAACCCACGTAGGTTTATGGGGACGCGCGGGCGAGGACGCACGGTCCCTGCCGAGCAATCCACGTTCAGGCTCCGACGGCGCGGCTCGATGCGAGCCTAGTCCACGTTCAGGCTCCGACGGCGCGGCTCGACGCGAGCCTAGTCCACGTTCAGACTCCGCCGGCGCGGATCGACGCGAGCCGCGACAGCGTTTACGACGACGACGACGACGACTTCGGAGTGTGCGACGCCGCCCTTCCAACCCCTCTCTCACCTTTGCCTTGCAACTCTTTGGCTAATAGAGACTCTTTTCTTTCAACGTCTCATGTCGGTGGTCCTCCGAAATACTAACGAACTCTTTCGCACGAACAGTAATCACCTTTAATATACCGGGAAGTACTGGTAAAACGTCTGTGCAATACTAAATGACAATGTTAGGACGGAAGCCGGTGGTGTAGGCGGCGCTACCATACCTTTGATCAGATCAATCTTTCCTGTAATCGCGCCTCATCTTCTGCGCATTGTTAATAGTTCGCTAGGGTCCGGCAACGTACCGTCCGTACGAAAAATGTACCGTCCGTACAGGAAAAAGCTGCCGTGACGTCTTTGCATAAAACCGGCGATCAGAACGACCCAAAAAAGTTTCGGCATAGTTCGACCCTGTCAGTGGTAGCAAAACGTTGCGCGCGAATAGTCGGCAACCAGCCTGAATCCTACATGCCAAAACAGCACGTTATATATCCCGAGCAGCATGTTTTCTGCCCAGGTCACCCCACGGAGTCGACGGTGTTCGGCACTGTCAACTTGCTAACCAGTAACACAGATCGTAGCTTAATCATGACACTGGCGACGACCGGCACGTTGAAAGCTTTTGACAGTCTTCAGCCTTGCTGGCTTCTGGAGGCTTGGTTGGTACGGGGTTGGTGAGCCACTGGTTCCGTGGCTGGCTTGCGGGCCGTTCGCGGCGTGTCTAAGGTGACGAAACTGCACTCCCGGTCACGCACGGCGTAGATCAGGGGAGAATTTTAGGATCAATTTTGTTTGCGCATTTACTTATGGTCTTTTTCTAGCACTACGTCCGCCGACGACGCTCAGATTATTAACACCTGCCCTGGTGGATAGCTGAATATCCCTCGCTCGGGTAGGTTAATTTGACCGCCTGAGATCTAAGAAACTAAGAGGGCTAGATACACTGAATTCACAGCGTGCTGGCCTGTACGTGAATTCGCTTGTGTCAAATTTGAGGCTTCTGGGTTATGACCTTCGAGTTAAATAAGGTCAAACAATGTCAAACTCCAGACTGGTGTCTCAAGAAGCCAAAGCCCTTCTCATGCAAATACCATGAGCCCAGATCCCTGTTCTAAGCAAAAGAACACAGGTGCTCATTTAAGAGCAGTAACCTTGTGTGACCTTTCGGAGGTCATGGTGACCGAAATCATACAAGACTGCTTTAATTTTTTCATTTGAAAAGAGTCAAGGATTACGCTAGGCAGTATGTTCCTAAAACAAAATGTTAACCTGCGTAATTTTAGCTCAGGGACCTATTCTGACTTTTAAGAAGTCCATGGAAGATGTACAACGCGGTTCCTCTTATCAATAAATTCAAAACGAACACACTACACCAGAGATGTATGGCTTCGTCTAACACTCCGTTATTGCATCAGATTGAATAATTCCCCAGAAATTATACTCGCGGAATCCATGGCCTGACTGACCTGCCATAGATCAGTAATCTTACAAGGTACACCTAACTATTTGAGAGCAAACGATCCGCTATTCAAATGTCTAAAGCTATGCCAAATTTGGTGCCAGTACCCCATGCCGTTCGGCAATCATTCCGAAAAAAACCAATGGAGGTCAAATTGACCCCCGCCCGAACGCGCCAATATTACCAACCTTCATGGTTGGATGAAAACCTTCAGAATCGTTCTAAATTGCCTTACGCTGAATCGACTCAAAATTGGTCTCGTCAAACTGATCTTTCGCTTGTAAAGTCTGCTCAACACGGGCAAGAATAAATTTTTAGGCCAACATTAGGGAGGTAAAAATTAAACCCTCGCCTTCAGTAAAGGTTCTTAGAATCGTTGTTTATGCTAACCTAAATTGGAAGCATCAGGTATCTGCCACTGTTTTACGGTGTTACGGCACTTTATAGGGTCTAGCCAAATGAAGCCATCAGCTTCCAGCTGAAACTGAATATCGAGATTGAAGGACTCGTTCATTTCCACATAACATACTGCCCCACGGCGTGGGTTGGTTACTCACAAACGCAAAAACAAAGGATTCAAAAAACGTTACATTTTGACGCCAGAACTCTAATCAGTGAAATGAACTGTATGTCTGTATGATGAAATAAACTATATGTCTCCCACCCTGAAAACGCTCCGGTGGCACGAAACTGACGAACTGTTGGCCGAGCGCGACTTTCTAGCTCTCCACTACCTAGTACGGTCACCACCGGCGCTAGAGAGTTCACATGCCCTTGTGGTCTTGCGCTGTGCCGTGTCTGTCCGGTCTTCACGAGGCTCTGAAAGCCTTCTGTTACAGACCCCGCGTGTCCGAACTGAACTCGCCCGCCTATCACTTGTGTGCCCGCCGTCACCACCTTTCCGTGGCTATTTGCCCCATGGTGAAGAATCAAATGATTCCCGACCCGAACCAAACCACAACCACCAAATTAGCATAGGGCAAGCGTATTCTTGTCTCTTATTGCGAACAGGATCATAAGAGCGACTGATAGATCCAGAGAAGTGTTCAATATAACGATTATGTGGGGAGAGCACAAATCAAACCACGGAAGTGAGCTCTCGGTATATCACTCATGACTGGACGCACCAGGTCGGTGGAGACACTGACCCTGTTTTGACTACTGTGGCGGATATTTGCGGCTCGGTGTATGGGGCAATGTCAACTTACAGTCGGTGCTTACCCGTCGGTGAGCTCTGGGCTCAAGGGCTCAACCCCATGTGAGATATCCTCGACAACTGGCAGATTGCATTTGAAACAAACAAGACCTCTGCCAGACGGCGACACCTGGAGCGAGTTCAAAAGGAAGAAATGACATCGGAGTACCTTCACCTCCGATGCCAAACCCTAGTGTAACACACATAATCATGCTTGATTAATATGAAAGGACGACAACCTGTCTCCCACGCCACTCCGCTGCAGCGAAACGGCTGCTTACCTGTTGGCGGCGGGATTCGTCGCATAGAGATGGCACGCATCTGCACCCTGTTGTTGAACTTGATTTTTCTCGGCCGGTTGCTCTCCACGGGGGTTTCGTCCTCCTCGTGCACCTTGTTGATTTCGCGTAGTTTCTCTTCAATGTCATACGGAGGATGATCGGGCCCTGTAAGGAAATGAAGTCGCTGAACTTAAAACGACAGTCGATAGCCCTTGCTATCAGCATCCTCCAAAAAAAAACCTGACCTTCCATGTGTCATATGATTGGTGGCCTTACAACAACTCACAAATCCTCAAACGCGTCTGGTGACCTCGAGGCCCTCTAGTACCCGTAATGATAGTCATTTAGTCTCGCAACAGGGTCATCGAAAGAGTCTCCAGCAGTTTTGGACTAGAACTCTTCTGGCTCTTCGTAACCATTTCAGGCCTGTGGGAGAAGTGATTGGATGGCGGTGGGGGCCAGACTACTCACACCTGGGAGCGCCCGCCGGGACTTAGCCCCCACCAGGACTCAGCACAAGGTATGTGCTCGGTGCCCGGACGGGACCCCGCAGGGGGGGGGGGGCACTTGAGCCCATGCATGGCTGGAGCATGTAGCTCGCCCTGGATAGTCGGGGCGTCGTGTGAATGAGGAAAGACAGGCGGATGAGCCCCTGCATTTTGGTCGGAGACATCGCACAATTTTAACGAAAATAAAGGATCAAGGCTAGGAAATCAAAGAATTTGTCCACCCTTGCTTTTCATGTGACCTGCAACGGCCTATGACGACCTCCTTGGGAATTTGGTCTAAAAAATTATTAGGTTTACTGGCTCGTTTATGACAGATAGTCACCTCGAATTCTTTCGGTTCTGGCAAATCTTGTTATTGTTTAACCTAACATGGCCTTCAAAGGTGACCAGATATCGTCTGCGCTATTATGATCTTGGTTGACCCAAGACCAACTCAGTTGATGCATTACAAAAAAGGACCATAGGGGGAATGAAAAATTCGAAATGTTGCATCTACAAGCACGCATAGTCTGCAAAGTGTAAACCTTCAAAAATTATTCGCGTATCTACCTGGCTTGATCTGACATCGAAATACATTTACGGTACAACGTGTCAAACTGACTACGTGGTAGCACGTAAACATCTGACTAGTTCATCTGGAACAGCTCATAATTTATTTTAGAAAAGTCGGGGACATATTTTCAACTTCCAGATAGCCGAAGTTGGATCGTTGCAAAAAAAACAAACAAAAACAGACGGGATGTTTTTCCAAGCGATATAGTGCAGACACACTCACGCTTACCCTGCCGCACAATGAACATGATACGTACAAAAGTAGGAGTAATCATCGTCGTCCTCCTCTTCGTTCTGCGACCTCCAGTCGGCGAGCACGGATGCTTCGATGTCGTATTGCCCAGCAACGGATAGGCCGGAGAAGTCATAGTCGTCGTCATCGGCCATGCCAGTGCAGCCTGCGAGTGCAGGGGCGGGGCTAGGTGACAACGACATAGGCACGAACAGATGACACGAGCCTCGTAGACAAAACAAAGACAAACTGGTCTTTATTTTGGAGCGCTGTAAGACTGTTCACAGGACCCCAGATGCGAACTCATTGACCCAAGAGGGCTCAGGCGATCAAGATAAATGAAACAATCGAAGGGTTTCTAGGTGCCCGGAGAGCAAAGCAAGGCTATGCAAAGCCTTTCAAGGCACAAATTACCATTGCAGTTGACGCACCCTTATAACTCAATAACTACGCCTTTCAAGGGTTCTTGGGAAGGTCAAACAACCAGTCATGCAAGAAACAGGCCTGCAGCGCGCGACACACGTCATACTGCTAGAGGTCTACGATATAGGCGGAATTTAAAAATGTTTGTGCTATGGTATTTTTTAAATGTCGGTTTTCTAACACATGCCTGTGACAATTCAGTAAGGTCTGATCGAGCAGCCAGCTCACGGGAAAGAATCAGTTCCTATGAAAATACATATGTAAGTTCAGAGGAATACGACAAGGTTGGGCCGGTCGGACGTCCCAGACTATCAAAGTCTTTCGAAGCAATAGAAAGGTAGCTTCGAAACAGTCAAGAGGAGCGTGAAAAATCAAACGGCAGTGAGGAAATTTATGTGGTAAAGGATCAGCCGATGCGGCCTTCTCCGGTCGTTTCATGATGATCTATCCAACCTTGAGGGCCTTGAGATGCTGCTGACTTGACGGGCATAACCGGCATAAGAACCTTGTAAAAAAAAAAACGGCGGGGGGGCGCAACCATTTTTTAAAGCGAAAGGGGGCCAGTATTTTTCCTGGGTAACGGCACCAGAGGTACAAGGTCCCACGCAGGTGCATGTAGTAAATTAGTGGTGCAATAGTTAAATGACAGAAAATACGTAAAACCCCGGGCACAGCCTTCCGCCAACCGACCAACACATCCCACACATCCGACCGACACATTCCCCAATAATGTGACATCTTCAGATCGTGCAAATGTGATTAGCAGGAAGGATGATCAATGTTTTACATTTGCGAAGAACAATCATCGAAGGAGACATATGTATATGCTAGGACAAAGACAAAGACAAAGACCCAACGAAGACGATGCTAAATCATAATGCAAACCACAATGCTACATTACGCCTCACCTCATACTTCCGAGAACTTGCAGCAGTCAGGTTTTGGTAGAAACGTTAACATACGGTTCATGTTTGGCCTTCTGCTTATAAAAATACGGTTACCTAGTTAAACAGACGCTTTCAAGTCAAAATTTCTTCCCGGAATACAGTGCAGAAACGCGGATACGCTTGCGTTCCATAGTACAGCACTGATTCACCAAGAACGATCGAGACCAGTCACACCACCCACCATCATGCGGCCACCCATCGACTGAATTTCCAGACGATTTGTTTACCTGCGGCAACTTGTTTCTATGGCAACTGGTGGAAACATTGGAAAATGGCAGGCATGCTCTGATCGCAATTATTTCGGATCGTGCTATTCGCACAAAAACAAACCTATTACCCCGTTTTTGATATAACAGAACTACGTTTTTTATTACCATATTTTAAGATAGAACCAACGCTTTCGTTAACGAAAACAAATGGGGTAGAGTGATCCTCGAAATGCATGATCGAAATAGTCTCATGACGTCAAATTGATCGGATTGGTTAGGTATTGTAGAGTCTATCTTTCACGGTCTTCCTAAGAGTAAAGGCGAACAGTCTGCGCCATGAATGTAGAGTGTTTCTAATTCGGCAAAACAAACGCAGCCATGTACATGTGGGAAGAGGTTCAGGGGTTTGTGGGATTTGGATAATTGGAAGTTTTGTTTGCTCCAGTTGGAGATTTTATATGCATTTGAGAGCCGTGGGTTTGCCAGTGCTCCACTTTCTCAGGGGAAGGAGCGTCGGCAATCGGTGCATCACATAGGTTTGGCTGAGTTTAGGATTGGTGAAGTAGTGGTACTGTGAAGATAAACTGTCACGTATTGTTATTGCCTTGCTCAGCCCGAAGTGGAAGGACGTCGAAGGTATTCAGAAGCTGAAGAATGATATACTTGCAGGGAAACTGGGATGTCGCATTCAGGTGATTTGCCTCGATTTTACCAGAGTGTGTTAACTTGGTGATGATATAAATGCACTGTTACCCTGAGTTTGGCGTATTCAGGCTTGCTAACAGGTTGCATATCTATAGGCAGAAAAGAACATGCAACCAGTAAATAAGCTTTGTTTCTCTACATCTTCATCTATGTGTCACCTCACTGTCTTGTTCAGTCAGGGTGCACTTTCCTACCTAATGTTAGAAAAAATCATTGTACACCATTCGTCGTGTTTAAGGCAGGACATATGGTAAATAATCTCAAAACAGGTAGAACCATGCTCCTACCTTCGAAATTCAATAACTTCGATGGCGGGCCCCCGAGCGCCGCGCGCACCGCACCGCCTGGACTCCCTAGCGCCGTTTCTGCGTTGCCGTTGCGCAAATACAATATTTCTGCTTACCAGGAACTCTACAAAATGTACGGGACCAAAGTAAACCATTCGTCGTGTTTAGGGCAGGACATATCGTAAATAATCACAAAACAGGTAGATTCATAATCTTACCTTCAATTTTTCATAATTACGATGGCGAGCTCCCGAGCGCCGCACACACACAGCACCCGCGACACCGGCGCCATTTCTGCGCAGGTCACAACATTACTGTGCATCAAGCAGCATCAAGAACCATAAAAATGTACCGGGCCAAGCTAACAAGAATCCATGAAATTTGATCCTCGACGCCAACGGGACCATGGGTTGCAGGGGGATTGGGTGGGGAATGTAAAGCAAAATGAGAACATGACAGCTAAATAAAAGCTCACTATATGGCACCTATATATGGCATGGAACATGGACGCCAATGGGATGCTGGGTTGAAGGGGATATAGGGTGGGGAGGTTAGGTTAGGTTAGGTTAGGTTAGGTTAGGTTAGGTTAGGTTAGGTTAGGTTAGGTTAGGTTAGGTTAGGTTAGGTTAGGTTAGGTTAGGTTAGGATAGGTTAGCTAGGTTAGGCTAGGCTAGGCTAGGCTAGGCTAGGCTAGGCTAGGCTAGGCTAGGTTAGGTTAGGCTAGGCTAGGCTAGGCTAGGCTAGGCTAGGTTAGGGTAGGTTAGGTTAGGTTAGGTTAGGTTAGGTTAGGTTAGGTTAGGTTAGGTTAGGTTAGGTTAGGTTAGGTTAGGTTAGGTTAGGTTAGGTTAGGTTAGGTTAGGTTTGGTTAGGTTAGGCTAGTTTAGGATATGTTCTGGACTATTCTGGCCTGTGTGTTTCATAAATGTACCTAAACTCGATAAGAAACGATTTTGGTTGCTTTATTATTGTTACCTTGGTCCCATACATGTTTTATGGTTCTTGATAAGCAGAAATATTGTGCTTTCGCAACAACGCAGAAACGGCGCTTGGGAGTCGAGGCGGTGCGGTGCAGTGCGTGCGGCGCTCGGGAACTCGCTATCGTATTTATTAAAATTCGAGGGTAGGAGCATGATTCTATCTGTTTTGCAATTATTTACGATATGTTCCGCCTTAAACACGACGAATGGTTTACCTTGGTCCCGTACATTTTGTACAGGTCTTGGTAAGCAGAAATATTGTATTTACGCAACGGCAACGCATAAACGGCGCTGGGGAGTCCAGGCGGTGCGGTGCGCGCGGCGCTCGGGAGCCCACCATCGAAGTTATTGAAATTCGAAGGTAGGAGCATGATTCTACCTGTTTTGACATTATTTACGATTTGTGCCGCCTTAAACACGACGAATGGTGTGCAATGATTTTTTCTAACGTTAGGTAGGAAAGTACACCTACACCGTCTTGTTCTGTGACCTCAATGTTGAGTGGAGATATGGAGAGAGGAGCATGTAGTCAGCCTAAATCTGAGTTGACCACATTATTTTGGTACCTTGTCCAGATATCTGGTAACTAAGTGTGTTTTAGCTTTGTGAATACCCTGAACTGTGTGCTGGTCTGACCATCATGATTGATTGAATGACTAAAGCACACATTATTTCCAGGTGTGGTGAACCAGCATGGGTGACATTAAAACTGCCTGGTAAGTTTTGAAGATCTGTTAAAAAACAAATTTGTGGAGTTGCATACCATGTTGATCATCAAGCCTTTGCTGATTTTTTTACAAATGCTTTGGAGGCATGCTTGACACTTCCTGCAACAAGTGGAAAGGAACAAACTGATCTTGTATGGGTACATTTCTTGTATTCTCCCTTAGAATTGCTGCATATGTTTGAAATGAAGGTCAGGGTGTACTTTCCTACCTAACATTAGAAAAAAAATCATTGTAAACCATTTGTTGTGTTTAAGGCAGGACATATTGTAAATAATCACAAAACAGGTAGATTCATGCTCTTACCTTCAAATTTTTTTATAATTATGATGGCAAGCTCCTGAGCGCTGCACACACACAGCAGCCATGACACCGGCGCCAATATGCAGTCACAGCATTACTGCATCAAGCAGCATCAAGAACCATACAAATGTACAGGGCCAAGGTAACAGGAATCCATGAAATCTGATCCTTGCAGCTGACATGTGACATGTCCATCAGCAAAGTCCATTGCACAACATTGGTCAGGTTATGTAGTTGCAGCAGCCACCCCAGCATCCCAGCATGTCTATTCACATCAGTCCTTGGCCCTCCAGTATGACTATCACCACTTGCTGCTGGACAGGCCAGGAGGGCGTGCACGGCCGTCTGGAGGCGGCCACCAGCTCCGGGCTGGACAGCGAGGTGCGAGGCACAGACGGCTTCTGGGCGCGCCGGCTCGGCGCTGACACCCTCGAGGTCGGCCACCCAGCTGCGCCAGCGGTCTACCGACACACGCTGCCGGCCGCCGAGCTGCGCGGCCTGCATGACAAGGCAGTTAGTAGGCGCAGCTGGTGGGGGTCGGGACGGTCGACAGGTCAGGGCGCAGCATTGGCCTTCCGTTGTAGATGGCTCGCTGTTGGTGCGATGCTGTGGGCGGGCACAGTGAGTGATGGCGAGGTGAGGTGATGCATGACGCCAGGCATGGGAGGAATGCTGACACAGTTTGCTGCCAGATGTTCACTGGGTGATCTGAACTGATGCAGTTGGAAGGGCATCAAACTCGTTATTGTCCGACTCTCATATGAATTATTGGGATGTGTTGATATATTGGGCCTGACGATTGAATTGATCATATTGAAACACCTGGGAGGGTTAATGTAAATTGTCATGACAATGCATTGCTTGTCATGCAGTGCATGGATGAAGAATGGACACTTGGTATTTGGCTGGCCATCCTGGCAGCAGGGCGGGCGAACTAAGGGGCTGGGTTTGTGTGCTTTTTCATAGCTGGCGCTGGTCACACGTCTGATCCAGGGGTCCGCGTGTCCAGCTCGCACTGTCCCACGTTTGCAGGTGGCGGGTGTCGACTTGACGTTTGACCCAGTACTCTTAGTCCGCTCTTCTGACGCTGCGCCGTGTTCTCAGGTGACTGGCATTGACGCGACCCCTAACGGGCTCGGGCTGTCGTGCTCCGCGGACGAGACGCTGCGGATCTGGGAGACAGACGGTGGCACCGTCAGGGTGCGTACGCCCCAGCCTCGTTGACTGCATCGTGACATTGTCTGTTTCTTCTGCTTGTCTGACGTTTTTTCTTCTTACCTTGAGCAGTAGTTGTGTGCGTGACCTGTGTAACGTGTGGTGGCTCTCTGCTTCTCAGAGGATAGCCGGTGGAAGGACTGGCAAACACTTGTTGTGGAAGAGCATTTGCCGGCGGTGTATACGTAGTTGCTGTTCTAGTGGTGGCGCAAGAAAAAGCTGTTACTCGCGCTCGTCCCGAAGGTGGAACGATCCTTAATTATTTTCGAAGACGCTAGAGTCGAAAGATCTCCCATTCTCTGAGAACATGGAGTTGCATCACGTTTTGCGATTTCAGGACCGAGTAATGACACTACTTTCTCGCTAGGTGGACCGAAGTATGCGTACCCACATGGTCAGATGTCGGAAATTTCACCCCCCTCTCGCGAGGGAGAGAGAGAAAGAGAAGGGGAGAGTGAGCTGCTTCCACGCTCGCCGCAGTGTGCGTCCACAGCAGACATAGTCCGGGTTCCACCTGTACTGACTGCGCCCCGTCTGTGATTGGGCAGAGGCAACTGGAGGGCCACCTGGGGGAGGTATACACGTGCCGGTTCTTCCCATCGGGCGTGGTGGCGCTGAGCGGCGGCGTGGATATGCAGCTGAAGATCTGGTCTGCCGAGTCCGGCCGCTGCGCCGCCACGCTTCGCGGCCACACCGCTGCCGTCCAGCACACGGCCATCGTCGACCGCGGCAGGAACGTCCTCTCCGTGTCCAGGTGAGCGGCGCCGGCGGCAGGAACGTCCTCTCCGTGGCCAGGTGAGCGTCGCCGGCGGCAGGAACGTCTTCTCCGTGTCCAGGTGAGCGGCGTCGGCGGCAGGAACGTCCTCTCCGTGTCCAGGTGAGCGGCGTCGGCGGCAGGAACGTCCTCTCCGTGTCCAGGTGAGCGTCGCCGGCGGCAGGAACGTCTTCTCCGTGTCCAGGTGAGCGGCGTCGGCGGCAGGAACGTCCTCTCCGTGTCCAGGTGAGCGTCGCCGGCGGCAGGAACGCCGTCTCCGTGTCCAGGTGAGTGGCGTCGGCGGCAGGAACGTCGTATTTGTGGGCAGGTTAGCGTGGCGTGACTGGTTGGCATGGCATGAGAAGGGATCATCCATGCGGGCAGGCTTTTATCGTGAGGGAGGGGAGGAGGGCGGGGACGTCGTGGCGATCCGTCGGTTCGGGAGGATAGCGGCGTCGTCCCGGTGCGCAGCAGCCTGCTGTCCGTGAACAGGTCGGTGTGACATGAGCAGGACAGGGGCGACCGAGCAGGCTGTGGTGGCCGTAGGCATGGAAGCCGAGGGAGGGTAGTGCCGTTTTCGGAAGCACGGCAACACGGAGAGGCCAGGGGTGTGGATGCCGCGGAGGCTCAGCCAAGCGACGCCTGAAGTCCCTTGTTCGGGGATAGCTGAACAGCTGCTGCCCACCAGATTGAATTCATCTGTTAGCATATATTGCCAGCCGGCCGACTGTGGCCCACATAACCAGGCGCCTTCCGGTTCACATCAGCAACGCAATCAGCACCCGGACACAGCGTGTCGGTGTGGGATCAGCCCGCCCGGCGGAGCGAGACCGCGCCATGATCGCCGCATGCCCCAGTGACCTGGCGTGTGACCCGCTGACCGGCGCCGCGCCATCGCCAGGGACGGCCGCTGCAAGCTGTGGGACGTGGGAGAGCAGCGCTGCCTGGCCGACCTCTGCTGCCTCGATTCGCCCGTCAACTGCGTGGCGCTGGGCGACCTGCCCGACGGCGTGGAGCGAGGAGTGCGCACCGAGCCGCCTGGTACGTCAGGGACGGCGCCGGGTCGGGTCCGCCTCCCTCCCGCCGTCGGGGGTCCCCTGGCCGGCACCGGCCGAGTCGCCCAGTAGGTCAGGGACGACGCCTGGCCGGGTCCGCCTCCCACCCGCCGGCGGGGGTCCCCCGGCCGGTACTGGCCGAGCCGCCTGGTATGTCAGGGACGGCGCAGGGCCGGGTCCGCCTCCCACCCGCCGTCGGGGGTCCCCTGGCCGGCACCGGCCGAGTCTCCCAGTAGGTCAGGGACGGCGCCGGGCTGGGTCCACCTCCCACCCGCCGTCGGGGGTCCCCCGGCCGGTACTGGCCGAGCTGCTCAGTACGTCAGGGACGGCGCCGGGCTGGGTCCACCTCCCACGCGCCGTCGGGGGTCCCCCGGCCGGTACTGGCCGAGCCGCCTGGTACGTCAGGGACGGTGCCGGGCTGGGTCCGCCTCCCACCCGCCGTCGGGGGTCCCCCGGCCGGTACTGGCCGAGCCGCTCAGTACGTCAGGGACGGTGCCGGGCTGGGTCCGCCTCCCACCCGCCGTCGGGGGTCCCCCGGCCGGTACTGGCCGAGCCGCCTGGTACGTCAGGGACGGCGCCGGGCCGGGTCCGCCTCCCACCCGCCGTCGGGGGTCCCCCGGCCGGTACTGGCCGAGCCGCTCAGTACGTCAGGGACGGCGCCGGGCCGGGTCCGCCTCCCACCCGCCGTCGGGGGTCCCCCGGCCGGTACTGGCCGAGCCGCTCAATAGGTCAGGGACTGCGCCGGGCTGGGTCCGCCTTCCACCCGCCGTCGGGCTCCCTCGGCTGACACTAGCTGGCACATCTCGCCGTGCTCAGGCAGTCATTTCTGCCGTTGTCAGCGAGGAATCGGCTCACTGGCTCCCTTCAAAGTATTGCAAATCGAATGTAAACGGCGGAGGCGGAGGCAAACGGAAAACGGCGTCACAAGACTGAGCAGGGGAATGGGCAGTTGTGGCGAATCGACACCACGGGTCAGGGGCAGGTACAAGGACCGAACTCAGTGTGGCAAAGTTCGGCCATATTGGTGCCAAGAAGAGCAATTTTTACTGCTATTGTGCACATGCCTAGGTGCCCATTGGCTGTGGCATGTCTCCCCGCTCAGCCTCTAGCCTGATGGTGATGAACCTAGTGTCGGTGCGCCTCGGGCACAAATCAGACGGACTAGTCGAGATGAGATCGTCCGGGTCGGGGACAACGCGTCGGCAGCAATGTGGAGGCGAAGACGGCGAATAAGGCAGGGGCAGGCAACATGAGTTAACGTTGGCTTCGCTGACACCAACTGGACATATTTGTCCACGCTGACCGGGGTCATCCCGTGAGCCACATCTCTCGCACCGTTTTGGACCTGTGTACGAGCCTCGCGGAGAGGGGAAGCATGGCGGACCCCGCAACGTTGAGGAGGGACCACAGGCGTTTTAGGTCTATAGCAGCTTGAATGTAGCCCAGTAGTACGAAAATGGCAGATGACACGGGTTGCTTGAATTCATGGTCTCGCCATTTAAATTCGAGGTTATCAGGTTTTGGGAAGGGCCCATCGGACTTTTGAGGCGGCCGCCCCGTTTTGAGTTTCTGGTGCAGTAACTGACTCCTTTGCGAGATTCTAGAGTCAGAGGAGTCGAGGCAGTGGAGACCAAAGGACACAGACACTGTACCCAACAACAGTCATGTCGCAGAAAACCCGTGCTATAAAGGACCAAATAAGTCGAACTCTACGTGAGGTACCGGTGCCTTCTCGGGCCGAAAAGTGCTTTCTATAGCAACTTTTGAAGTGGGAGCAAGGATTTTCTATCATGCCATTCAAGACAATTTGTTAGTGGAGCACACTTGCATTTAGTCAATTAGTCTATTTTATGAAAGAAAGGAAGAAAAGAAGGAAGGATGTATGCTAGAGTCTGCTCAGCCATCTACCTCACTACATCCTGCAATTAATTAAGTTTGGTGTCACAATACCAACTTTGGACCAGACCGTGCTTAAAGAACAGTGCGAAGATCGGCCTGCGGCGTCCATGCCTCCGAAAACGGCCAGTCGCGGGGCATGGGCGCCGCCGCCGGGGGCGGGCGGGTGCAGGAGGTCACGCTGTGCTCGCCTGGGCCGGAGCTGCCGTGTCGGGTGGCCACCACCGCGGTCTGCCGCCGCCGCCACCCACACCCGGTCAATATTGATGTGGATACTGTGTGTTGAGACGCATCGATTCGGCTGCCCGGTCAACCCCGTGAAACAGCGGGCCGGCTCCGGGCCGCGGCCGGCGCAGCGAGACAGAGCACAGCGAGCCGGCTCCGGAGCGCGGCCGGCACCTGGAAGACGCGCCGCCGGACAGACCGTGGGTCGCCGTGTCCCGATGCGGGCGCGTCCGTGCAGAACGTCACGTCAACTATTTGTTTCTGGAGAACTTCCCGGACGCAGTCACTTTCTAGCCTACACGATAAACAACTAGCGTTGCAGCCCAAGTTTTCGCTGACGCGTCTTCGTACGGCTCTTACCGCCAACTTGAGACTTTTGGCCCCATAATCCATCACCCACGGCTCTGGATTTTCTTCCGAAGTGGAGGCGTGATCGGTGGTCGCGCTTCCCCTATTTTGCCTGTTTTCCCGGCCAGCACGCTGCGTGATGTGTAACTTTGCGCTGCCTGTCTGTCTGGCACAAGATCGCGTCTGTTCACTGCATTCCATTCATCGGTCGTGGCCCGACATTCCGTTGTCTCGGATTACCGCCCAGACACACTTTCGGACACACAAGTATCCGGTGCATAGCCCCGGCACTGCCGTTACGTTTCCGGGTGCCATGTTTTGACCTCATTGCATCATTGCGTGTGTTCGCCTTTCCACAGATGAAAGCAAGCCACAGTCGGCTCGTTTGTAGACGTGATTGACACGGTTAGCCGAGTGTTAGACGTCCTCGCCCCACTAGCCGGTCACGAGAAGGCAGTAAGCCTTGCCTATGACGAGCTTCCCTGCATTCCAAGCCCCGAGTCCTCGTTTCCGCCCTCCGACTGGAGGTCACGTGTTTGCACCTCCGCTATCGTCCCTCCACACACCAGGCGCTTCCGGCAGCCTCACCCCGCCCCTCTCTCGTGTGCTGCAGACGAGCGCGAGGTGGGCACTGAGGGCCGGCTGGTGGCGCTCGGCGCCGAGGACGGCTCCGTTCGCCTGCTGCACGCCCACTCGCGCCACCTGGTGGGCCGCTGGCAGCTGTCGGCCGGCGTGACGGCGCTGGCCTGGACGCCGGCCGGACCGCTGGCCGTCGGCTGTCGAGACGGCACGGTCGCCTGGCTGGACGCGCGCGCCGCCGCGGTGACGGCCCAGCGCCGCTCCAGCTCGTCGGCCGTGCTGGCGCTGCTGGCCGCCGACGGCCGGCTGCTGGCGGCGCGCGCCGACGGGACTGTGCACGGTGAGATGGCGATGGAGACCGACGGGCCCGTGGCCGTGCTCAGTGGACCCGACTGTGAGCCCGTGTACGGCCTGAGCGCCGCCGGCGCCGCCCTCTTCACGGCCGCACGCGACGGCTGCGTGCGCCGATACCGACTGCCGCTGTAGCCGGGGGCGGCGGTGCGGCGCGTGTGTGCTGGCGCCTGCCATGCCCTGCCGGTCTAGCCCGGCGGTGGCGGTGCGGCGCGTGTGTGCTGGCGCTTCCCGTGATCTGCCGCTGTAGCCGGGCGAGCCCTGCTGATCCTGGCAGCTCCCCCTGGCTCGCCTTGTTGCGTGAACAGCCAGCGCCCCGTTCCGGCGGCGGGGCCGGCGATCTCGCGCAGTCGTAGTGTGTCGTATGCTTTTCCACGCCCGTACAACTGGTTTACAATCGCCGTGAGGTGGGTGTACTCCGCGGAATGTGTACATCGCTGCCAGCGTTCCTCAACATGCTGGCTGGTCAGGCATCAGTTTGTTGCCATTTTGACTTGGTAAGTCTTTGATAAGTACGTCTTTATCTCGTTCAAAAACTGCTGCTTCGTCCACATCCAATGATTATGCCTGCGTTTTTGTGTTGTTTTTTGACCAAAAGATGGGAAATGGAACGAAATTGGATTGGTGGGAGAACACGCCTTTACATCAGCTGCTAAAGGTGATGATGGTGGTTCGGGAATGAAGTCAGTAAACGTCATATACATGGACGGCATGCAGTCGTGCTGTTTGATGAAATGATGACGTGACGCGTAAATTGTACATGAAAACGCGCGTTCTGTTTGAAGGCGGAAAACACCCGTTAGAGGAAAATAGAAAAATATATTGGCGCCGAAGCAGAGTGGCAGGCAGACATTGCTATCGGCCGCTCCGTGTTAGTATTGCGTCCGGCCGGCCACGGTCTGGGGCGTGGGGACGACCGCCCCCACCCCGGACCTGGGTCCACACTGCGGTCAGCACATACACACGCACGCATCAACAAGGTGTCGTGACGGAACGGGGCGCCACCCCACCACCGGGGCACTGACACGGCCAGAGGAGCGGCCGCGCAGCCGCGTCCCAGCCGGGGGCAGCGCGTCCGATGGAGGAGCGGCGCGCAGCCGCGCCCCAGCCGGGGGCAGCGCGAGCGCGCCCGATGGAGGAGTCGCGCGCTGACCGCACATCCCAGCGGCGCGCACACATCACGCAAGACTGGCCAGCCCGAAGCGGAAATCACGATAACCGATGCGGGTCACGCGGCGTCACGCGTGCTGTGTGGGGCAACTGACATTCGTACCGCTTCGCACCAGAACAAGCGAAAAGCGCGCGCCGTGAGCAACGTTCAGTATGGGCAACACGCTCGCCCCTCCCGGCTCACCGGGAGTGTCCGAACAAACAGCAGCACAGGGGAATGCGAAGACAACGCACGCAATAAAGACACCACTCACAACCCTAGGACGGAACGGATTATCAGCTAACACTCAGCGCGGGCCGAAACAAGCAGCGAGTGCAGCCGACAACGCCTCACCAGCTCTCGTTGAGCAACGCTCGCCAGACCGCCACGCCCCGGCGACACGGCAGGCGGGCTGCCCGGCGCGCGCCAGCCTCGGGGCGCGAGCGAACGGGCCGGGGTCATGTCCTGGACATGGGTCGGGATGGTGCACAGGGCGGAATGGGACGGGGCCGCCGGAGCAGCGGCGGAGCTGCACAGGTGGAGGCGTTCAGCACGGTAACAGGCCTGCCGACCGACCCATCAAGCCAAAGACTCCCCGGGCCGCGAGCTGAAAGCGGACATCAGACGGGTGTACGTGGGACACGCTATACAGTCCTGTACGCTGCTGGCAGAGCCCCGCGGAGCCGATTCAAAGGCCCCCTGAATGGTGTTGTTATCGGTCGCAGCGGCATTTCCAGTCAACAGAACGCAGCTCAATGCCAACGAATGACATTCCACTTCGGAGACATATCTACAGCTACAGCGGAATACTTGAAGCAGCATGCTTCGCACGATCTTTACCGTCACTATGCACGTCCTGCATGCCGATCATGGGGAGCATAATACGTCAAACTTTCCTATATAATCAACTAGTTCCGTAAATGCACGTGAAATCGACGGTTAAAAGCTGCATGGATCGTGCCGCACTGAGTAAAAAAAAATAGTTTGATTACAAAAATGGCGAGTAAATATGGGCGTCTGTTAGGTAAAAGAAAGTGGGTTTCCAGACTGCAATCAAGATATTAATGCAGTTCGCTGTCGTATGCCCACAGCCGCAGGCATCTGCCCGCTCTCCTATTATTCGCTTGCATGAAATTATGCTCTAAAGGAATTAGCCATGTGCCAGCACCGGGATAAGCTCACAAGATAACAGCCAGATTAAGGCAACACTTCAGCTATTGCGTGCAGTGAACTGATTGGTGTGAGGCCTCAGTGAGCTGTGGGGAATGGAAGCAGCTGGAGCGTTCACATGTTGGCTTCCTGAAGCCGTTTTCTCTGGAATATTGCAAGCAGCAAACTCTTCGAAGCTGCCTTGAATGTAGGACACTGTTCATGATATTTTCAAAGATATGGTCATTAATGAAAAACATCATGTGCTTTAAGTTTCTTGAAAGACGAAGAAGGCCTCTCACCCATTGATCTGGTTTCTTCTTTCATGACTCCGCAAAACAAGAGGAAGTTTCAGTTTTTAGGTCGTAAGGCCATCCAGCCAGAAGCATGAAGCATCCAGCCATGAGCATGAAAAACTATTGTTTTAGGGAGCCAATACATTTCATGCCGGCCTATTACATGCAATGTGCGCATTTGTAAATGGATAATTTTGAAGTCACGCCTATACGGCCTTCACGAAACTGGCCAAATGCAAGGATCTGGTCGACGCAAACAAGCACCGATTAACCACGCCTCTTGCTGGCGAGAGGAACCAAAACAGAAACGGATCAGTTTCACGCCACTGACCGATTCCATTTGTTCTCATGCATCAGCAGATCGTGTCCGCTCCCCTAGCGAACCCACCCCTCGAACGCCCGCTTGACCTCAGTCTGCAGTTACCGCCTGCAGGCGGCCATACCGGCGAGGTGCCTGAGAACACGCGTTGCTCTACCCAGCGGGAGGCGTGATAGCATGCCAGCAGGAAGCACTGTACCCTGGTGTCGGTTCCGAGCTACCTACATCCCCGCAGAGGTGCCACGTGGCTAACCGCGACGCACTCGATTCCGACGCACAATGAACCAACGTTGTGCACTTCAGCGGCGACAAATTGCTACGCTACAACCGGAGCGCATCGGCGCTCTCACCTTCCGGAGTCCGCTCGCCGCTGAGCCGAGCACAGACGAAAGGGTAGGTGCATCCCACCACCGCGAGCTGGTGCGCTGGTGCCGCCCAGGTGAGGGGCCGCGAGGCGGCGGCCGCCTCCGCGGCGCTTTCTCCTCCTCCGCCGCCGCCGCCGCCGCTGGCTCGTGCCGCCGCCGCCTTACCTGATGACGTTGAGCGTCACCAGCCGGTTCTTGCCGAGCCGCTCGAGCAGCGCGTGGCCGGCGTCGCGGCTCAGCTCGCACCACTGGTACTTGTCGATGAGGTGCGCCTCCTCCAGCGGCTTGCGCACGGGCACCAGCAGCGTCAGGCAGAGGCCGGCCGGCTGGTCCGGCTCGTGGGCGTACTCCACCGACAGCACGCCGGCCGGCCGGTGGGGCGGCAGGTCGGCGCCGAACATCTCCTGCGGGCCGCGGCACACAGGCGCGCGGTCAGGTGTCGCCTGTGGTCCAACACAAGCGGCAACTCCCGCCCGTCTCTGGCGCTGTTCACGGACACGGGGGTCGCATACACAAGGCGCACGACTTTCAGACACGAGACGCGCGTGAGACCGAGTGAGCGACTTGATTATTGACCAGGCAGACCAAACGAGCAATATTATTAGGATCGGCAAAAAGACTGTTGGCCAACATCCAGCCCGTCATATTGACCACTTTCATGAAATCACCGCCATTTCTCTCCTCTGTCCTGCCCACCCACAGTCATAAGCAAACGGTCCCAATGAAGATGCGTATATGCCTTGAACCTAAAAGCCTACCCATTTTGCTCATTAAGTATCAATACCTGTGACAACACACAGGCCTTTCGGGACCACGCTGCCATGTCCTGGGACAAGGCGCATTCTAGAAGGTGTCATGGCTCAATAGGGTTCACAGTCATCAGCTGACTGGAAGAAAAAAAGCTACGGCGCGAATAGGCCAGCCTTGTGATGAGCCACTATAGGAGCCATGGCTTATGGACGTAAGGCACGTGCTCGTGCAAACCACGTCTGCACACATCGGAGCGCTGTCACCAGGCCGCCGCCATGCCACACGCACCGTCATGTACTTCTTCAGTGTGGAGTGGATGCTGCGCGGAGGTGATATTTCACAGGTCGGCAGGTGAAGCGACGTCTTCTCCGACATCAGCACACTCACGCGGTTGCTGCGGAAGGCGCAAACACATCCAACGCTTCAACGGTGGGTACAGATACGACGTTTGTAGGCCAGAGCAATACTCATGTGAGCCCAGCGTAGCGAGTTTGCTACGCATGACGTAGCAACGTGATACAACGATATGTAAACATAGTGAATCTCAATTGCTCCAGGACCTCAGTGAACTGAAACATATCATATCCATCTACCAGTCGATAGAAGAATTAACGTCATTCAATCCCGCACAAGGTGCGTTCTTAGAACTGGTAGATTCCGTCCTGCCGGCAGGCATCGCTTGACATCAAACGTGCGGTGCAATCCCACCTGACACACCCAGTCTGCTGTGCACTCCCCCCCCCCCTCTCCCCCTCTCAGCCGGCGCGCGTCCGCCTTACTTAGCGCGTTTCCGGACGCAGACGACGAGCCGGAGCAGGAGGCGGTCGTGGCGCCTGGCGGCCGGCAGCAGCGGCCGGTGCCAGGGCGTCTCGCCGCGCCGCTGGTACGCCTGCGACAGCTCCACCAGCGGCACGATGTCGGTGGCGCGCAGGTCGAGCGAGGTCAGGTCGGCCACCCACTGCGCCTGCAGCGACTCTGGGTCGGCGTCGGCCGGCGTCTTCAGCCGCCCGCCTGCGCCGGCCGTGAGGGTAAGACGGTCAGACGCACGCCAGCACCGGCCGGGCGTGCTCACAGACTGCGGCTCGTCACCGGCCGGACATCCGCTGTAGTCACGCAGCGGTCAGCTGGCGCGCCGTGAGCGAGGCAGGCCGGCGACAGCCAAGAGGACGCGAACCACACCACACAAGCCCGGCATCAGCGTCCGTAAGATCAAGATACCATCAGAGCAATGACCGCAGCATGAGCCGGCACAAGGCATGGATATCACTGAGAGTCCTGAAGGCGACAAAGCACGAATCTCCAAACACGAACGCTATATGCACACCCGGTCAAACTGGTCGGGCTCGCCACGCTCCAGCCGCGGCGTGGAGGCCAGCGCGGCCCCAGGCGCCCCGTCGGCCGCCGCCTGACGCACCAGTGATGCTGCCGGTGACGACGAAGCGGTACCAGGCGCCGCCGGCCGTCTCTACCATGAGCAGGGTGGTCGGCTCGAACTCGAGGCCCGTCTCCTCGAGCACTTCACGTCTCGCCGCCTCGGCGATGCTCTCGCCCGGCTCCATACGGCCGGCTGGCAGGTACCACTGGCCGGCGCAAGAGCTGCCAAGGGGAGGGAGGTCAGAGCACGGCCTGGGGACGCGCTGGCAGGTACAACTGGCCGGCGCACGAGCTGCCAAGGAGAGGGAGGTCAGAGCACGGCCTGGGGACGCGCTGGCAGGTACAACTGGCTGGCGCACGAACTGCCAAGGAGAGGGGGGATCAGAGCACAGCACGTGGCCGGCTGGCAGGTATCACTGGCCGGCGCACGAGCTGCCGAGAGGAGGGGGATCAGCGCACGGCGCGCGGACAGCTGGCTGGTACCGCTGGCCAGTGCACGAACTCCCATGGGGAGGGGGAGGGGGTCAGACCATGGTGCGCAGATGGCTGGAGCATGTGACTGCAGGCACTGGGCCCTGAGTAGGGGCGCCCACAGAGCCTGGCCACCTTAGTGTTAAGGACTGAGAGTCCATCACTTTCATGCAGTTGCTGAATTTAAACATAAACTTTGTCAAACAAGACACTTCAGATAGAGGGTAGTCATGCACTACATGTCGGTCAAGACAGTTGGTATGTGACATCTGGGGAACACACAAACCAGCAGTCCTTTACCTTTTTGCCTCTTGTATCATCAATACTTCTCCATTGTCATTTACAATGGCTCCAGCCACAATGTAAAACACATTTTTCTTCAGCTCTGGTGTAAATGTAGATGGCGTTGATGGTGAAACTCCAGTGGCAGCTGGTGGGAAAACATGACATCAGTCATGCTCACAAGAACAATTCCTTGCCAGACTACTCACTTGGTCTTGTATTCACTGGTATACAAGGCTTACTCCATGTGCTTCAGCACATGCAGCAACCTGTTCTGCATATAGGCAAACTGCAACTAAAAGCATGCAATCTTTTATTTCCATGCCATCTGTGGACTTTCAATTGCAAACAAAGTCTTTACTTGTGACTTTAGATGGCACACTTCTTTTCAATACTTGACAGTTAAGACAGCAAAAAGATAATGATATGAGCACACCCAAACAAATATCATCCATTTTCGGAGTACCTTACCAGTTGCCTCATTTTGCTCTTCTAATGAAAAATCACAGAATTCCTCTGTTTCAAGGGGTTGCCCATCCAGCAGAGCTTGCACCATTTCTTCAGCCATGTCTGCAGCTCCACTTACACCTGAAAATAAATGGTCTGACCTTTAGCACACTCCCAAATTTCACATTTACTAAGTGTAACATGACAGTGTAATGTGACATGGACAGTGCATGTTTCATCTCTACTTTTTGTGCACAGCATCACATCTAATGAAGCTTCTATCATATCATAACATTAATAGCTAGATGCTGCACTAAGCCAGCAACTATCTTATCACCCATGCATTTTCACTATCCCAAGGCAAAAAGGCCAAAGCATCATAAGGTAAAAAACACTCCTGCCTTTTTGCCTTTAGAGAGCATACTTCAAATTAACCCACCATAAATCTACCAAGATTTGGGATTGAACTGAACTGAAACAAGACACTGAGTACTACTTCCCAATCAGATCCAAATTATTGGAGGTCAAGGAACATTTTACCTCAAGCTTTATGTTATGGCTCAATATAATTTCCTACCAGCTTTCACTATTGCTAATGTCCGCAATGTATTTGAGAAGCCACAAGTAGACCAACATGCATCCTGATATCTTGTGGATTACAACTACTGTTTTGAAATCCCTGGGGATCTGTTGCAGGTAAAAATAGCAGGAAATTTCTGGGGTTTTGGGTGTTTATTTCCATGCAGCTCCAATGTCAGGGCTGCATTCTTACAATTGGTAAATTCTACCCAACTCCTTTAACAGCTTATCCAATTACACTATTTGTGGCACATACACATTTCATTGTGAACAATTTTCCTCAAAGGCCTCCTCTTCAGCATTTCAGCAAATCATGACCTGGTGAGAGTACCCTCTTCTGGCTCAGCGAGTCAGCACCTAGCAGTACAATTTATTCCCTGCAACAGCCCTAGTTGCATCCTACACACAGATTTCAAAGCGCAGCTTTTCGCCTGCAATCAGAAGAAATCCCACGATCACACTTAAGATTACCAAAGATGAATTCGGTTCAACCACATCATTGAGATAGGAACAGGCATTTTCAAAGAAAAAGTTAACGTTTCATTCTTCCACATTAAGCATCCACACAACACCATTATCACTCCTACACCCTGCTTCCCCAAGTTATCACATGGCCTTACACGCATCCCCCATTCTGATAAATTGTGTAGTGTGTACACAGCCCGCGGCCTTGAGCTGGGCGTGTCGTACCGACGCGCGCTGCCACGGTGCTCACGATGCGACTGCTAACGGTGCTTTTTGGTGGGGGCCAAGAGAAACGAAGAAATGTAAAGCCTAAATTTATATTTTCGTGTATTTGTCCTATATCGTTCCAGAAGTTGTGGTTTTTCCTGCAGCCAGTTCCTGCAAGTGCTAAACTGATCAAGCTGAATGATTTTTCTGATGAAAAGGTAATCATATTATGAGAACATAATGTACCTTAAAGCATATTACCGTGTGATGAGTGATCCATAACTTACGCTGATACGTTATGAAGGGAAATATATCGCAGTCATGTGGGCTGCTTAATGTTTTTACGGGGGGCCTAATATGAAGGATTTTAGAAGATCCTGCCTTAGCTTCTTTTGTAGCTGTTTTCTTGCTCGGCAGCGGGAGAATAACTCCAGATTTTTTGAAGATTGTGCTTGACCATAAACTGGCAGTGAATTAGCAATTGTCTCCAAACTTTCTCTTTTTGTATCAAGTCACTGTGGCGCTGCGTTGACGAGCCCGGTTCGTGCTTGCGTCGGGCGGATTTGGCAAGGACGGAGGGGTGAGTGGGTTAGGGCTATGATGGATATCCATGATTCGTGATGTTTTCCTGATTTTGAATCCCTGTCTGCACGGACCGGGCGGGTGTAGGTATCCGCTTCACCCATATGACGTTTTTGGAGATTGTTGTTGGAGATTGTTTTTGGAGAAGTTGAGAGCTGGTTATGAAATCCTCAAATTTTGAGCTTCCGTTCATTAATTTCGGTCTGCTGATAACGAGGGCTACACTGCGAACTAAATTAGTGGCTGAGTAGTGTAAACAGATAAAGTATGCCCTCAAAACGCATCAACCAACCAGCCAGCAGGTGTGCCCTTCAATTTGGCTTATTCACCTCAAAGTTGGATCGGGAGATTAATTTGGTTTGTGGTCAGGCCACACTAAATATGTGTTATGTTGAACATGTACTGCACAGCAGCATCCAGTGACATCCTGGCAGCAATTTGTACTCATGTGTGCCATAATTGAACCCTCAGAATTTGGCACTTTATTGTCACCAATATCACATTGTGAAGTACAGTGTTGCTAGGATTTATGTTGGTTTAAAAACAACTTCAAAGTGCACCCTAAATATCCCTGAAGAAAAGGCAGCATGGAAGTTGGCACAAATTGGCCTTGTCTACAGTCAGTGCATGTGTGCATCATGTTCAGTGCACCAGTTTTTAGGTAGGCATGTGGTGCAGTAAATGTATTTTTTATAGACCAGGGGAGCAGGCTGGAGCTTCCCAACTGTAACAGTAACTAAACATCTGATTCAGTACTTTTCAAGTGCAGGATATGTTGGGCCATTGACCCAGGGAAGTTTTAGTCAAAACCTATTGGTCCAAAATGTGGATGAGCTTGAGGCTTCAATGCATTATAATGTGAACTTCCTGTGGTCTTCATTTAATAGCTTAAGCTGTTGTTTCTAACCTGTTGACTATATTTCCATCTCAGAAGTCACTGTAGATCATATGTTTGGGTGCATAAATATTCACTCATATTTTCCAATCTCAGTGTCAAGAAGTTTGCAAGTTTTAAATCAAGTTATTGGTTTTTGGCTAACTGTTCCCACTTTATATTTATGAGTTGGTGATATCCATCTGCAATTGAGATCGTGCTCTGTCAGGTTTGCATGCACTTTCCACAGCACACCAGTGTGTTCAAGGTAGCACACCTGAGATTGAAGAGATCCATTTGATATTGAATGCAAATAATCAGCTACAAATTGGTTTTGGGATAAAAAAAATTTCAAGCACTAAATTATGAGGGATTTAGTTGTCTATTCAGCTGAGTGGGCCCCAGCCCTGCATTCCCTTACTTTGAAAAGAAAGTTATCCAAATCTGGGAAGAATGTACTTTTTGTATGCATATTCTGGGATGATTTGAGCTATTTTCCAATAATCAGCCCAACCTACTTTCTTAAGCTGTATCCTTGTAAATCATCACATGGTTTCCCAACTGTAGAATGTTTCCAAGTGTCACCAGTGGCATGAACACTGTGTGTCATTGGGGTTTTATAATACACTTGGCTGCTGAGGCCATATGATGTCACATGCCTCTCACCCTGGCAGGAAGGGCGGGCACCGCGGGGAATCGAACCCATACCCTCGGTTTCCCAGACGCATAATGGTCGACATAGATACGTTATCTACTACACTACTGGCACCCCCGGCATGGACACTCGGTTTGACAACAGCGTGTCGGGATTTCAGTGAACATCACGTTGTGATCGGCGCCGTGAGATGGCGTTGTCGGCTGTGTACCGGACTGCCGTGCGGGCCGCTGATAGATATGTGCCGAACAAGCTGCGTCCCATCTGGGAACACCCGGCCGGTGAGTGCCAGCCCTCCTCTGACCGCCGGCCATGCATGCTGGATGGAAAACATCTTCCCCTAAGCATGCATGGCCATGCATGCTTAGGGGAAAACCTCTTGACTGTGGTATCAGAAGTAATTATTGTGAAACCTCATCTATGCGTTAAATCACCATCACCCCCAGTCACATCACCCGTACAATCACATCACCCGTCCCTCACATCATTTGGCACCCGTTCCTCGTCGATGCTTGATATTAAGTCATTATGCATTGCTTCATCAGCTACATTCGATGTTTGTTGACACTGCGATGTTAGTTTTTGAACTAAACTTGATCCATTTTCCAGGCCCCAAGACTGTCTTTTTCTGGGCACCGGGATTTAAATGGGTACGTAAGATGTTGTAGATTTACGCTGCTAAAAATTAGGTGTTGGTAGTTCTATATGTTTTTGACTGGAAGAATTTAATTGATTACTACGCTGTTTACAATGTGTTAGTTGCTTTGTTCTTTGTGGGTAAGGTCTCTACTCCCTAAGTTCGTAAATGGTGTTGCCCTGTGCTTTGCACACATTGCGGCGACGAACTGCCTTGTTCTCCCGTGTTCTTCTGCCGGAACACGTCCGACATCACACGCGGCTCCACACAGACGTTGACCGCTCGCGTCACGGTCCCCTCCCGTCAACGCTGCTGCAAAGAGCGACTTTCATGTGCGTGTTCCTCCGACGAAGAGCGGCTTTCGCGCGCGTGTTCCTCCGACGAAGAGCGGCTTTCGCGTGCGTATTCCTCCGGCGGAGTGTGTCGGGCGCGGCGATGCGATGCTACCCTCCGTGTGCGCTAGCGCCCGTTCCCCGGTTACGTTGGGTACATGCGGCCGGCGTGGCCATACCGGCCGCGTCTGAGCACTCTGACCGCGCCGCCGCAGTGTCTGGTGATAGCCGGCCTGGGCGACGTCAACCGGCCGGCCGAGAAGCTGAGCGTCGGCCAGGCGGGCGCGCTCGCCGCCACCGGCATCATCTGGTCCCGGTGCGTGGGCCGGCCGGCAGCGCCGCCTCGGCGCGGGGCGGGCTGCCGGCGCGGCGGGGTCGGCCGCTCCCAGCCGACGATCGCCCGCGGTGCCGTCAGTGTTCAACATCAGCTGGGGTTTGGGATTTGCTTTTGCACCTGCTGTTATTAAAGTCGGAACCTGGGAGGCTGTGTGCAATGACGCAGCAGGTGCGGTCAAATGCCGATTCTCTGCCAGGGTCGACCTTTCAGACTTTGTTAGACCATGGCCGAAGTCGTAGTGGATTCTGTTGTCATTAGATTAAATGGGTTTATGAATGAGCTCTGAAATGAGTGGGATGTAAATATTTGCCCTTCGTCTTTCCAGACTGGCAGACCGTTACGTTTCGCACGTAGGGATTAGACATCTTGCTTGCATGAACTCACGCGAACTATTGCCCCGACCAGGGTCTACCCGTCTCGAGGCGGGACCGTGAACATGACGGATCCTTTGACAGATACTCCATGGTCATCACGCCAAAGAACTGGAGTCTATTCAGCGTGAACCTGTTTGTTGCGGCCACCGGTCTGTTCCAGCTGGCCAAGATAGCTCTGTAAGTGGTGCACTCAGTAGGCACTGTCCACTTTCATTTGACGTGAGCCTACGACAAAGGATGTCGTTCACTCGGCTGGTTAGCTGAGCCATCGGCCTTTTCCAGCTTGTTGAGACAGCTCTGTAAGTGCTGCCCTGATTTAGTGTTGTGTGCCCTCACTTGGCTGGGGTCCACGACGGAGGACACGTTGACCGAACCAGTAAGCTGTGTGTTCCGGGCTAAGTCCAGGCGTTTATGACGAGTCAACCTTCAGGCTGAGTGAGGCTTAACTTGAACTGACCGGGACTTGCATGGCTTCGGGGGACTGGCCCGGCCCTGACAGTCACGCCTGTGACGGGGTCGCGTCTCTGCAACCAGTCACCGCACCACCAACCGTTCAGTAGCATACAGCGGAATTAGCCGTGAGAGTTTGTGGCGTTTCGGAGCTGTGATGTAATGCATGCGAGGCACTCAAATGCAGACCGTTTTTGTCGGGCGGCGTGTTCTATGACGTGGCCGTGTGGCCACCATTTCACCTCACCACTTGAGTAACGAGGGATAAATAACGTTTGTCGCAAAAAAACACAAACAAAAAACGAAGAACGTGGGTCGGAATCAGGTTCACATCTCGGCGACCATTAGTCGCAGCAAAATGGGTTAACCATCGCTGACCAAGAAGAAAGAAACCGATCGCACGGGCAGAAGTGTGGACCAATGCGCGCAGATTCGCGCTCGCAGTCATACGCGAACTGCGGGCTCGCCCATTTTCGGTAATTCTGTGGATTGATGTCAGATCTTGGCAACCACAGCAGGCGGAGACGCGAGGCAATCTGTGTATCACGTGTATGTCAGTAACACTAACTAATAACAAATCAACAATCACGGTGTATGTGAAAGCACCGATCAAAAGTCCATGGGCGTTTTAGCAACGGACCGGAAGGCCACCAATGCATTTCCCCAAACCGGCCTCATCTACAACACCCTATGGTCTAAATTGGGGCAGACCGCCCCATGGAAGTCACACAGGCGGGTGGTTGGACACAATGGTGTGCCCAATGTCCACCCAAAACATCCGCGATTTCTACCAATGCTTCCATTTCAGTCACCAAAGGCGTACACTACCCAAAATTCAGTCACCGTCCCAACAGAAACTGTCAGGCGTTGGCAGGCCTAAAGCCAGTCAGTACTTCACTCATATTATAGTGCTTGAACGCTAAATACCTATCTTATTATCTCATATATTATCACTATATAACATTATCTCCATACTGCTGAGTACCCCCATCTGCTGAAATCAGGTAATGAAGGTTTTCTAATGCATTAACGAAGGCTATTCGTATAGGTTTCCATAGATAAGCCTTTCACACTTCCGTCCAAGTATCGTCCTCGCGGCACAAGTCGAGTCTCATCGCCTTGCTCGCGCCACGCCGTGGAGACCGCTGTTTCGTTGGAGTCTCTGCTTCGGATCGCATAGTCGACTCGGTATCATGGCACGATTATCGCTAAAGCCCACCGAGCCGGCATGTTTAAGCATCTCTAGCTGCACTGGTTTCCGCGTCGTTGTGTCCTCCGTCGCAGGCGGCTACCGCGTCTTACTTCATTCTGTGCTCACTTGCATAGTGTCTGTGCCGGTTTACATCAGATCTGCACCGGCAAGCGAGGGGCATCGTCCCGACAGCTCCCGCCAATCTCTGAAGAGGCTTGCGCCGACCTGCTACTGAGACCGCGCCGTTCCGCTGTTGCAGTCATCGCCGCTCTCTGGCCGCGCAGGCCGCCGCCACCTAATGACCACACAGCAAGTCCTGGCAGATGAAGCACGTGACCACGGCCGCCTCGGCGCGCGGCCTCGATTGGGCCGCCCCGATACTGTGATGAATGTGTACCAGCTGACGACTCCGCCCGTCCGCTTTGATGCTGCTGACCGGAGGTCTGTTTGTGAACATTTTGCGCCGCTCGCCGGGACGTCCGCGAGTCAGTTAGTTATGATGCGGGTCCGCCTGTGTTCCTGACGCTGTACTAGTCTCGCGCTAGTCAGCTGGCGCCGGCGCCGAGCTCAGGGCGAGTCCTGTCGGTCGGCATCAGCGGCTCTTCTTGTAGGTGTATGTGTAGGGGTTGAGCGGTGCGGTGTCGCTCGCTGGACCCCCGGGTAGCCTGGATTGTTAGGTGGTTACGGAATAAATATAAGGGTGATACACATGTTCTGTCACTGGAGATTTACTGGGAGTGAACGCACGCCCTTTTCGTCGGGGATTTACTGGGAAAGTGTGTGCTTTCGGAGTAGTGTGTGCTCACTTTATCGGAGAGAGACAGTGCTGATCATTGGCGTCTGGCAGTGATCAGGACTCGGCGGAAGGAGGTGGCGATCAGTGGCGTCTGGCGGTGGTCAGGACCCGGCGGGAGGAGGTGGTGATTGGTGGCGTCTGGCGGTGATCAGGGCTCGGCGGGAGGAGGTGGTGATCAGTGGCGTCTGGTGGTGGTCAGGACTCGGCGGGAGGAGGTGGTGACTGGTGGCGTCGGGGGCGGGCGTCCCCTGCAGCCTCCCCAGGAACGCTGCCAACCAGACCGCAACGCAAGCCGGACCCTACACACGCTCACCGGTGTACCTCCCACGATCTTTTTATCAGTGGGCCTGTCGTGTGTCGGTAAACCGAGTCCATACAAACGGCAAACGAATCCAGACAAATTTGAAAACAACACGCCAGAGGGTGTACGGCACGCGATTCTGGAGTTCGAACGCGCAAATCAGTTCGTCTATAGCCCGCATCACGACAGGGCCAACCCCGCACTGCCTGCGCCCAAAGCTTGGGGACGGGTGGCTGGTGTTGCCTCTGCACAAAGCTCCAGATGTACTACGCGCCTGTGACTCATCACTCCTCGTAAGTCTCAGTCTGCCAAAGGTCTAGTCGGTGAACAACCAGCTTATATGACGAATATTATCGGCCAGTTTACAAAGACTACAACCCACGTTACGGAAAAGGCATGCACCTCTCCCCACCACGTCATGCGGTACTCCAACACTACCTCACGTAGTCCCTGTAACTGCCAGGGGTCGGACGCTACCTGGGAGTGCACGCCCAATACAGCCTACAGTAACACGTACTCTGGGCACCAGCCGTGCCGTGGCCTGCCCCACGGGCGGCCTGTCTTGTGCCGGCGCGCTGCGGCCAGGATCAGGACACCGGAGCCCCTCTGTCGGCGTGTATTACCAGAGGCGGCCGCCGCCGGTCGAGGCCCGGGCCCGCCGCCGCCACCCCCCGGCACCCCGCACACCGTGTTACGACACCAAACACACAGCGAGAGACACAGAAACTGCTGGCGTCGCCGGACCGCACGGCGCGCCGTCGCGCCCGACCGCTCTTGCCACTGCGGTGCGATAAATACGGCGATAACTCACTACAAAACATGAACAGTTTGCACGCTAGTGCCCGCGCCACACACAGCTGATATCTGGTAAAGCCCAGGGAGCGACCGCCGCGCGTGCGCGCGAGAGGCGGCCCGTCGCCCATCGCGCTCTCGCAGGAATGCTTCAACACCGCCGTTCCGACAACAGCCGAAACGCCAACCGGAAACCGAGATGAGCCGCCGAGCTTGTACACACCATCCGGCCGCCGTCGAAGTTCCGTCCAGGTCCGGCAGGCGGCGCCGCTGCGGCGCGCGGGAAGCGGGGCGCATGCAGCTAGCTACTTCCTACAGTGAGACGGGAGAGAAAACGGTCAGCCGGGCGGTGAGCGTGTCTGCCGGTCGGCTGTCGGGCGAGGTGGCCATGCGGGACGGGACACTCGTGACACCGGGGCTCGCGCGCGGCCGCCCGCCGGCCCGTCCACACCCGCTCGGCGGTGGGAAGGAGGAAGCAAGGGCGTGAGGTGAACACGACCGAGGCGGTTACTTGAGGTCCTGCTGCTCGTCTTCCAGCATCTCCTCGATGTCCTTCTCCCAGTCGCCGTTGCTGTCTTCCTGGACGAGCTCGTAGTCGCCCAGTTCGGCGTTGAGCTCACGCTCCCAGTCCTCATCTGGCCGACACACAGCACACCGACACGCTCTCACCATGGGCCGCTACCGCTACACTGGGCACCTACCGGCGCTAGCCGTCTAGCTGGCGGGCGCATGCACCACAACACTCACACGCACGCCCACAGACACGGGCCGTGAACAGAGAGGGGCAGGGCGACAGCGACAGACAGACGGGGCGGAGATAGAGAGAGATAGAGAGAGAGAGACTGCAGGCAGAGAGCGAGGTGTTGGGGGCGGACAGAGGGAGGCGGCGGCGCGCTGGCGTTATCTAGAGTCCGGCCGGCGCTGAAACAGACCAGCCACGTCTCAGCCGTGCGGCGCGCAGGCGTCATCAGGCACAGCCCGGCCCGGCCGGCCAGCGGCAGCACCCTCGCGCCACGGCAGCAAGGTTACAGTTGAGACCAGCTGTGCGGCAGAATGACCCCGTGGGCACCGCCGTCACGCACTGGCCCCAGCAGACTACACCATGACAAGGCACTGGCCGGTCTTGGAACTTTGACTCGGGTGATCGTTTGCTCTCGACCAAGACAGCTCGAGAAACGCGTCATTTTGACCAGCTGAACGGAAGGCTCCCAAACTCAATGAATAGTCTGATAATATTAACACACAAAATCTGCACACTGAAAACAAGGTGTTGCATATCACATACAACGCGATTTGATAGGCGACCTATCCTCTACATGTCTTGCTCTTCAACGCAGAAAATCAGGCGACCGGAAATTTGGAAAGCGATCGGCACCATTCTGTGAAGCTCACCGACTAGACTCACTACTAATGCGAAGAAAAACGAGAGAGCGAGCAAGAGAGAGCGAGAGCGAGAGAGAAAGACTAAGGGCAGGGGAGTGAGCGGAAGGATCCAGGATGCATGATGTGCATTGCGTGAGTGTTGTGGTACCAGCGCCATCTACCGCTAGCCAACAAATCAACCAAACTCAGCGAACGCCATACACAAACGCTTGGTGGATTCCGCACATTGAAATCAGCAGTGGTTCGACACGACAGTGAATGGTACTGGCAGTATTTTATTTTTACGAAAACGTGGTAAAACATATATACAAACACAAAGAAATGGCAAAAATATCCAGATTTTGACTCTGGAACCATCTTAAAGTTTGGTCAGTGAACGGCAATATGGGCGCAGTCACATGGAGAAGCTCAAGACCAAATTCAAACTCAATCAAACTAAATTTGAGCACCGACGTGCCCAAACAGCAGCAGTAAACGAGATCCTGAGCCTTCACAAACGTCACGTTCCGGTGCTGGTCTGAAAAAATGCCAAAAATGGCGCTGTCGTCGGTAACGGACTCCCAATTTTCGACACTCACGATCCTTGACCTGATCCAGAATACAAAGAAACTACGTCAGGCAGACGACAATATAATTATAAGCTCGAACGCCACGTGGCTGGCAAACAAAAAATAAGCAAGAACAACAACAAAAAACGGTGCTGCAGCCAGGCGTAAGTCTCCAGATTACCTGGTGAGTCCCCACGCTATTCGTGGGGCGCGCGAGCCGACCTAGGTGTCGCACCTTTTTTGTTCATGCCCAGCTGCCGAATGCCGGCGCGGACCTCCTCCAGGTCCTGGGAGCTTGGCTGTATGCTGTCCGAGACAAACTCGTGCGGGCTGTCGGGTCGCTCTGCCGCCTCCTCTTCCTCCCTGGCGTCTGCGGAACACGAGCAAACTGGCAGCCGGCACGGAGAACAGGCCGCCCTGCCCCCGCCCCTCCCCTTCTCTCTGAGGTGTCCGGATCTGTCCAGTACAGACTTGTTGAGTCAACACGCAATAAGCAAGTATCGGGTGGCGGGGCTGGACAGAGTCATCTCCAGCCGACGCAAATAAATGGCCAGAACACCCCGACCACAAATTGGTAATTTCACGCCGCGAGCCCGAGCGGCCACACACGGCCACCAAATGTCCCTGCACCGTCGGAGGACGGGCTGCAAGCGGCCAGGATTGCGAGCCACCCAGCGCCCCTGCACTGCCCGGATCACGGGCTGCACGCGGCTTCCTGTTGCGCCGGCCCGTCTGCCCGGTGAGGCCGGCCGCGCCGCCCAGCCGCGCCGGCTAATGCCGTCGGCCGGGCCTCGGCCGCCTCTCCGAGCCACGCCAGCCGGGCCTCGGCCGCCTCTCCGAGCCACGTCTGCCGGGCCTCGGCCGCCTCTCCGAGCCACGTCAACCGGGCCTCGGCCGCCTCCCAGAGCCACGTCAACCGGGCCTCGGCCGCCTCTCCGAGCCACGTCATCCGGGCCTCGGCCGCCTCTCCGAGTCACGTCTGTCGGGCCTCCGCCGCCTCTCCGAGCCACGTCAGCCGGGCCTCGGCCGCCTCTCCGAGCCACGTCTGCCGGGCCTCGGCCGCCTCTCCGAGTCACATCAGCCGGGCCTCGACCGCCGGTGATCGATGTCGACATCAGCTTCGGGGCCAAGCCGCCGGCTCCCCGACTCCGGCGCCTAGCTCGGAGCCGGCTCCCGCGCGCGGCAGCGACGCACAAGCCGTTTTGCCGGAGGCGGCAGTCCGTCTGTCGTCTGTCCCTGGCGCACCTGCCCGGCGACGTCGGCGCTCGATTTTGCTCGTCGCCCCGCTCACACACACGAAACGTTGCCAGACTCGCGACGCGCCGCCTACGCAATCTGCACGTTACGACGGCGTCGGCTCCCGACCGACGGACGAGTCTGGCGGCGTATCTGTCGAGCGAGTGGCGCCCCCCGCCATGTGAAGACCCACATCCAGCCGGTGTCATGTATCTACATCGGTCCGGCCAGCGGAATCGAACGGATGCCTGGCTTCGAGCCGACCGCGGTCAATCGTGCGACGCCAGAGACCGTACAACATCCATGGGACAGAGCTCTGTGTGGGCCCGGAGAAAGTGGCACGCTGAAGGGGGCGGCGATAACCGATAGTGGGCAAAGAGATGTACAAGCACATCAGCGCCGCAGCCAGGGCGGGAATTTGGGGAGATGTCCCTCCCCCCCCCCCCACCAGGATCCCCGGAGGCGGCCGCGGGTCCCCCTAGGGCAGAAGGTGACAGAAATTTTTGAGAGTGGATAACGCCCGTAGAACTTCTAAAAATTTAGAACAAACGGGTCACCGTTGTATCCAAATGGACATCACGCTTAAAAAGTTGTTCCGAATAAAAAACAAACAGTGCCCCTAGGTGACTAAGAAGGGGTTCACTTAGCTGCAACGGCGTCCTATGACCTGATTCTGCCCCATCTTGAACGGATTCCTGTTCACGCCACTGATGCAGATATTGCTAAGATTAGCATACGCTGGCCTCTCAGCTGCTTTATTTGGCCGAGGACAAAACAGCTGTTTACCGACCGCATGCCCAAACGTCTGCCATTCTTGAACCTCCTTTACATCACTCAAAGCCCCAATTTACCTCACTGAAAGGGGCTCGAGGGTCTGGAAAGCTAAAATAGAGTATAGAAAACGATTACTCTAATGTCACAACAAAGTCACACCAACAGCAGACTGCGGTGCCCAACGCGAGCTTAAGCATCGCTGAATGTCAAAGGTCACACCGCCAACACACGACTGTGTGCACGACCTGCGCGGGCTCCAGCATCGCTGAATGTCAAGGTGATCCAGCAAGTGAATCGTTAAGTAAACGTCGGCCAAAACCGTGCACCAGCGCCTTCCGTTTCGACCGAATGAACCAGCCGCGAGGCTAGTAGGGCCAGACCGGCTTTTACCTTTAGTAGCCCTTAGTATGCAACGGTCCGGCGCGCTTATGATGTACGCTTTCGTCCACGTTCATCGTTGCAGGCTGAACACTTTGGAAAACACGATTACATCCGTTATCGTGGTAACGGTCTTGCTTCTATAAACCCACAGCGCAGCATGGTACATGCGCCACACTCGGCTCCCTTCGGCAAGGACGAAGAGCGGCTATGGTGGCGGTGAGAGGGGTGTTCGCAGACACGTCGACTGCGGGCCACGCGACGGCCAACTCCCTGGCCGAGAGTGGGCTCAATCCGATGGCATTTAATCAGCGGCTGCCAACTACCTGGCCCAGAGTGGGCTCAATCCGATGGCATTTAAGCAGCGGCTGCCAGCTACCTGGCCGAGAGTGGGCTCAATCCGGTAACATTCAATCAGTTTGAGTCTGTCGAGATTCTAAAACTGATCTAGAAAGGTCTCGCTCATGTTGTTTCGACTCGTCAGAGCGGCAGGAAAAACACCTTACGGCAGGGCATTTTATGTATTTACAGCTGCTGAGCCCTCGCTTCAGTTCAAACTGAGCATTTCACTGGCATCGATCTCGATCCAATTTCGGACAGTCGCGCTAGGCGACGTTCTATTATGGACTTATTCCAACAAACGAGCCCGAACTGGAAGTCACCTCCTCACGCAACCAACGCCGCACCACTTTCATTCAGACGAACCCGCCTTGATCGCCGACCGCCTGTAGGGACGGCGGGCCAGGTAGCAGCCCTGGTGCGGCGTCAGGCCGGTCCGAGCGCCGCCGCCAGCCCCGCCGTCACCTGGCAGGCTCGGCTCCGCCCGGCTCCGCCCGGCTCCGCCCGGCTCCGCTCGGCTCCGCCCGGCTCCGCCCGGCTCCGCTCGGCTGACGTCACGGGGCCCGCCGCGGCTCCGCCCGGCTCCGCTCGGCTCCGCCCGGCTCCGCTCGGCTGACGTCACGGGGCCCGCCGCGGCTCCGGCTGAGCGGACGGCAGCGCCGCCCGCTACCCGTCAGCAACAGCTACCGATCGCTTCCACGAACGCATCGCACAGCTTCGCGCACAACATAGCGCATTCAGCGTTCGTCACGGTCCGACCGCGGGACGACGGCGCAGCGGCGGCAGCGGCGACAGCGGCGTTTGACGCGCCCGCCAGCGGGTTGTGGGCGGATCGATGGCCGTTTGCTGCTCCCCGGGGCGGGGAAGCGGCACAACAGCCGTCCCAGCGGCGGCCGGCGCCAGATGAGCTCCACGTCACCGGCTGATGAACGCCCCTCCAATACGCCGACTGACTCCCCGCCACGGCCGGGGCCAGGCTGCGGGCCCAGCCGCGACGCAGCGGCGACACAATGGTGTCGGCCCCGGACCTCAAACGACGGCGAAAATCGCAGAGACGACCACGTCACTCGGCCGAGATGAGTGTCATCCGCGGTTGCATTGATGCTATCATATCTACAGATCTACATGGGCCAGGATTGGATCGGAACCACTTCATCACACGGCTCGATCGCCTGCTCACAACGGGTCAGCCATTCCTGGCCCGAGCCTTTTCAGTGGACAGCACGATGGATAACTTCAACATTCATCGACAATCTCCGCGACACAATGATGGCATTACTCGGTAACGCGTGCGAGCGCCGCGGTCACTCCCGTCACGCCCCTCCACACCGCTGGAGGCGGTGACCATTGAGCCCAGCGCGCCGGCGCCACGAACCCCTCCGGCCTCGCCTGCGGCGTGCGCCCCAGTGACCTCGGCCGCCACCCCCGCTGGGAGGGGAGGAGCGCGATGACACCGGCTGGCGGCTGGGGTCCGGCCGCGCCGCCAATCAATACCGAGCGGCGAGCATTAGACCCGAGTGGCGACAATGATCAGGCGGGCTGAACGACCGGCGCCTCGGACGATTACAGGTCGGCGGCCCACCAGCGGCAAACGGGTCACGGGGTCGGGGGTGTGTGTGCGTGTGTGGACTGTGGGATGTGCCCACCGGTGAAGCACGCCGGGGACGGGAGTGCGGACTCCTGTGGGCGCGCATTGTGCCGCGGGAGTGCGGACCCTTGCAAACGCGCACTGTGACGCGGGAGCGCGGACTCCTCTAGGCGCTCATCGTGCCGCGGGAGTGCGGACTCTTGCAGGCGCGCACTGTGACGCGAGAGTACGGACTACTGCAGGCGCGCACTGTGACGCGAGAGTACGGACTCCTGCAGGCGCGCACTGTGACGCGAGAGTACAGACTCCTGCAGGCGCGCACTGTGACGCGGGAGTGCGGACCCGTGCAGGCGCACACTGTGCCGCACGTGCCGGGGACAGGAGTGCGGAAGGCTGAGATACCCACTGGCCGCACGCGTCCCGGGCAGGCGCACGTAATCCCGGCCAAAGGAGCAGCCAGCAACGATCGGACGCCCCAGTTCTCCACCTCGTCGGCAGATCCTCGCCAGAGCGGAGTCTCGGCCGGCGCCGAAGCCGCGGCGCCTTTTGCCCCGATGCACGCGGCTGAGCTTCTCGGCCGCCAGTGCGCGGCCGTACAGTGGGGCGGCACCCGCTAGGCAGACAGGCGCTATCAGCCTCACACGAGGCACGGCCCGCCCAGCCGGCACCCCGGCCGTGACAGTCGTTCCAGACCGAGACGAGACGGCCACCTGAGACGGCCGCTCGCACCGCCGCAATGGTGCCGGCGCATCGTTTTCAGGCCGTTGGCGCGGGGGTTATGACCGCAAAAGGGCCTTCCCAAGATGCCGGAATGCCGAGATGCTCTAACGTTAATCTGTTCCACCACATCAGCGATGTAACCTACACATGTGGACAATTTATCGCGTCGTTATGTGGGGGCGCATAAGCTCGACATAATTTGTAACCAATCATCGCTGCTGTGATACGCCAAAACCACGTATGTCACGATTGCCCGCGATGGGTCGGCGCAATTCTGTTGTTCTGCATCTGTTCTTCTACTTTGCACTAGCTAACCAATCTGCCAGCATATCACGCTGAAAATTTGACCGGCGGCTTTAAGAGACTTCCCTCTCGGCAGAACGTTCCGAGATCACCAGACTGAGGTAGGTGTGCACAGAGCCTGCTTGCCTGGCGTTTCCGAGGGCGCAGAACACAACACACGCGATCAATGCCAGCGACCGCTGCTATGGCTGATCGAGCTCGAGATCAAATCAGGCAGGTCTTCAAACCTGTCCAAGGTAATATCAGCAGATATTTCATAGCGCGCTGAGAGGGCTGCGCTGCCTGAAAATTGAAAACGCAAATCAGTCAAAGAGCGGGGCATAAGCCGCCCTGCAATGACTCACATGACATTGCATAGCCTCGTGCTAAATGAATGGTATCACGGCTTACTTGCTGCCATTTACCACGTGTGTGTTCCCAGCAAGTGCAATAGTTCCCACGGACCCGTGATTGCATTGCGCTGTCTCCATTAGAATGGCGATGTGATTGCCCTGATGCTGACACGGCCCACAGACAGCGCTTAATTTTCCGTCCGATGCACTGAAGCAGAAATCTAACCGTCATGTGGTCTTGAACGTGACCCCCAACTTTTACTGCTGTTATTTGAAGTTATCCCTTGAAGCGAGCTTCATGATCGCGAACTTCTACTTTACTGATTTGAAGTTTTCCATTGTGGGACGTTCAACCTGACAATTCCAAAGAAGAAACCAAGGAAAATCATGAACCTGAACTCATCTTTACTGCTGAGCTCAACTGGCCAATGGAAACAAACCAAGTCAAACAGGTCATTCCTTCGCAAGGGATAATAACGTCAGGCCATTGCGAGCCTCCATTGCATTTGCGCCATGTTGAGCTTAGACGGCGTCGCGGATACAACCTTCCCGCATCACGGTTGCATTCGTGTGCAGACAAATTTCTGCTGGTATTACTTTGGGCGTTTTTCAACATTTTCACCTGCCTCCTTCGCAAACCTCGACTGAACGTTGAAAGGGGTCCGGGGCACCGACAGCAGACACCAGAGCGCTGCTGCCAGACCACACTCGCAGGCGCGGGCCGGTGTGGTCTGGCGCACAGAGCGCCAAGTTCGTCTGGCTGAGCGACTGACTCCGCGGTTTCACCGGGCAGACGTTTCATAAGCTCACAGCCGCGGGCCTAAACAAAGTAGAACGCAGAAACTTGAAAATACTTGAGACGCAGTTGACTAAATTCGAGCAAAATTCGCTCCAAGGGAAGAGGGATGCATGCAAACAAACAGCAGATTCGGGCGAGCCGCAAGCAGAGGCAAGGCTGTGCGCGTCCCGTTGAGGGAATGTCACATACGCGGTTTTGCCTTAGCACGGTAGCAAACGGTAATTGGGAATACGCCACGCTTTTGTGAATCACTACGACAATGCCAGAGTTTGTAATCATGTCGCCGGCATCTACTCATGACGCAGATCAGACGAAACGACGACATCCTGGAAGTTTCGCGAGCGGCGGCGGTGACCGCCCCGAAGTCGCTCATCCTCGGGCGCCACCCACGCCCGGACACTATCACGGCAGTGGCTGCTTCGATAAGACGGACGGCGCCGTTGAGGCGGCATCATTGCCGCCGAGCACGGGCCGTGCCGGCCGGCCACACGCCCGTTAATAATTCAGCGCCGCGCCATCGGCCTGGCGGCGGCCGCCGCCCGATTTACAGCGGCGGCGGCGGGCGGACGGGGGCGGTGCCGACCCGCGTCGCCGGCCGGCAACACGACACCAGTGTTATCACTGCAGCCTCGTGTCCGGCTGCGCGACTGTGTCACGCTACATCGCTGCTGGGTCATGAACACCTCGTTAGGCATCCAAAGACAAATCCAAGCCCTCCGAACTGCTCAGGAGAGTCCCGCCGCCCCGTCATCACATATTCCTGTGACTGTCCGACTATCACCAAATCACACTTCTGACCCACCCCATTAGATCCCATCCCAACCATCGTCCTGACGTCACCACGCTTCACTCTTTCCCATCACCGAATCGCATCCCACTACGCTCCGCCCATCGTCCGTACTCTGACCCCGTTCCTCCCATTATCCCTTCTCTGACCCTGCCTCTTCCATCGTCCCTTTTCTGACCTCGCCCTCCCACCCTCCCAGCCCTGACCCCATTCCTCCCCGCCGCGCTCGTCGTCTGACCTTTGGCGGCGTCGGCCACCTCGACGGAGCTGGTGCGCGACGAGTCCTTGGAATCCTGGCCCTCCTGCGCCAGCGAGCTCAGCTCTGACGACTGCCGGATCAGCGACACGCGGTAGAAGTAGTTGCGCCAGAAGGTCTCCTCGTTGATGCTGCGGACGGAGGCGCCGGTCGGCTCAGAGCACGCCCGGGTCCGGGTCACACACCGTAGGCCTGACGGGCTGGCCGGCTCAGCGGGCGGAGGCGGCCGGTCGGCTCAGAGCGCGCCCGGTCCGGGTCACACACCGTAGGCCTGACGAGCCGGCCGGCTCAGCGGCGCCGCCTCCCTCAGGGCTTCGACTCCAGCAGCCCACGGCCGGAGCGTCCGCGACAAAGGTCACGCTGAATGTTGCACGGCTTGCGGTGGCTGCTGGGCGGGCCTGAGCGGGCAGCGGCGCCGCGAGCGCCATGCCCTGCGTGTCAGGGCGGCACAAACGGAGCGGGCGCGCCGCCGCCGCCGCCGCTGCGCAAACACTCCTCACGAGGGTGTGCAGAATTTACAGTGTGCGACGTCGGGTCACAGAATGAACGTCGCGCTATCAGGTAACTTATGTAACGAGCGCCGGTCTCTCCCTGTGATAAATTACCGCTCATGTCGGTGCTCCAGTCAGGAGCTGCGAATCACGGTCTTATCCAACAATCTTGGCATGGCTAGCAACCCAATTCGCCGCTTCCTGGTAACCAGCAATATTTATTTGATGACTGGACGGCACCTTGATTCCGTAGACGCACCAAGAGAGCTGAGGACGCCTCGCACGTCCTCTACGACTACGTGTAAATGCACAAAAGGGGGCGGCGCAGGGAAAGTCAATTCCGTCAACTTTATTCCAACATTACCCATGTATCTCTTATTTTCCTGTTTTCCTATCAGCTTAATCCTCGCCGATAATTCTAGTACAAAAATGAACTGTACATATGAATGCCCTCACACCAATGAGACGAACTTCCGGTGAATATCCAGTTACATCCCTTCTTTAAAAAACGACCTTGAAATTATATCTACAGCTGACATCGTATTGGCAGACGGGGTGTTGAAAAACAGCATCAGTGCATTATATGAAGGCGCGGGGCACGAACAGTGCGACTACGCCGCGTCGTCGGCAGTTGTGTTTCTCTGAATGACATCCAACATTCGTGGGCCCGGCATGATCTGAGTCAGCTATTCACAGCCCGATTCACACAGTCCGCGCAAAACAAATGACATCTTGGGCCGAGCCGAGCCGAGCCGAGCCGAGCCGCGCCGAGCCGGGCCGAGCCGGGCCGAGCCGGGCCGGGCCGAGCCGAGCCGAGCCGAGCCGAGCCGAGCCGAGCCGGGCCGAGCCGGGCCGGGCCGAGCCGGGCCGAGCCGGGCCGAGCCGAGCCGGGCCGGGCCGGGCCGGGCCGGGCCGGGCCGGGCCGGGCCGGGCCGGGCCGGGACGGCGGGTCACTTGGCCCGGCGCTACGACTCCGCCGACCGGCCGGGCCGGCGCCGCCCTCCCGGCCGCTTCTGAAATCGACCCGGGCGTGCGGCCGACCCGGCAGTGATTTCCGCCGTTCGCCAGCGTCGGCCGGCTCACGGGCCCGCCGGGGGGGGGGGGGGGGGGGGCGCGGTCGTGACGCGGCCCGGGTGAGTCAGCGCGCTCGGCGCTGGAGGGGGGGGGGGGGGCTAGCTGGCTGGACCGCCCACCGCCAGGCCAGGTCTGACCCCCGGCTGCCGCTGATTACTGCAAGGCACACGGCGTCAACTCCGCCAGACCAGCGACGCTATGGCTCCCGAGGCCAGACCAGCGGCACTATGGCTCCCGAGGCCAGACCAGCGGCGCTATGCCTCCCGAGCCCAGACCAGCGACGCTATGGCTCCCGAGGCCAGACCACCCAGGGAAACTGGCGCTCCAAATGCGATTTTGCGACGGCCGCCGAGGGAACGTGCGCGAATATATTCGCCGCGGCTGCCACGAAAATTCAGGCACTTTATCAAGTAATTTCGCTGCTGGCAGCCCATCCAGATCCGGACGAGTGACGCGGTGGGCGGTGGGCGGTGCGCGGTGGGCGGTGCGCGGTGGGCGGTGCGCGGTGGGCGGTGGACGCCGGTTGTCGTCGCGAACCTCGGTCGCACAGAGGCCGGCCGCCGGCCGCGGTATCACGCAGGGGTGGACGGGATCGGCGGCCGGCGGGGCATGGTACGTCCGCACACCTCCCCTTGCTTCCTTGGCATGAGCCTTCATAATATGGCCCGCACCCTAGATATAAGGCCACATTCCATTCCATTCACACCTTGTGTATATACATTGTACACCAACAGCTGGTCCAGCTATACAATGTAAGAAAACTGGTTGAGTTTGACTTACATTTTGGCTTGCCTAACGCCTTAGGCACGAGCCCACGTGGCCTGACAGGCAGTTTCAGCGCCAGACCATGTAGCCTCACTCACAGACTTGACACCAACCACCGTCGTCTGACTCACGCTTTGGGCACCAGCTCGTATCTCCGCTTCTCCAGCTCGGGGTCCTCCTTCAGTACGGCGGTCGCCACTGGCATGAACGTGTCCATGTCAAACTGGAACTGCACCCCGGACGGCGGGCTGCGCACGAAGTTCCGGTTGTCCTGCGGCACGGAAACAGCACACAGACTGTCAGGGATGTCAGGGACGCTCAATACAGCGTGCATTAGACAGCGGACAATACAGTGTTCAAAGGCGTCTTCCAACTGCGGATTGGACAGATGAATGGGCTCGGTTTATCCTTGCCAAACGAGAGAGGGAGACGAGCCGCCTCTCCGGACGGTCTGAATGGTGTGTTTGGCAGACCGGACAAGTCCCTTATGACGACGTGCGGTTCATTGTGCGACTGAATGCCTGCTATCGGTTTGCATATATACATACCAGCATTTCCCAAAGCCGGTGCCAGGAATAAACTACACTACACAAACACCTGTATTCTAACTGTGCCCACACACCGTAACGACCGGCAAAGCACAGAGCCAATGCGCCTCGCACGCGGACCGCCAAGCATTTCTTAAACAACGCATTCGCCATCGAACCACCAAACAAAACACGGCCACACCCGTCTGACAGCGCCTGGGCCGGTCGGTCGGCGGGCGGCCCTGCCCGTCCGCCGCAGTTCCGACGTCGACCCTGCCGCCGCCGGCGCCTCACTCGGACGCAGAGCCGGCCGGCGGCTGCCGCTGCTCTCCCGGCGGCCGGCGCCGAGCACACGCCAGAAACGGGAGACGCCGCCGGCACGGAGGCGCCCGCCACGCGGCAGCACACGACGAGGGCGAGCCACGCGGAAATGGGCAGCGTAATGACGTTACGAGGGCACAATGCCGGCTTTATCGCCGCGCCGCCGGCTCGCCGAAGCAGCCGTGCGCCGCCGCCGCTTCGGCAAAAAGCGGCGGCGGCGGCGGCGGCGGCGGCGCGGCCGGGTCGACGCCACCACAGCGGCATCGACGTAAGATGACAGCGCCGATACAGCAGTTGGGCCACAGTGGCAACACCCCAGCCGTGCACAAGTGGCGTCATACGAGCGGCGCGGCATAGGCCCTGCAGGACGATATAGATCATCAGCCAGTTCAGCGCGGAGGGAACGGTGCCGACGGCGGCAGCTCGGGTCACCGCTCAGTCCGACAGGGGCAGCTCGGGTCACCGCCCGGTCTGACGGCGGCAGCCCGGGTCACCTTGGCGTGGGTCACTTTGGCGTGGGTCACCTTGGCGTGGGTCACTTTGGCGTGGGTCACCTTGGCGTGGGTCACCTTGGCGTGGGTCACCTTGGCGTGGGTCACCTGAACGTGGGTCACCCCGCGCCTCACATCAACCTCGCGTCCGACGGCGCCGTCACCGGTCGCCGTGTCTAGTCCTCTCGAAGTTGTCTGACGCGGCCGAGCGGCCGGGATCGCCAGGCCGGTCACGCGCGCCGGCCGGGTCCAAAACCGTACGTCTGGTCCGCGCTGTCCGACCGACGGCTCGGGCCGGCCACCAGCCGGCCCGACTCAGCCGTCAGCGCCGGCCACCTGAGCCCGCCGGACGGCCCGGTAAGGCCCGGCGTCGCCGCGCTTCAGCCGCGGCCCGGCGGAAACCACGCCCACGAGGCCGGCTGGCTTCGATCGTCCAGCTGGCAGACCAGGGCACCCACCCATGTTTATCCACGGAACATGGCCACTCTAAAGGACGCTCTTCGCAGAGGAACCATTCATTGGCCGGTACCTGAGCTCCCATCTACCAAAATACGTGCAGAACAGGACGAGTGATGGGAGGGCATAAGGCGCTATTTACTTATTTTCATCACATTGTAAAAATAATTTCACCACATTCGAATAAAGGCGTAATGGGTGCCGGAAACTATCACGTTCTCCGGCTCGTTCGAACCATGCTTTGCCTTCTCTGCTCGCTCAGACCCTGTTCTGCCTTCTCTTCTCGCCCAAACATTGCTCTGCCTTTTCTGCTCGATCAAACCCTGCTCTGCCTTTTCTGCTCGATCAAACCCTGCTCTGCCTTTTTCTGCTCGATCAAACCCTGCTCTGCCTTTTCTGCTCGTTCAAACCCTGCTCTTCCGTTTATGTTCGCTCCAGCCGTTTCCCCCAGTGCAGCCTCCGGCCGGCCTGGCCAGCTGCCAGTACGGCGCACTGCCCTCCCGGCCTCCCTCCCAAGCCGAGGGCACATCCTATCACTACAACAACGGCCGTCGACGCCGCCGCCGCCGGCTGCCCCATGGCCGCTCCAGTGACTCGACAGCCCAACCACTGGCGTCACCCGGGGACCGACGGTCGCCGCACAGCATTACTGCAGGTGCAAAGCCCCCGCTGCTGCCGGCCGCCGCCGCTTGTCCGCCCCAATTCATCCGAAACTTTTCCCACAAGTTGGCCAGCCCGCCGGCTTGTCAGGCAAATGAAGAGGCAGCGCGCCAACTCTCCTGGCAGAGGCGACAGCTCCCACGCGCCCGAGCCGCGCGCCACCGCAGCGCCGACGCGCCCCGGCGGCGGCGCTGCGGCGCGCCGAGCCTGGACGTCAGGGCGGCCTCGTCGGCGAGACGAGCCGGCCGGCGCGCACACGCCCCACATCGACGCCGGGCCCGGGTCGGCCGTGTTTTTGTGGCGCCGCGATGCCGGCGGTCCGGTGGCGCGGCGACCATCACGCTCCGGCTGGCAATCATCGCCCGCAGGGACGCCCCCTGATGGCGACGCGGCCGCCCGCCTGCTAATGAAGAGCCACCGGGCCGTTTCACGGGACTGACGTAGGGATGGGCGTCACAGCTCCGCTGCACGCTGGTGTCTCCATGGGCTGACGGCACAGGGCCCCGCTCGGTAATGAAGAGTCAACGGGCCGTTTCACGGGACTGACGTGGGGATGTGTATCACACCTCTGCTGCACACTGGTCTCCACGGGCTGACGGCACAGGGGCCGTCGCTAACCTGCGCCCCTCGGCTATCAATGCGGATGCATGCGAGGGTGAGTGAGTGAGTGAGTGAGTGAGTGAGTGAGTGAGTGAGTGAGTGAGTGAGTGAGTGAGTGAGTGAGTGAGTGAGTGAGTGAGTGAGTGAGTGAGTGAGTGAGTGAACCATGAAGACATGAAGCGCAATGAGCCTTATCCCGAGCCACGGCGCGATCGAGTGACCGCCACGCAGTGCAGTCATATTGCACGATAAGCGACACACGCCCGAGTTCGGCGGCCGTGGCCGTGTGGCACCAGGAAGCCTTCGCCGGGAAACCGTGCCAGCCGCCCAAGTTCCTGCGACGAAAACGCCGAACTTTAACGCCAGATTAAATACCAGCCGGTCTGGTCGGACCTGTGAAACGTATTGGCGAACTACGGCGGTGACGAGTTCTCTAAATGTCCCCAGACGGACGCCGTCGACACCGAGCGCCGATCAATGCCTGCGAGGTGCCGCCGGCCGCTCCAGCTCCGGCAGGCCGCTCTCTAACAGATGAGCTTGCGTTTACGACGCGACGGTTTCGTGAGACGGAGGGCACGGATCTGATCGGATGGCTGGCTCTGATGAACAGCCGTGGCGCTACGCGAGGATGCCAAGGCTGTTACGCGCGCGACTTTCGGAAGCAGCAAGCGAGCTGCGACACATCGTGACAAAACTGCTAGGAGAAACCGAATCCGTCGATGTCCAGAGGCACACAGCAGTCTGAATGACCAACCCGGCTCTTGTTGAACCATGTTGACTACAGGTGTGCTGCGATCGCTAGCGTGTCCGGCACTCGGCTGGCAGTAGGGAACAGACCGCAGCGGTGACTGCTGTTCACAATGCCGCCGTTCTTTCCCAAGGCCACCACACCGATTCCAACCACGACCAACACCGATTGATGCCATACCGCGCAACGGTCACTGATTTTACCTAGAACAAAAAGTGGCTTATGTTTTACTTGTCTCGCTTTCGTCGACCAAGTTCATGAGTAGTTCTCTTCGTGCTAGCGAGGCACAAACTGCCAAAAAGCACTCTCGGTTGTCGGTTTTCATATGCGCGCTGCGAGAACACCGACACTTTCATCGTCAAGAAATTTAGTAAGCGGTCTGAGCCCCAACGTAAGCCCCGCCATAACGATAGAGCAAATGAGAGCGGACCGCTCCGCGCCGGCCCGGCATTCATAACAGTCCTCGTAATCGTGGCCATCAACAGTGCTCTAGCCAAATGAGCGTTCCCCCCGCGCGCGCGCCGAGACGGGCCGTCGCTCGGAGACCATCCATCACGGCAGCGGCCGCCTGCCATCCATGCCGAGGTGGCGCCGCCGGCTCTCGGCGGAGCTCTCTGCGTCCACACTCGCTAATGGCATTATCCCGTTAGCCGGTGTTCGTAAGACGAGTATGGCGCACCCACGCCGCCCACCCGCGCCCGCGTCAACAGAGGTCCCTCGGAGAGACTAAGCTCGCCGTACCTCCGCCTCAGACGTTGGAAATCTGTTCCAGTGTCGGGTGTGGCAGCTTCCAGTTCGTTTTGTCGACGTCACTTGCCTGCGAGCCGACAGCGGCGTTTGTTTCCGCATTAGTCGGTCACCAGCAGCACCGAGTTCTGTCACGGTGGTCGCCCGCATATTCTTAGTGATTTAACCAGGCCTGAGCACCAATATGACAGCAGGCTTGCTACCTCTAACCAGCATAGGCCAACGATCTTGTCCCCCATTCAAAATATGTCCAAGCCTTACCTACCGAGGTGAGGCAGCACGGGATAACTTTGAAAAATATGTCGGATGAGGGCTTAGCATAGAAAAGTGACTAAAATGCCCCATTATATACACAGAAACATATTCGCTCTAAATTCCCCACCCTTTTTCAAACTTAGGGCTCAGCTGTAAAGGAAACCGCATTCCGGTACAGTGAGTCACACACTGAAACGGCGCGACTCTACACAACGTCACCGCCATCACAGAGTGGCGTTCGTGGTCACTAGCACTTAATCTCGTATGACACTGATGTAGGAGGCGCGGCAACATCCGAACACGAACAATCCATGTCCTGAGCGGGTCGAGTCGGACGGCCAGCTGAGAGAAGCGCTCCGTGTCAGCGCGACGGCGGACTCGTTGTTTCATCAACAATATATACACACACACACATATATATATATATATATATATATATATATATATATATATATATATATATATAGTAAAACAGTTCGTTTCAAAAGTGGCGAGTGCCCTTTCGATAGGGCAGTGACTGAGCTATGTGCGCGAAATCGGTTGGCACGCATGGAGGGCGGAAAACATTTTCATCAGTTTCCGCGGCATTCGGTTCGACACCTCCACCGGTTCGGAACATCGATCACGCCGCCGCTGGAAGCCGCGGAGTCGACCCACGCTGCCGCTATTTGTCGGCCGTCCCTCGGAGGAACGTGCCGCCGCCGCCGCCGAGCTGACACCCCGTCCGAGCACCAAATGCCCCGAGCTCGTGTTCGCCAACGACACCAATCCTGGCGCCACTCCTGATCGCATCAGACACGGAGGCGGCGCGGCGCGGCCGCCGCCAAACTGGACCAGACGGAACCAGCGGGTGGAAGGCGGCCGCAGCGTCCAGTGTAGGTCGGCTCTGGCGGCTCCAGCGGCTCCCGGTCCGACGAAATCGATAGCCGCTTCGCGATTCAGAGTATGGCTCCGACGGGCCCGACGACGGGGGACGGGCGGCCTACTGACGCGCAGCGGGAGAGGTTGGCGCTGCTGGCACACTGACGGGGTGCTCCGCTGGCTCACTGACAGCGGTCGAGTGGAATGTCGCTGGCTTAGTCAGCCACGACAACACAACGAGCCTTTTGACCCGGAAAACAATTTCAATTGAGCGTGCGCGGCTTAAAAAAGCCGGCATCTCCTGTGGGTGTCACCAGTGCGCCTCAGTGTATGCCGGCAGTACACCACTCAATGTCAGCGACGCTCCCTTCCGTGTGGCAGCAGCAGCATCGATATTCAAAACGGGACCAGGGGCATGACGAAAGTTCCCACTGTGCCATTCTCCGGCGGTCAGCCGCCGGATACAAGCACGCAGTCCCGCGCCAGTAACATAGTCCGGGTCACGGGCCAGCTGAGTCCGTCCAGCGAACGCCAGCCCCCAGGTGTGCGAGGACCGGGGGCGCACGTCTGCCGCCTGCACACGGGCGCCGTCAAACGGGAAGGGCGCCGAGAAATGCCCGTCTGACGACCGTCGGCAGGACACCTCTCCATGTGCGGCGCCGTCGAGTCGGCAACACATCGGCGGCGACACGCCGCCTCCTTCGGCGGCCTGACGTGCCGGCGCGCGTCACGCGGCGCGACGGCCGGTGCGACACGTAACCGGGCCGGGCCGGGCCGCGGCGGCAGCGGCGGCAGCGACGGCCGGGCGGTGATCGCCGATCGATCGCGGCACACCCCCGCTGAGGGCCGTGATTCCGCCCCGCCCGGCCGGCCGGCCGGCGGTAGCGGCGTCTAGACAGGGACAGCGCCGCCCCCACGCCTGATCGCCGGCGGGCCCGCCGCCGCGGCTCAGCGTCGGCGACTCGCTGACGGTGTCGTGTCGGAGCGCGCCGTACGCCGCTCGCCTGCTCTGCCAGAGCGACGATCGCGGCCGGCCGGGAGACGATCAATACAGGACGCACCCACCCCCGCGCGCCCGCCCGGAGCCCACAACAAATGGACGCCTCGCGTGGCCCTTGCCCCGGTTCGCAGCCTGCGTGGCGCCGCCATCGCCGATTCGCCGCCGCCGCCGCTGAACCCCGCCCATCTCGACTAATGGCGTGGCGGTCCGCCACGCCCGGCAGCCCCCCAGTCGGCCGAGCGGCCCCCCACCCCGACAGACCCGCGTGACGAGCGGGCGAGCCGTCGGCAGCCGTCGGCAGCCGGCGGCCGACACGCGCCCCAATCACGGCACCGAGCGGCCGGAGCGGCCGCCGCACGGACCCCGGGTCACCGAGACGCTGGCGGATTCCCGGCAGCCATATCCGGCCGGCGGGCATCGATTGATGATGTCAGCGCCCGGGCCGGGCGCCCCCTCCCCCCCCCCCCCCCCCTGCGCCGGCCGGCAATGATCATCGCCCGGAGACGAGACGATCGCCTCCGGCTACGGCAACAGGTGGCGGGCCAGGTGCCGTCTCCGGGGAACAGGCCGCGGGCCGCCGCTGACGGCAGCAGACCGAAGCTGCGCTGACCCGGGCCGCCCGCAGGGCCGGTGGCACCAGGCGCTCGCCGCGCACGGCGGCTGACGACCGCGGCCGCAGGGGACGTCGTCCGACGCGAGACAAGAGGGGTGCTAACCGACACCCACCGCCAACATCGACCATGCTACGGCCGTAGACTAGACAGTGCAACGGCCGAGTCTCTGCGGCAATCGGTGTCTTCCCTGAGCCCTGTTATCGCGTAGCCAGCGCGGGCAGTTGCGCCTAAACACACGGCGTTTTCGGACACCAACCGCGAAGACCGTTCCACCAATGGCCTAGCATTGCCGGACACGCCGCGTGAGCAGCACCATGTCCATAGCGCACGCGTCTCCACACCCACCGTGGAGAGGGCCAGAATCTGCTCCTTCAGGGTCTCTTCGTCCGCGTAGCCGACCCAGGGCGCCACCGCGTCGCCTGACGCCTTCTTGCTGTTGACGAACGCCTCATTCTCCCGGTTGAACTCCGTCAGCATGCTCTGCGCAGAAGGGAAGGGTGCCGTCAGTGGCGCCGTAACGGTGACGCGTGCACCCAAGGACTCGTCAGCCAGGTGTCAGCCGCGCGAGATACGACCCACTTCAGCATAGCGCGGGCCCCGATAGCGCACACAAAGCACGAGTCAGGGTCGCAAAACAGCGCGATATCTCGCGGGAGGGAAGAGTACAGCAACAGACAACAGGCGGTCGGACTTAGCGCGGCGCATCGCGGCTGTAGAGGGAGCTATCGACCCGGCAGCAACGACTTTGTAGTGCCCAGCTCGCCGAGCCGGAGCTTTGCGCCGCCTTGAAATGGAGGCAAATGACGAAAGCGTGCTACAGCAGCACATTTAGAATATTAAGCCGATCATTTCGATCTGACGGCTGCTGAAACGCTTTCAGCAGTGAAGTGCATACAAGACGAGCATTTCAAGCCACACGCCGCGTCTCTGTGGTCTGAATGACGCTAATCCATTCGCCGACGGCCTTCAGCTGTCAACTCAATGCAACAATGCCAACAAGTCCGTTCCCCGATGACGGCTCGCACCGCGCCCACTTTTTGCCACCGGTCATGCGGCTGGCGCGCCGCAGCCCAGGCCTTCGTCCGCCGCCCCAGCTCCGCCCGCCTGCGGAAGACGCCGCCGGCCCAGCGACGCCCAGCGACTGCCCGACCCTGGCGGGCGTGTTATCATTCCAGCTCGCGCGCGGGCTCCAACGGCGCTGAATGCCGCGCTGCCATTGAGGTCCGCTCGGTGGGTGAATGGCTGGCCGATATTGGCACGGCCGCGGTCGGCGGACGACGCGGCGCGCCGCCCGCGGGCGCACCTCGCGGCCACCCAACACATTCTGCAGCTGACATCTCCTCCGTTCGTGGCAGTTGGCCCGGACGGCCAAGGCGGCGGAGCCAGGCTTTGCGGATTTGGCTTCGACGAGTGTGGGCCAGCCGAACCCGAGGCCGGATGGGGTAGAAACTGAGGCCACCGCACGCCGGCATGGGTCGTTACGTCGGAGTGATCGCGACCCGTGAGTTACGGCCCAGTTCATCCACTGCGCTCAGCCCGTCGTCAGGAGCAGGAACTCCCCGACCGCGCCGGAAACTGCCCGGATCCGGCCGCGAGCCAATAACGCGGGCATCTGTCCACCGCGGAGCCGCCGCGCCCGGCGCCGTCCGGTCGCCACCCCACCGCCGGCAACGCGACCAGGCCCGGCGCGGCGCTATTTGATTTCGCCCGCGCCGGATCCCAGCCAGAATCCCAGTCGGGCGTCAGCGGCGCGTCTAATATCGCTCCAATCAGGAGCGTGCGGAGCGAGCGGAGCCGGGCCGGAGCAGCGCGGCCGAGACCGTACGTTTTCGGCGACCGACTTCTTGATTTTGCTGCCGGCCTCGGACACCGTCTTGCCGGCCTTGTTGAAGGCCGACGAGATGAAGCTGCCGAAGGTCTTGGCGCCCTGATTGAGCTTCTCCGACATGCCGCCGATGTCGGGCATCGCTCCTGCCGGGCAGAGGACAGTGGTGAGGTGCCGGCCGCGGTCATGACAATCAGCTGGGGGTAGACCACCGACCTGAGCCCGCTCCTCCCCGCCACCGCCACCCAGGAGACCACCGACCTGAGTCCGCTCCTCCCCGCCACCGCCACCCAGAAGACCACCGACCTGAGCCCGCTCCTCCCCGCCACCGCCACCCAGAAGACCACCGACCTGAGTCCGCTCCTCCCCGCCACCGCCACCCAGAAGACCACCGACCTGAGCCCGCTCCTCCCCGCCACCACCACTCAAGAGACCACCTCCACGAGCCTGCTCCTCCCCGCCACCATCATCCAAATCATGATATAAACATTCGTATCGTGTGCATCCGCTAACGTCTATGCACGCGACGCATGGGGTTATCAACAGCGCACGTCACTTGTTGAAAAAGGGGATGCATGACAATGCGCAGTGCGCCTATTTGTGGCCGGGCGGCTGAAGACAGAAGTGTGTGTGCTGTGCATGTGCGTCCCGCCGTCCCCACTGCGCCGGTCAACCACCTTCCCCCGTCCCCTCCCTCCCTGCCCCGGCCGCAGGTACTCATATACTGCAGAGCAGCTCACTAGCGGACGCGTATCGGCCGTGCGTCGACAGTGCCCCTCTGCCATACCCCGCTTGGCCGTGTCGACGGTGCCCCTCTGCCATGCCCCGCTCAGATGTGTCGCCGGTCCCCTCTGCCCTACCCCACTCAGCTGTGTCGCTGGTGCCCCTCTGCCATACCCCGCTCAGCTGTGTCGCCGGTGTCCCTACCCGCTGCCGGCCGGCCGTCACGTGCTGGACACCGAAGCCCTGCGACGGCGGTGCGCCGGGCCGATGACGGGCGGAGCCAGCCGCCTTGGACCTCGGTGATCGAGGGCCAGGCGGCGGGTAGATGCCAGCACCGGGCTCATCGCCTGATCACCTGGTCACAGGCCGAACAGCGCTCTGACCAGCACATGTTCGAAACGCGTACGTTGGTGCACACGCTCACCTAAGGTTGCCCGCCCCTTTACGTTCCCGCCGACATGTCCTACAGAACATCACATCACGTTTGGACGTCAGTTATCATGTCAGTAATGCCCTTGCTGGCCAATGCCCGCAGGCAATAACGCTAATGGAGCAGGACAACCCACGAGCGCGACCAGCAGCAATAGGAAATACACATCTGGAGCTAAAACAGCAATACCGTTAATGGGGCGGCACTGAGGAATGCGCATTGGAAGGTAAGCGCATACAAAGTGCCTCATCTGGCCCCGCTTCGCCGCAGGCGCTGCTCGCATCCGAACGACCGACTCAGCGTGGTGGCACACCACGCCGCCCTCCTGCGGCTCCGGAGCTGCGGGCAGCTGCAGTGTGGCTTCGCCTCAGATCGACCACTCGGCCCGACGCCGGCCGGCCTGGAACGGCTCTGGGCCCATGTCGGACCGCCGCCGGCCTTCCGGCCACGCTGCAACATCTCTGCTAAAGGGATGTTCCACATTTGTATGGGGTCCTGAATTGAAAAAGCCATTTTGAAGGCATTGGTGCAGCTCACAGCCCTGCCCTTCGTAAGATTCTAGTTTTCTAGTTTCTGAGCTACACTCCCGTGAACATGTGCAGACTGCTTAGTGCGACTGCTTCGATGTCATCAAGGCATCCCTAACGCCATAATAACGCCATTCGAATCTTGCAATTCCATTGGTCATACCGCGATTAATGCAAAAAAATATAGCTGTTAAGTCGCCGATCTCTGCCGTTCGGAGCACGATTTCCAGATATAACGGCCGCCAATTGGCTCTCAATAAATGTTGCGCGAGGTACGATAACGTCATCAAACAATGACGTATTGGGGAGCATATTTACCAAATAGACAAATAGTGTTTTCTAGAGCAGTCTTTTACATTAAAAGTATATCAATAGTTATAAGTGCGCTTATTTCACTATACATGATGATCGCTGAAGATCGATGAAGACATTAAGTCTTCAAACGTGGAACATTCCCTTTAACATACAGCGCACAACCATGGACCAGAAAAGTGGATCCCGGCTTAGCATTGCCGGGTTTAAGAGCCGGTTTCGTTTTTACGGCGAATCGAATGGCACGATGAGTGATGAGTCCATGAGCGTCTCCAGCGAAATGGCTCCTTACAGCTCTTGATAGCCACCATTCGCCAACAAACACCCACACGTCCGTCGGTGCAGCTCGCCGTCTGCCCTACAGCTCAGACTGATCCAGCACGTCACAGGCCCGTTCAGTTGTACGGAGCGCTGTCGAACCGAATCTGCGACGTACGCAGATCAAGAGGAAGGATGGTGTGTCCATCGCTCTGCCAGCAGATGAATGCTTTCGTCCCCGCGGACACGAAGGGTTTTGCGTCGACCGCACTCCTCTAGACACCACTGTAACAACCGATGGCTTTCAGGCGTCCTCGCCAAATCAGCGCCACACCTCACGAGAACAGTAACCGAAGACGAGGACGGCGCCCCAGGATCGTGTGAGGACATGCCCCTGCCATCACCGCCGGCCAGCGGCGGCGCGTGTGGGATGACCCGGTGACGTGCTCGAGGCGCTGACGCCGACGAGGCCCGCGGGGCGCCCATCAAGTCCTCAGCGGTCGAGTGCGGCCCCGATGGCCGCAATATCGGCGCCGGCGCCCCTCCACGGACCGCTGACGGCGGCAATAGCGGCACGCGGCCGGCTGTCCCCATATCACCGACGGTGGGGGCCGGCCGGTCAGTGACGAACAGCGCTCCCGTGCGGGCAACGACAGGTCTGACAGAGGTCACCGGTCACGGGGGCAGCGGCCTGGACCGGGACCCCAGCCGCTGCGACACCACCGGGCGGGGCCGAGCTTCACCACACCAGACGACTGAGATGCCACCCCATCCCCCATCCCCCCGGGACGCATCTCTAGGGCCGAGGAAAACCGCACACGACAACACCGCGAAAGTTCGCATAGTTGGTCGTGCATGTATTACGCAAGTTCTGCCAAGCAAAACTATATATGGTTCAGATCTCGCCAGGATACTAAGCGACATGCCACTTTTGGACCCCGTGGAGCTCCTTTCACCACAAGTGATGGCAGTTTGACATTCAACGGCCACAAACGGTAACTTTAAGCAGGAAATCAGGAAAGAACGGTCACGTCAAGCACACTCATCACTTTCAGTGTTCCCCATTTGTATGGGGCTTTGAATTGAGAAAGCCATCTTGAATTCTTGAATTCTAGTTTCCGAGATACACGCCCGCGAAGATGTGCAGACTATTTCCGGGGGACTTTCAAGGCCACCCAGGCATCCATGACGCTATAACGTCATTCAAATCGTATTATTCCATTCGCAATGTGGTGAGCAAGGCCAACGAACATATTGCTGTCGAGTCGTTTATACCTGGCGTTCGTAAGCAAGATTTCCAGATGTACCGATCGCCAATTGGCTCTCAATCAATGTTGTACAACGTCCGATAATGTAATCAAACAATGATGTATTGAGCAGCATATTTCCTGTGCAAAGAAGTTGCGTCGTCTAAGATGGTGATGATTTGGGATTTAAGGGCGCGTTGACATCAAAGGTCATACTGCGCCCATAACAGCTGTTAAGGGCTGTGTTATGTTTGACCTAGAAAGAGGCGAATACAGCTGGTAACTTGATACATCTCCGAAAAAGGCACAACTGGTTTGAATGTAACAGTGAAGAGTCGTCTCTTAGCATATCGCAACAAGTCAAACATGACGCAGTCGTTCTTCTTTGAAATGTGAGCAGGAGTGACGTACATGGTAAACTATCAACGGTGCGTCACACTTAGCGCATTGACGTCTCCCGCCACCACGCAGCAGGTATCCATGTGTCGCGAAATTACTGCCAATTAGCAGACGGCACAGGCTAACCTCCCCACATCTAGTCGCTCTCGAGCTAGACGGCCGAAGGCCCAGCGGTGACTTATCATCCTTAGCTGATTGCTGCTTTTGTCGTCCCAGCAGGGTTGCTATGCTTTCTTGTTTTTGTTAATAAGCTTTGATGGCTGGGTAGAGGTTCCAAGCTGTAAGCGGAAAAGAATGTGTGCGAGGCGTACTAGCGGCCCGCTTCGCGACAGCGTTGGCGAGCTCGTTGCCCGTTATCCCTACGAAGCTTGGCATCCAGAATAGCACCACAGTTTTGGACATGCAGATCAACCACGTCAAGCGAGTCAAAATGTCCTGTGAAAAGGGACACTGACGGCAAAATGTCTTGAGAGCCATTAGGCTGCTGAAGGAGTCAGGTTAGATCACGTGCCAGTTGTCATCAGCGACTCCAATACAGCGAAGTGTTCTAATGATGGCAACAAGCTTTGCGGTGAACACAGAGCATGGTCTGGTCATGATAATGAAGAAGTGACATGGCCAAACACGAACTCAGCGTCAAGACCTGATTCGGTTTTGGATCCGTCTGTAAAGGTTGTCACATACCCTTGGTATGACGAGATAAGCTCCAGAGCCCAACTCTCGAGTCGCACGTTACATGCTCTCGTTTTCTGGCCTCTGCTAATGAGAGATCCGCACCTGATGCACACATTTCCCGAGGGGGTGCTCCTAGGTGACTTGATCTGAGCACTCCCTCCCGATGCCACTTTCTCGGAACAGCTGTGGGACCTGAACCGCAAATGGCACAGCACGTGATCTCCGTTCATCTCGAAGGTCGCGTCACGAGCCGTGAAAAGACTGCCAGGTAGGTGGGATATTTTGGGAGCTGTGTCAACTTGCGAGCATACCTCATCCCACGCATTTCCCTCCGATCTGAGGGCAGCGGTTCATTTGCCTCCACCAATATTGTGTTGTCTAGAGCAGCCCTTTCCACTTCAAGTACACCAATAGCCCTAAGTTTATTTCATCATTTCTGATGCATGCTTCAGTACCTTCAAATGTGGAACATTCCTTTTAATATGTCGAGCTCATCAACTGCAAATGAAGTCAGCGATCCGCGACAACATTGTCTGATTAGATTTTAGGTCGGTCACAGACGACTTCCGCAATGATTCTCATGCAGAGCATGACCGGCGGCACTGAACTAAAAAGGCAGAGCATAACTGAGGGCATAGAGCTAAACAGGCACCGTTTCATGACGTGCTCTTGTACAGCTGCCATTTCCACTTTGCACCAGCAAGCACCTACGTCGGCCCAGCCTGGAAGGTCATTCATCGGCCTGAAGGTGTCAACCGGATACCGCTGAATTTCCTCGACACCCAGCTATTCACTTGTCGTTGCCCCACGGCTCCAGTCCAGCTGCGGACCACTAAGGAAAACACGTGCTTACCACTCTCCTCCGCCATCGGGCGCGCCGCTCAAGATCGCCACCGCCCGGCTATCGCCAAGCTACCCCATTCAAACGCAGGGAGGCGAGGCTGCGGCGAGTGCGGCGAGTCTGAGGCGCGTCAACGCTTAGGCATCACGTCAGGAGAGACGTGCACTGGTTTTGAGTGCAGTAGCCCGGAGCCGAAAGAACCATTCTGATGACGGACGGGCTCTGGTGAACGCTTGGACCTGAGACAGAGAACTTCACGACTGAACTCATTCTGGAGCCATAAACGTACTGGACTGGACAGCGTCAGGAACGTGCTTAAGAAAGAAAGGTACAACGAATGGAAAAATAGCACGTCGCCCCAGCGGGCATCTATAGTCCACAGTCGAACCATAGCTCAAGAAATGTCACGCATCATAAAGTACAACTTCGGTCAACTTGGCCGTGGAACCCTTCCAGGAAGCCGTCAAACGGAGCGATGTTGTAAGCTTTGTGTTAATCTAGCCCAAAAGCGAGACGATCGAAACTTACAGAATGACTTCTCTTTCAGAGTGACTGTAAGTTAATCTGGGTTAAGATGTCCGATATAATCAGAGAATCTGCGGCACGTACATAAAATAACTTTCCAATTACTCACCGTCACCAAGGAAATACCAGGCCGCCTACAATACTACACCAGAGCATATTTAGGTGACGGCTATGGGCGCCAGTCACCGATGATAGTCAGCGCTGCCGACCGTGGTTGGAGCTATGCATGTTGCCCCCAACGCCCTCCCCGCCCCCAGTATTTGCCCCGGGCCCTAGAGGAGGAGAGGATCCGTTCACCAAAAGAGTCGTTTAGCGGGGTAACAAACCCCACTACTCGAAAATGTCATCTTTCCCCATAATAAAGTTACGCTCCTCGTCACTGTCAATTTGCACATCAGCACGCCACAGCGTCCGGAAGCATGTTCGACGATCGACCAGACAGGGTGGACACGACACGCGACAGCCATCTGCCCCGACACCGATCGACCCGATACTGCACGGACACTCCCGCGGCTGAACGACGATCCCAAGAAGTCTGGTGCCGCGATAGCACAGGCAAACGCGTCGGCATTGAGGACGCGCCTACCAAATATTCAGGCAACCCCAGCGCGGCCTGGGTTCGTTCTTTAAAGGTGGCCATGCGTCATTTGCTCTCAAATGGCGTTGGGCGCTGGCTTGTTGGGCGCATCCCGACACACACTACGCCAGTGGTGCGACCTGAGATTATCTCTCTTCGTCCTGACATCGCCATCCGTCGTAAGGCACTACGCCAGTGGTACGACCCGTGAGATTACCTGTCCTCGTCCTGACATCGCCATCCGTCGTAAGGCACTACGCCAGTGGTGCGACCCGTGAGATTACCTGTCCTCGTCCTGACATTATCATCCGCCGTAAGGCACTACGCAAGTGGTGCGACCTGTGAGATTACCTGTCCTCGTCCTGACATTATCATCCGCCGTAAGGCACTACGCCAGTGGTGCGACCTGTGAGATTACCTGTCCTCGTCCTGACATCGCCATCCGTCGTGAAGCAATTTCCTCCCCATGTAGTGGGACTCCCACACGTAACATGGGAATTGAGTTCACATGGCTGGAATGCCTGAGGCAGAATAATCCGCCACGCCCCGTGATATGAGAGCGGAGTCGTGTCGCGGCCAATAACCACCGGTGAGCACCGGCCCAGCATATGCCACATCCCACACCATCCGTGCCCCGCGCTGCCCGCCGGCCGGCCAATGCAGCCACTTCGGCGCCCCGTCACGTCGCCATGATATGGCGCCCTCACGCGCACGTGACCACGATGAGCGGCGTGCAAGGCAGACCCGCTCGCCAGCGGCCGCCGCCCACGACGCTAGCAGGCACTGGCGCCACTCACCCATCGGCGACTTGTCCTTGTCGTGGGAGGGCGAGCCGGCCGGCGAGCTGATGTTGCTGTCCGCGCCCTCCGTGGTGCTGCCAACACAGAACAGCGTCGCCGCGTCAGCATCGCACGAGTCCGCGGCCCGGCCAGGCACGCCACCCGACGGCCCCACGCGCCGCTTGTCAAGTGCAAACACCAGCTTGTAACAACGGCATCATCTATGCACAGCCAAGGATTGCACCGCACGCATGGATGACGCGAGCCTCTGGGGACTTTCAGATGTGTTTGAGTCCGGGCAGACGTATGGACCTGCGCGCAGCACGATGCCATAACGCGTCACTGCGGATGCGTCACAAACGAAGCGAACGATGCAAAACCGGCACTGCCAGACGTCTGGCTTGACTGCCGTCCCCAGCAGCAGGAACGCCACAGCATGTATGCGCACAGCAGATACGCCACAAGCACAGCAGGCGTCACACCACCTTGATATGACACACCTTGGCTTCCCAATGATAAGACGCCTGACGCCCCTCGGCACCGAACCCAGGAATCTCTCCAAAGGTGGACGTTCGCCGCAGCCCACAGCCTACAGCCCGCAGTCCGTCCCGCGCCACGCCCCGCACCGGTCCACGGACCATCTCTTCGACGCAGCTGGTCGCGTCCGCGTTCGCTTGGCATCGGAGCGTGCTGGCCCCAGCGGGCCGGCTGTGATTTAAACCGCACGGACGGCCCGCGGAAGCACGCGTGCTGACTGGCCCAAGCGGGTCAGCTATGAGCTAAAGCGCACGGACGGCCCGCGGAAGCCCGCGAGCTAATAAAAATATCACAGCTCTCGCGCCTGTCACGGGTGTTTTGCGTCGAAGTTTCGCACTAGGACAGGTGATGACGGCAGCCGTTTGGCGGCAGGTGCCAGGTGGTAAGGACAGGTGCTTCAGCGACCAGACGTCCGCTGAGGCCGAGGGTGCAGCATTGCACGTCACAAACAGCCGAGCCCGCACCAGTGTCAGCTTCGTGCATTCATATTTTTTATTAATCAAAGTATCTGACGGCAACGTCGTGGAGATAGGGCCCCGGCGTCAACCTAGAGGAGCGTTCTCGACCATAGCGCAACTAATGTCGGTCAGGCAGGCAGCCCTGCGAGGCTCCACACAGATATACTCCTTAGGGCATTCTCGACACACCCAAAGTTTAGCCCCGGGCGAGTTTTTCAAAGTTTAGCCGCGGCCGCGTTGTTACAGCTTCGCCGACAGCTATCCGGAGGGAATCGTTCTGCGGTGTTCGCCGGGGCGGCCGCGCCGCTCACACCGCCGGCGACGGGCCGGAATCCCGGGACCCTGTCAGCGGCTGCAGGCACCCGTCGGCGCGGTGGTCGCCCTGGCGTCTGGCCCGAGCTGGGCCGGCCCAGCCGCAACGCCCTCCCGAAGGTGACACGGCACCAGGCCGGACCAAACCGGAACAGGCCCGACCAGACCAACAGGGGGGACGGCCTTGAGTGAGAGCACAGCGGGGTGACCACGCTTGGGACCATTTCAAGTGAATGCAACGGAATCAATACCGCAAGCAGCCAAGCTTCAGTGGGGTCAGTGGGGAATCGATACCTTTGAAAACTTGGAACGGGTCTGGCTGAAAGTTCGTCATGAGTTCGCGTAAGAGTCGAACAAATCAGTGCACGAGTGAAAAGTGAGGCCGTCCGAATGCGAATCTGACGGCATGTCCTGGGAGTCGAGTCCTGGGAGTCGAAGCAGATCCCGTTGTAATGAGTCTAACTCAGCCGCGGGTTAGATATGCATCAGGTCGCGATACATCATTAGTGCGGCACAGACCGGAAAGCCCAGCGCTCAATCAGCTCACTCACACGCCCGACAGCGCGCACCGGCAGGCTCAGCCTAATTGCATGCGGGCGATATTGTAACTGTGTTTGCCGTGCAGCACGGTTGCCAAGATCCACAATTTGCCGTGCAGCGTAGACCAACAGGCAGCAGCCATGGCGACCGGCGCAGTGTACACGGACCGGGACGGGGTCGACGGCGGCGCTGAGCGGTGGCGTCCGGCTCTTTCCACCCCGCGCGCCCGACGACTCCAGCAGCGCTGGTCGAGCGGCAAACCAGAGCACCCGTGCAGGCCAGGTCACAGGAGCCTGCCAGATGCCCCCCCCCCTCGGTGGCCCGGAGGTACAACCCGACCCCGGCCGCGCTCCGTCCCGCGGCAGGGGCCTGCGTGTGACCCAGTGCCGCCGACGGCACCGGCACCGGCTGCGGCGCTCCCACGGCGCCGCGCCGAGGTTTTGCGTTTGGCCGCGCGGTCAGCGGCGCCGGCGCGCCGGAGGGGTGCCCGCGGCCGTAACGACGCCATTAGGTGCCGTCACAGTGGGGCGATCGTTTACCGCCACACCCCGCGGTGGTGACCCATACACCGGCCGGTGGCGTTTTCCGGCCGCGAGCAAGCGGACTTCGTGCACGCCCGCTGTACGGCTGTCACATCGGTGAATGGACGGCGGCAGCCCGCGGCGTCGCAGGCCCAGCACCGGCGAAACAGCGTCGTCCAGGCCCGGTGTGGGGCGATACGCCACGGCGTACAGCTCGCCACCAAAGGCCGCCACCGAAAGCCGACTAGCTGGGGGCGGGGGCGGGGGGATGCCACACGTCACCGGACGTCAGTGCGCTGCACAGTCCGGCCGCGGCCCGTCACGCTCGGGAGCAGCGCCGGCACGGACCGGAGAGCGAGGACCGCGCACTCGGCGCCGACCAGCGACGCCACGCGAAACAAAACATGCGTGCACCGATGACCACTGATACCAATCGGGGCAAACATGCCTGAAAACCGAAAACAGATGTATATCGATTTGTTTTCCGGTCAAACGCGTTAACACTTCGGACATTTTCGGGACAAACATACTGTTTACTGTTTATGCCCGTGAAGTGCTGGCTAACGATCGCCGGTTCCGCTGGGACTGGCGGCTGCGAAGACAGCGGCATGACAGCCGGGCGAACAAGGGGCGGCCGACGGCGGGGGGCGGCCTGGCGATCCAAGGGTGGTCTGCAGACAGGCCCGCAGCGCCAGCCGTGCCAATGTTCAGCAGACCCCCGCCGTGTGCGCGGCGGCGGGGGTCTGCCAGGACACGTGCAGCCAGCGGCGGCCGCGCTCCAGAGCTGACCGGACGGGACCGGGACCGGGACCGGGACCGGGACCGGGACCGGGACCGGGACAGGGACAGAGACCGGGACCGGGACCGGGACAGGGACAGGGACCGGGACCGAGACAGGGACAGGGACCGGGACCGGGGCCGGGACCGGGACCGGGACAGGGCCCGGGACAGGGACCGGGGCCGCGTGCGACGGTACCCGATGGAAGTCCAGGTGGCGCGCGGCACGGCCAGAGCAGCGGGCGGGGGTGTCACCAGCACGGCCGCATCCGTCAACACGTGTCGGCGGGCGAGACGTAGGCGGGAAGCCTGACAGCGTTGCGGCGCATCCGATCAAGTCGGCACAAGGACCTCATCGCGTAGGCAGATACTGACTACGGTCTTCGCTACAAAATTACACTTCTTATGGCGGACTGATAGTGCTGTACCCGCAACAGGCTTTGAGCCGCAGCTTCGACCAAATCCCGCTCTCCGCCAGCAGGCGCAATGATATCGAGACATGGGATCTGTGAGCTTCCTCGTCAGGCGGCTGAGCCCGCTTCGAACCATGCAGTTCGTCGATCACGAACGTCTTTCACCTCACGGAGTTTGACCAGGCACTGAAAATACATCAGCGTTGCAGCAAATAACATCCGTGCTGCGAATTCGGCGCAACCGGCTCTTCATCACAGATCAAACGAGAACGGAATGATTCCATTTCTGAGCCCGCCAATAGCCGGAGCAACTCGACGCGAGATGTCCGGCCGAGGTGCCATTCGGATTTAGACTCCTCTGAGGTCTGAAGTTGAAGTTATAGGGCTCGAACACTCTGATACAGCTGAAAAGCGCACGGGCCAAGGCAAGCTCGGCGGCGTAGCCCGGCGCAGATGGCGAGGGACAGCATCGGCTCGACCAGCCGGCCGGCTCCCGGCTACAGCCACCCACCCCTCACGACAGGGACCGACTGGCAGCGCGGAGTTCCGTCCAGCCTCGCTCAGTTATTCTGAGAGCTGCGCTGATTTATTCGGATCCAGTCATTCTGACGCCTGTGCTGCACTCCCGAACGGCGGAGCGTCGAATGCCAAACTATTCAACATAAAAATGAGGTCCACCTCGTGCCATATATTACCATAATGCTTGAGTGCACCCTCGGAGGATTTATTAGTGGCTGCTGCAATCTGAGGCCGGCTTAGCTTGGAGTATATAGCCTTTTACATCAGCGTTTTTTCGTGACGACCGACCAAAAGAGAACGCGGCAAGACGCAGAAATTTTCTCGCCACATTACTTGCCAAAGGACCTTACAGACTCAGTTACAAGGTGAATGACCGGATTATGCATGCAGATATGCATGCTCCCTGCCTGTGCCATGAAGAGTAATAGGCTTGGCTTGCTGATGCACTGGTCACAGGCCACAGGTCTGTCATTAACAAACGAGACAATAGCCCTGCCCGCTACCTGTTATTCCATGCTTTCCAGACAATTTAGGCTGACAACGCATTCACGTTTTTGTTCACGGGTGCCTCGTTTTGTTCTGTTCACAGCTTGTGAAATAAACGTGACTAGATTGGAGCCTGTCCCAACTTCGTGAAATGCGACAAATCAACATTGCCTTTTAATGATGTTTGGCAGTCAGTGGTTCACATCAAGTTTGCCTTGCTGTATGCTGTTCAACTCTTGTTCATAAAACAACTTGACATACATGATCAACTATATACTCCTAACTGTAGGAACTTTTGTGTATCTTTTATATAAAACAAATGTATGGAAATAACCTTATTCTTAATCTAGAGATGTGTTATGCCTTATCACCATTTACCTGAGCCAAGCGCTATATGCTGTTTAACTTGCAACGTCTACCTCCTACCAACATCAACATTTGACCCACAGGCGACGGTGATTCATCACCTTTGACATCACACACTTCTGGCACCCCAGGGACTGTCCAGTCAGGTTTCAGTTGTAGGGCACTGAGTATACCACTGCTGAGTTGAACCACTGCTTTCCCTTGAAACACAAAACCAGAGGGTGGCCTGTCAAAAGTTATTCATATTTGATGGTGTGTCTGGTAGCAATCCAAACATCCCATGCTCAGACTGGTATTAACCTTGTTTTATATCATGACATATGTCTGCATCTCTTTCACTGCATATATTTCTGGAACCGGAGCTCATGCTGGATAGTGCTCATGTGACCCTGGCTCGCACCATGCATCATGAACTTGCAGGTCAACAGCAGGATTTTGTGGAGAAAGACTAACATGCCAAAGCAATTGACATAGTTCGTCCAGTCCTCCAACCGCATCTGACCTCAAGTAGTTGCTGCCACAGCCACATTTTCATCAGTGGAAGATGGCAGGTGTGAACATGAGTTGGGCACCAAATGACCACCGCAGTCTGTGCACCCGTAAACTTCAGTAAACATCAAAAAGTGGAAGTGACTCAAGCCCATTCATCCCACCACAGATTGGATGAGAATCTGGCTCTGCAACCAATTGAGCTGTAGGGGTGGCATTTATTGAGGAATTCCCCACATGCCACAATGGCATAAAACTGACCCTGAAGGCTGAAGTTGACACAGAAGAGTGGCAACTCAATAGACCAAGAGATAGGTTCCAGCAGGCCCCAAGAACCATTTCAGTCCCATATCCACTATATTTATTGATCCCAGATGCCCTTACATTGCTAACTGTACATCCTATCAAATGCTACATGCAATGCATGCAGCTTGATTTGGGGTGTAAATTATGCTTCTCAACTAGATCAATACGTAATTTTGCAAAAAAAGGCCGTGCATCTAATGGAAAACGTGTTCCCTCCACAAAGCTCCAAGCCAATCTTTAAATGATGCCAACTTTTGAAATTATTGGATATCACTTAATCCCAAATGTAAATTGTGATGCACAAATTTCTAACTTCACAGCTTCCTGCATCATTTGTTTAGTATACAAGCTCTATGAATCAAATGAAATGGACATGAGGAGATTAAAACATCTAGCACCTCTTTGCCTGCTTCTTTCTGTTCATTTCCATTTCCTAGCTGGGAGTGCTGTGACTTCATTCCATGTTTTCTGGTGTTAATGTGTGGGTCTGTTGCATTGCTGGGATACAGGGACAGGCACCCCTGATTATCCGTTCTTGGATAACGGTATAGAAAAAATACAAAGCACACACCACATATGTGTAGAAAATGTAACATCTGCAAGGCATGAACTTCTTGACAACATCTGAAAATGAAATACATTGCATAAGCATATGGCCGACCAAAATTACCCAGAATGCCTCACTGCTTATCCAAATATTGCATTTGTGCCTGCTCCTGAAGATAATCTCCAGATTCTAAAAAATCACTTAGTCAACAAATTTGTTATCTAAATGTTTGGGACTTGCCCAAAAGGCAATTGTTGACAGTATTCCTACCAATGTTGGGATGAAAATCCTTCCCCTTTCAAAATAAGCTGCATCAGCTCATAGGCAGGTTAGATACTGCTGCTTTTGCACATTATCCTTATCTCTGATGCAAAGCAATGAAACACTGCCAAAGTTACAGTGCCACCACATGGTACTCATCCCATAAAAGGTCTATGTTTGATCAAAAATTTGAAGAATCATTAGATGTGTCTGGATGTTGAGGGAGGATGTGACCAAAAAGAAAACATAATATAAATTGGTATAGTACACAACATTGTACATGCATAACTCAAGCGATTTTGTGTTAGCCGAGCACCTTGGCTAGGACATTAGATTACAGATCATTAGATCTGTTTGGATGTTGAAGGAGGATGTGACTAAAAAGAAATACATAATATAAATCAGTACAGTACATAACATTGTACATACATAACTCAAGTGATTTTGTGTTAGCCAAGCACCTTTCAAAGGCTTAACCACACCACCACATTATGTTGTAGATAATGTATAGAGCAGCACCTTTCAAGGGCTTCACCAAATCATTACATTACATTGAAGGTACTGTATAAAAAACTGGCATATTCTCAATTCTTTCTTTTATTTGTGTAAATCAGTTCCAGAACCAGAAGAGCCAATCTGGGCTTAGCCCATGCACCTGTCAGCAAGAACTCTTGTCCAGCTTTAACTCTGTCTCAGAAGCCAGCAGTACCCATGACCTAACAGAACAATAAGACAGACTTTTCAGTGGGGAACCCACTGGGAATTAGCTGACAGACCTAGTGCCAGATCCTTAAGTACACCTTTGAGATTCACATCCTTCCACAAGCAGCCAGCCTCAGCATTTTGGTTGATGATCTGGACCCAATCACATTTGTGTGATGGCAAGTCCATCCCAACTTGTTTAGAGAATGTGGGGATGCGCAGTAGATGTGCCACAGATGCTTACCTTGACCGATCATCCTGCTCATCCAATGAACCTTTGACAGACTTCTGGGATGTTGGTGTATCTGTTTTAGACTCCTGTGTTTCCTTTTCCTTGTCAGAATGTTCTGAATGTTGCTCAGCAACTGGATTTTCAGCGCTGTCTGGAGTCTTCTTAGATAGTCCTCCCAGCCAACTGCTCATCTGATTTGTCACGTTCGAAAACATCTTGAAAAGTGACAACCAACCGACAAGCAAAATGCGTTCACTTTGCTGACCAAGTGTTAATAGCCACACCCCTATTTAATGGAGCTTTCAGGCCTCAGGAACTTCATTCATTCCTGGATCGCATCCAATGAAATCAGCCACCTTAGAATGACACCAGACGCCCTATTGGTGAGCAGCGCCATGCATCACCACGGAGCGCTCTCCAATGCAACACCTATTCTCTGCGTCCATCACTCCTGGTGCTTAAATTCACAGACGCACTATCCTCTCGTCACCACCCGCCAGCACCAGCACCTTCAAGGCCCCAGTACGTGGTGCAATGTCAAAACAAACATGGCGAGAGGCCAGCTGACTTCTCCAGGAGGTTTATGTTTGGGTGTGTGTTTTAAAATTTATCCAAAATAGTCCGTTGTCTTCACGTAATATTTTCAAGCGTCTTTGCACTAGAATCAATCACTCATTTTGTCTAAGTTGAAGTATTCGCAAAAAAACACAAGTTAATTCTCTCGGGCTCTTAAAGTTATTGAACTTTTAATCCTGTTTTCGAAGAAAGTAGAAGAACTTGACCACCAATAATAAACCGCTGCTTCCTCAACTGAGAATGGTAGAAGTCACACGCAGAAGATGCCATCCTAATTCTACACAATACTTTTATGCTTGTTTGGCGCTTATAGTGCAAAAGCGTCGCACTGTTTTGTTTCGGAACGCTGCTGGCCCCTGGCCCTTTAACAGCGGTGAAAGCAGCAACACTTCGCGGGATTTTGTCAGTGTTGTTTGGGCTTTGCATCGGTGGTTGGAAGGCGGTATTTCGTGGGTTGTCGGTGAGGTAAGGATGTGGTTACCACATTTGCTTGTTTCGCGGTCAGCCGTGGAGTCGGTTACATAGCATCCTCTCAATGATGGCAGTATGCGTTTAGAGCAATTCGCAGTGGCATTAGCTGAGGTGATAAGAATATCATACAAATCAGAAGCTGTTAGAGGTAGGTGTTTGCTATTTTTGGGTTTTGTGTTGCAACCTTGAGTGGTCTTACTTCAGCCATTTTTATGCAGGAACAAATTATGACTTTTTCTGCTAGAATACTTTTGTACCCTGTCTGTGCCATACTGGATGTCTCTGTGACACCAATTAGCTGAACCTCACCCTTGATGTGCTGTGTCTAGGCTGGGTCAAGCTGTACTGAATTTCACAGCTGTTTTTATCTGAAATATTTATGGAGTATTTCCATATGAAATTACCTTTGCAGCATAATAGCTCCCAGTAACATAGGCTCAGTTCACTGAACTTGTCAGTGACTGTACCAAACTTTGTGTGCATATATTCATGCTGGAAATGGGCTAGCATTTTTATGGTGGTGTGACTACTGTGCAGAACATTTTATGTGTAAGGTTTGTTTTTACAGTCTATTATTGAATGCATTTTGAATAGCTAATAATTGGGCTGGTAGGTAGTTATATGCATAATACAACTGTGTTTTAAAAGCTATATTTGATGTATACAAGGAAGGATTTGAACTCCTAGCCTTCCTATAGGCCATATTATTGAAATAAGTTTGTGTGTTTGATATTGTGAGTACTTAGTTGACCTTCAGTATACCAGCATGGACATTTGATATGGTGTGAACCTAGCATTGATTATAGTGAAAAACTTCACATTTTGCTGTTGGGGCTGGGTGCATGAGTTACTTGTGGCCATCAGCGCAGCTTTGAAACATTAAACACCATGATACATTCTGAAGTATCAAGTTACTCATGAATATAAACTCATTTTCAAAAAAGTAAGTTCACTTTATATAACTTATGCTTGTATGCAAGTCTTAACTGGAGTGGTGATGTTTTTTAAGTGGATCGGGGTGTCAGTGAATGCACACTCAAGCTTCAGGTCATCGATTATCATAACATCAGGTCAGTTACATGTTAAGCAACTGTTCTTGTGAAAGTACAGTTCAAAAATCTATAAAAATCTAGTATGTACATGTGGTATTCATGCATTTATAGCCTGTTATATATTTACTAGGTATGCCAGAAGCTCTTATTTTGCATCTTAAACCCTCTCTCCCCTAGACAAAATGCATCCAAATCCCAGAATAATAACCAGTTTGTGTGCATGCTACTTTAAAACCAGGTGGACTGCTGTCTGAAAGCAGGCTACAAGGTGCTTTGTCTGGTTGCTGGTGTTTATTTTAGTACTGAGATTCAAATGATATCTCCATAAATTCTTGTGAATAGTACTATCATTCAGATCATTTACCAGTTGTTGTTGGTAGAAGATGATAATCAAATTGTTAAAATTTACAAGTCATGTGTTCCTCTTGCATTCCTTCTAGTTGCTTCATCATTTCTGTGTGGTAAGTTGTATGTGGGTATAATCATTTGTATTGGCATCAACAAATACTTGTGAAACTATTTAGGCCAAACATTTATCACTTTTGTCCAGTGGGAATAGGCTTAACATGAAATGTATAAGGGTATTCAATATGTTAGAAATAAATAGCATTTAACATGTATGTGTGGGAAGTTATTAATGCTTTTGCTCTGGATAGCTGCTTTGTTCTACATAGATAGGGTTTGCAGTGTTTTCACTGATCACAATGAAAGTGATTTTTGTGCTCATAATTGATGTTCTCAGTGGAGTTCCTTGGCTTTGATGTGCTTAGCTTGTTTTGTGGACACATGCTGCAAAACAAATGAACAAGATGTAAGCTCATTTGTTGTGTAGGGATCTAGTGCTATGAAGTGCCAAGCTGTGGCTGTCTGTGGTAAATATGTTCTCTCCTGGCAAGAGAACATGATGCCTTAGGTGAGAATTAAAGTGATGGTGTAATCTACTTCAATCTTACAATGTGCGGCACTCACTGATAAACCAGGCCAGACCAAATGGTTTGGAAATTGAAAACCATTTTTCTGTGATGTATTAACAAAAGCCATTGTCATTACAGACACTGAGCTTGAGAACCCGAAATGGCCATTGCAGCAGCACGAGGGAAGCTCATGGCAGTGATTGGTGATGAGGTAAGGTTATGGTGATCATGCTCATTGCATGCACCTATAATGATTGACCAATGATTCAGATGAAATATTTGTGACAGGTAGCAGATAGTTAGACACCATCAAGATCAGCAGATGTTTCAGCCATAGCTGGAAGTTTTCCCAAGCACTGACGAGGACCTATGATCCTGCTGGTATGCTGATTCCCTGCCCTTATAACAGCTGTCTCCTGCTAGATATGACATACAGGTCAACAACCATTGAGAAGGCCTTCATTAGTGGTATACACCATGATGCAACAGATTCTCCGAGAAGTCATTCTGAAGTGGCGTTTTTGCGGCAATTTTCCGACGGATATATTTTACATGGGAAACGTGGGAGGCGCTCTGCAATATGCAGACTGCATTCGTACGAATCGCCGGCCAAATTTCGCGATTCAAGTTGTATTAATCGCTGGACGCGAAATAACAGTGAGCTTGGATGCTGTGTGTAATATTTCAGTTAAAAGTTTCATGTGTGGTTCATGTTATCACACACAACTGACCGTTGACAACCCGGAGTGGTAAAGCGGCGATAGACGCAGCCAGCCCGGCTGGGCTTGCCTCCCTCCCTCTCGTGCTCCCTCCCCTTGAGAGCGACACCCGGCTGTCAAGGGATGAGCAATGCTGCCGTCAGGCGGTGCTTGGCCCCGTGGCATGTGATCTCGGGTGCCTCTGTGACAGTGAGAATTGTAGCCATTGTGATCATGTGACCTGCCCCCTGTCTGCAGGATACGTGTGTTGGATTCCTGCTGGGTGGTATCGGTGAACTGAACAAGTCCAGAAAGCCGAACTTCATGGTCGTGGATAAGAGTGAGTTGCGCGCGTGTTTTACTCCACGATTTGCGTCGCTCGTCGGGTGGATACTGTGACTGTTGAATGCTGCGTTGTCACACCGACGTCCCACTTACAAACGCTGCTCTTCGTTGCTGGCCTACGATGCCTACCCACTGGGAACCGAGAAATGTAGCACATTTTATTGGGCAAGTGCTTTGCCCTTGTTGGTTAATGGTGTGTTCTCCTTGCTGCATTGGAATCTTGGTATTTATAGTGGCACCGATGGTTTATAAAATAGGTTGTACAGCATTGTCCTGGCGATTCATTTTCTCCTGATGAGTGACAATGGCTTTCATTTCAGATACGCCTTTGAATGACATCGAAGAATGCTTCAAGAAATTCCTGTCTAGGGACGATATCGACATCATCCTGATCAATCAGATCGTAAGTTCATTTTCTGAATATTCTGGTGATGTGATGTTAGCTGTCCAGTGAGGCTGCTTTCTCGTTTTTCGGTGTGAGAGTAAGTCAGTGCCGTTACAGCAAGCCAATTAGTGTCGTCCGGTGACCAATCTGTCACCGCCCGTCCTGATCACGATTTTTATTTACTATGTGCGCCACGCTCCCAGCGGGTCGATAAGCATGACGTGGCAGCCGAGCCGTCCCTAACAGCGGTATGGACGCAAGAATTCAATGTGATTTGTTAGCTGCAGCTACAGCGTGAACGCCAGCCCACCAAAGCTCCTCAACCACGATCACAGATGTCGCTGACGTCGATGCGTTAGCTCGCTATCGCCATGTCCGGGCGCCTGCCTCAACTTGTCCTCACCAAGCCTCGTGCGGTGTCGCTTGCTCTGATAGATCGCCGAGCAGATTCGTCACGTGATCGACAGCCACAGCAGTGCGCTGCCGGCCGTGCTGGAGATCCCCTCCAAGGACAGCCCGTACGACCCCACCAAGGACTCGATCCTGCGCAGGGCCAAGGTGAGTCGTCGGGCCGGCGCAACACGCGAGGCTGGCGCACCATTGAAGGCGGTGAACGACCCCCCTCCTCCGGTGGTCCGACATGTCCGGATGTTTCCTCGGTGTGGTATATATTTGGCCTGGCACTGCCCGACAGCATGTAAAGGAACTCTGTAGGGTGAGGAATGCAATAGCTAAATGCCTGAAAAGTCTAATAAATGTGTCAATTCCTGAAGAGTGATACGATAAAGATTGGCGTGAGATACGAAGGTGCTGTTACAAAGACAATACCTCAACAGATCATTCAGAACAGAACATCGTCATGTAGACTAACTTAATTGTTGTAATGAGCATCTCTGGTTTACATGTCAGTAAGGCGTTTTTTAAGGCATGGGTCGAACGAGGCGACAGTGGCCATGATCAGGCGAGAGGGCCATGGCGCCAGACGCTGCTGGCAGTGTCTATGATCAATGCGTTAGAAAGTTCACCTGTCAAGGGAATATCACCGATGTGTGCCCACTGATGCAACATGGCCGCGCTAATACGCGAATTGCGTTGCATGAAAAGTGTCTGGGTGTGATTCCGGCCAGGCTCGGCAAGTTTTATGTAAGGTATCGATGAATGTACAATGATTTGCGGTTTGGGCATGTTTCATAGAGTTCTCGTGAAGAACACTAATATTTTACGTGGATGGGGTTCGGGTTTCAATTGCAAATTAAACTGCTCACCTGTGTCGTTTTTATCGCCCGGCGTTTCTTGGCTGAGGCCACAGTCTTATGTTCGAGGCCAATGTCAGAGAATGTGGCCCTGGCCTCCCTCCGGTCGATGACCGGTACGGGTTTCGACCGGCCAGTTTGCCGTTCTGTCAGTGGAGTTGGAGCTCCAAGGTGAAGAGTCGGTGCATTGGCCCGCGCCCTGCAGCCGGTCTCACGTCTCCATCCGGTGTTGTCGATGCGACCTGGCGCCAGTCCTCGGGAACGCGCCGGGACGGACGGATCCCTGGTGTGCGCGCGAGGCCGTGTGACCTCGTGCACACCTCAACTCGCGTGTTTCTCAGTACGATCTTCCGTCAGAGTGTGTTGGTCCCATGTTGAGGCGATGTTGGATCGTCTAGTTGTGGGCCTTTTTACCGTATTCTTCAGCTTCTCTGCTTTTTCAAAATGTTGCTTTTCATCTAAATCGAGCGGAGAAAGGTGAGACGGTTGTGCTGTTGCCATTTGGCAGGAAAACTCTACCTACACTTGATCAGACAGCTTGCATGCAAAGACGTTACGAAGTATTCAGCACGACCTTCGACGCATTCCTCCTTTGGATTCTCAAAACTCATTGCGATGGCTGTTGTTATTGGTTTGTAGAATGCGCGGTAGTCCGACCGCGCGAGCCAGGCCACTCAAGTTTAAAACTTAATCATAGTTCCGTCAAGACTCTGGAGCCGCTGCATCGCTCGGATTCAGCGTGTTATCGATTATCTGGCGGTTTGATGGCGTAAGATTGCCGACGCCTTAGAACGTTTCCACATAGGTGCATGCACGATCCACATTAATGCAATGCCTCTTTCATTTGCAGGGCATGTTCAACGCCGAAGACTTCAGATAAGCGGCAGTGGTTTCCCAGCTCGTCAGCCTGTTGCCGGTCGAGCGTGTACATCGCCGCGTCGCCGTCTGCCCAGCGGTGTACGCGGCAGCCGGGTGGTGACCTTGTAGACTCCGATTCAGCAGCCATCTCCAGCTGGTCACGTGATCGTGCGTGCTCGTGTGTTAGTTTGTGTGTGTGTGTCAGCGTCCCGGCGTCATTCCGGCCGTCCGCCGGGCTTGTCTGGCGTGTAGGTGTGGGGAAGAGTCCCCCGTGGCCAGCCATCGATTGGGCGGGAGCCGCAGTATGGTATCTGTTTGACGCTGATAACATAAGACAGCTTGAGTGGTGTCGAAAATGTCCTGGCCATCTTAAGAGGTTGGCCGGACGCTGCGCGGCTCCCAACTACTGTATATGATGTCGGAATGGGACAAATATATGAACAATGCATCGGACAGAAAAGCGCGTGCTCGGATTCTCTAATGGTAACTCAGTGGTGTCGTCTCTGTCATTCCCACCGTACTTCTCGACCACTACACGAATCTGAGAAGCGAACAGGCGATATACTGGGCTTATGAAGGGCGTACCGGAGACACCATGTTATTAGACGTCAGACGTCATGTTGACCTGGCTTGCAGTTAGGAAACAGTTCGCCGCTAGTTTTCTTGAGTGGGCAGCTTGGCGGTGATGCATGTTGTAGTCCGTTCACATTGCAATCACCTGGCGAGCTCTGGGGTGTCCATATTCAAACACTGACATGGATACAATGCATGCATTCATGGTGTATTCACGATGTACACGAAGGCGTGCACTGATGTGGCGTTCTTCGCGCTGGGCGGGTATCACGTTGCACGAATATCACGCCATGCGTATAAATAGTTCCTAGCGTTCAGCAGGGCAGCCTTACAGTTCAGTATTTTGATGCCAATAAAAGCGGAAGTGGGCTGTCTGCCCAGCAAAAGGTCTCGTGCAGCTGTGGCGCAGACACCCTCCCCACAGGTGTCACCGCTCTGCCTAAAGCTGCGGGACCGATACACAGGCCTTCATCTCCTGTCGTCAACAGGCAGGAGCGGTGTCTCCAAGACATCAGCGCAGGTCGTCTGCCGTAAAGTCAATCCTCATCTGATCCCGTCGCATTACGCTGGTAACGGGCTCCAGCGCCCCTAATATCACATGCCTTGCAACGTGCCTGTCCGGATGCGGCCGGCTCCGGCGCCCGGCTCACGGGGCGGCCGGCTCCGACGCCTGGCTCCCGGGGGCGGCCGGCTCCGGTACCTGGCCCCCGGAGGCGGCCGGCTCCGGCGCCCGGCTCCTGGGGCGGCCGGCTCCGGCGCCTGGCTCCCTGGGGCGACCGGCTCCGGCGCCTGGCTCCCTTGGGTGGCCGATACTCCATCGGGGGCCGGCTCCTGCGCCCGACTCACCGGGGCGGCCGGCTCCGGCGCCTGGCTCCCGAGGGCGGCCGGCTCCGGCGCCTGGCTCCTGGGGCGTCCGGCTCCGGCGCCTGGCTCCCTGGGGCGGCCGGCTCCGGCGCCTGGCTCCCTGGGGTGGCCGGCGCTGCCACGTGGGCTTCAACATGGCGGAGTCCGCCAGCCACCGCCTCGCGGCAGTCTGGTTTGAAGGCGATCGGATGATTGCCTCAGGGCAGCCCCGGGGCCGACGCCGTGCCAACCCTTGCTGGGCGCAGGCGCGTGTCTGTCGTGTCGTCTGCGCTGTCAGCAAAGCCACAACCCAGTGGTGCGCGCTGAACTGTATCGGGCGACGGCCGTCGACGCCGAGCGCGGCGTTTACATGGGCAGGCTCGCCAGGGAGTAGAGCCCCGCGGAGGGGCCGACGGCCGGTCCAACGGGCCGTGCGGTACGCGACGCCACTGCCGCTGGCTGCGCGCGGTCGGCGGCAGCCACCTCGAATGGTTCGATGCCCCGTAGCTTCTGCTGGATCTGGCTCCTGACCCGGTCGAAGTCGTAGCGGAACGGGAGCTGTGCGGCGGGGGTTGTCGCCGCTACTTCCGCCGCGTTCGTCCCGCGTCCCCGCGCGCCCGCCCTGTCCGTCGGCTTCAGTCGGCGATCCAGGGCGTTGATGGAGCCCTGCCGACCCGCGAGAGGCCGCAAGACCGTCGGTTGGACCGGTCTCGCGTCCAGCACCTGGTCCGGGAAGCCGGCGTCGCCCTCGTCCAGCACGCCGTAGCTCTCGGTGGTGGACGGCAGGCGGCCGGCGCTGGGTGGCGGGCGCCGCTCGTTCGTCAGCGGCAGCAGGTTCATGGGCGGCAGCAGCGGGCGGCGGGTGGTGACCGCCGCCGGGCTGTACTCGTCCACTCTCTGGAACGCCGTCGCAGGGCCCTCGAGGCTGTTGGGCAGGCCGAATGGCAGCGGCGGCGGCAGCAGGAACGAGCTGTCCGTGGCATCGGCGCTCGGCGGCCGCTCGTCCAGGTAGCTGCCGCCTGATGGCGCTGCTGACTGCCGGCTTGCGGCGGACGGGCCGGACTCTGACGCTCCCGGCTCGCCCTCGGGCAGGTAGCTGCGCGCAGCGGGTGGGGCCAGTCCCGACCCGTCTCCCGAGGGTCCAGTGAGTCCCGCGCCTGTCGGCAGGTAGCTGCCCCGTCCGCGGGTCGGGGGAGCCGCGTCGGACCCCCGCGGCAGATAGCCGTCCCGCTCAGTCGACGCCGCGGAACCAACGCCGGAATCTGTGGGCAGGTAGCTGCCCCGCGCGGGCGGCGCGGAGCTCTCCTCGGACTCTACTGGGAGGTAACCGGCCCGGTCCCGTCCAGACGATGCTTCAGCCCCCGACTGCTCCCGAGGGAGGGAGCCGATCCGCCGGCCGAACGGGGCGGCTGCGTCCTGGGGCGGCACGGCAGTCGTCGCCGACGGTCGTCCCCGCTGTCCGCCGTCGTCTCCGCCCAACGTCACCGGTCTCTGCGTGGTGGAGACTTGAGGCGGCCTTTGAGCGCTTCCCACACTGTTCGTGACGCGTGGAGGCGCCGCAGACGGCCTCTGCCCCTCCGCGACCTCGGACGCCACGAAGATGGGCACCTCCAGAGTCAGCAGGTTTGGCAGCAGCGTGCGGATGGCGTCGGTCTTACCCGCTGGGCCTTCACCTCCCGCCTTCTTGCCCCGTCCGCGCTGCCCGGATTCGTTAAGTTTGGTGGTGGTCACGCTGGCCTGCGAGGGGCTGCCCAGCTGACGGCCGCCGACGCCGCCGCCGCCGAGCCCTTGCCGCTCCGCCAGGGGGCGCCGTTGGTCGCCGGCTCCGCTGACCTGGCCAGCCGTCTGCTCTGACCTGGCCTGACCGGCGGTCTGGTCTGACCTGACCTGACCGGCCGTGCGACCAGAGCCGACCCGTGCCTGCACCGGGCTCGAGCGGAACGGACTCGCTGAGCCGATCCTGTTGTTGAGGGAGTAGAAGTCCGGGGACGAGTCGCAGTTGACGTTGAACCACCAGTCGCAGACGAACACCTGCGGGGAGGCGGCCGTCACGCTCGCCACCGGGCAACGACTTTGTGTGGCGACACTGAGCAAAAACGGGGGGCACGTGGTACGGGGCTGGTTTTTGATAAACAAATATAGTTGCAATTGTTGCTGCAACTATCAAGCGAAAACAGTTTTTCCTGGTTTTTCGTAAGTACGCCAAAATAGTAAACCTAAAAAATCAGAGCCTTATGGCTCTTTTTGCCTGCATCATCTTTTGATGCATATATATATATATATTGTGCAGTTCTCTCATACCCACCTTCTGGTTGAAAACAGTGCCTTCCGGACATATGAATGAATCCATGATGTTGGCGTGGCAAATGTGGAAAACCTGAAACATAGCAGATTTGGGTTATTTTCAGTGCTTTCACCGCACTTTGTCTAGTAAAGCTTTCGCCAAAAGATTTCTCAGCACGCAATCATCCACTGCTTAACATTCGCCACAATGCACGAGATACACCAGTCGGCAGTCTCATAACCTTGGCCAGGGATAAAAGGACGCTCGTATGCAGGCTTATCGCCCCGGCCCGCTGACCACGCGGGCTGTTGCTGCCACAGAATCTCCCCGGCCTGCCTCTCGGCTGAATCGCTGGCAGCCAGCGTCTATACAGGATGACTATGACTGTCGGCGTGCCTGTCAGCGGCCGGCGACCTCAGTCCCGGCCGCGCGCGGCTGGGTGGCGGCTCACCTGACACCGGGTCTCCATGTCGGCGTAGTAGCCCGGTCCGTGCACGTCGCACGAGAACGACGTTTTGGGCACGGCCGTATACGTCGGGTACGGTCCTGTTGGCGGAGGAGGGGGGGGGGGGGAGGTCAGCGCGCGGTGTACAGGCCGGTGAGCCGCTGACCCCGGTGCGTGACGCGGCAGGGGACGTCACGGCGCCCGTCTCACATTGTTTGTAAGAGCTTCAGGTGAAGGCCAAAACACCATCCCCCCGGCCACTGGCCCGCATACCTGCGCTGTGCTTTGCATGTGAAATGATAACGCTGAGCGGCGATCACTCACCGATGACGCAATTCTTTTGTATAGGACTCGCGTTGAGCAAAGCACGTGGACACATGTATGCCCGCGCGGTATGCTATGCATATGCACAGCGCGTAATGGATCCGTGGAAAGTGGGGTGGCCTGACAACATGCACGGTAATGTTCGTCGGAACGATGCATCGGCAGTGTTGTTCTAAGTGAGGTCCGTGAAGTACTTTTCGTGATCCGTGAGGTCCGTGAAATACAGTCTGGGTGCCAAGAAACCCGAAATGAGACAACACGTAAAAAATGCCTTGCCTTCCAAAGGACCTGGCGTTGTGCTGCATCCAATCGTGAAGCCAGGTGCAAAACACTCGAGTGCAAAAGGGTGCACCGCCAACAATTCGATAGCGGTCCCAAAGAACAAACCTCCAAGTAACTTAACGAAAAAATATGAGTAAAGTGCCGTTTGATCAGTACTGCTTCGCGTACTGAAGGCCGGTTGCTCGATGAGAATGCGATCTGCAAGCTCACAATGTCGAAAAACCAGGCATTCAAGGCCCTTCTTGCTTATGCTGAGATCAATCGCGATGGGTCATGAGCTTACGGGTGGGAAACTCGAGCTTTGAGCTGGGAAAGCCATCGCCTTTGCACGGATTCCCATGAAAAAATGTCAGCAGGAACACGCCTACCCATCTTGGCGACTTCCAATCGAGGTACGTGCAGACGTTCCCAGGAGCGCGATCGACTGAATCCTGCGCTGTCAACCGAGGCAACGTGGCACGCTGTGGCCGTCATACCCGAATACCGCGTCTATGCGCGGTGCGTTCGCTGATCGCTCGTCGTCCCACCGCTGCCAGAGGCTTCAGAGCTGCTCGGCATCCCTGGGGGACCAGGCACCAGTCCCGGCGACTGGCTGCATCTCCTGCCTGGAGGCTCGGGCGCCCGAGCATCGACCGGCGGCGGGCCAGCCGCGGGGAGTGGTCAGCCAGGTCACTCCCGGGGGGAGCGGTCAGCCAGGTCACTCCCGGGGCGAGCGATCAGCCAGGTCACTCCCGGGGCGAGCGGTCAGCCAGGTCGCTCCCGCAGCGAGCGGTCAGCCAGGTCGCTCCCGCAGCGAGCGGTCAGCCAGGTCACTCCCGGGGCGAGCCGTCAGCCGAGGCACGGCCGCGCCGAGGATGAATTACCCCGGCGCACCGCGCGACCGCTTTTCCACCGCATAAACTTGACCCAGCGGGCGGTCATTAATCACGACCTAGCCGCCGCTGCCGCCGCTGCCGCCGCGCCGGGGATTCCGAGCCGCCGGACGCGACACCGGCGAACGGCTCGGACCGCTGATCGCGCCCGGTGGCCTTCTGTGCAGGGGTGCTGCACAGCGCAGACGCGGCGTCACATGGAGTGGCGGCCCGCGCCGGCCTAGCGTCACACGGAGTCACGGCCCGCGTCGGCCACGCCGGTGCCATGTGAGCAGCTGGGCGGCGGTCGTGGGAGCGACGCGGCAGGCCTGCTGTAACCCGGTTTGAGTGGGGGCTGGGGGCATGACCCCGCGACTGGTTCCTAAAGCGGTGACGGCAGGCGACGCCTTGTAGCGGGCGACCGTGGACGCGCTGTAATAAAGTTGCGTCGCTATCTCGCCGCTGTTAGAGGAGGGGTGTAAATGAGCTCGTGTCATCCGCCAGTGCGTGCGTCGTAAAGCCGCGAGAATGGCATGCCTATGCGCATTTGCCGTGAGAAAGATGTGGGAGGGTGCGTGAAACCTTGACCGTCGGGCGAGACCGTAATCGCGGACAAACCAGTCCTGACGCTGCGTTCACTAGAGCGAACCGGGACACTGGTCCGGTCAGGATCGATTGCCCCAGGTCAGGCGAGGGAAGTCATCCTGGCACGTGTCGTGTGCTCGTCATGAAAGTCAACTAGCCGGGCCTGAGACATAAATTTTCCACGTGCCAGAGGCGACAGCAAGCACGCGGCTGTCACGTCACCGTCCATCTCGAGTTCGATGAGATTCTCACGCAATGGGACCACGTCCGAGATGTCACAGAACTCCCGTGGAGGACCGTACCCAGAACTCATACAAATGACCTCATTCCGTAATCACCGAGCGTCGTCAAACTCTTTCGAAAACGCGCGTGCCCCAGCAGCCGAGTCCAGGCCGTTCCTCTCGCCGGCGGGACCACCCAATGACGACACGCGGACGGCGCGTCCTCAGCCGGCCGACCGGCGGCGTCTCTGGCGTCACTCCACGCGCCTCCGTCAGCCGCCGCCGGCCGGGCCGCGCTCGCCCACCGGCCCCGAGGGGCCCGGCCCACCACCGTCGACTCACCCTCGTCCACCTGACGCCGGGGCCGCACCTGAAACGATGGTGTGGCTGTCAGGGCACGGCCGAGATCACGACACAGCCGGACACGCGTAATCCAGGTCAATCCAGGTCAGGAGAGACCGTGCGTAATGGAAGGAGCCGCGGCGGCGCCCAAGAGCGCTCAACAGGCGCCCAAGAAGCCCGGCTGGGAATTAACGCCGCTCGTGGTGGTGTCAAACCGAGGCCGAGAGGTCACAGCCCAGAGAAATTTGGGCAAATACGGCTATTTGATTGGGTCATTCTGATCACCATGGGTTTATTCCCTGTAACATATTCCGAATACCGTGTTAGCGGTGCGCCCTTGAATCAGAACAAATAATGCACTGGAAACAATACAGCCAGTGACTAATGAACGAAGAGCAGGTTGGGTTTCATCATCGTTATTAATGCTCCATTCCTCGTAAAACTGGTTAGTTAGGCGCAGCAGATTATAAGAGAACATAATGCGCTGAAAGCGCTACTCCGTACTTTTGAATTGCGTTATTTCATCTGCTCAGAAGGTCCTGGCGCGAGGCTTTGGAAAGGATGTGACAGCTCAATGGTCAACGCACTTAGGCCACAGGCATTTTCTCTGAGATGCTTGTTCTGCAGGACGATCCCTTGCAATTGCTTCACCTCAAGCATTTCGTAGTGGACACCCGTACAATGCTTGACCTTAAGCGCCAACGCATTCCTGACCCATGTGCCCCAAAACGTTGGACAGGACAGCACGTGAACGGGCACCCGAAGCTAGTTCCCCGAGTAATGCATGTCCACCAGCGCTGCTCTCGTGTCCCGGCTTGAGTGGTGCCAATCTTCGACAGCACGTCATCACAGCTCCGGTGACACGGAGTAGCCTGGGGACGAGATGGACCTCGCGCCAGAATTGCCTGGCAGTTGCTGTGCTCCTCCGCCCCGCTCGCCCACTGACCCAGCCCCGCAGTTGCTGGGCTGCCGCCCCGTTCGCCCACTGACCCAGTCTCCCGGGTCGCCCAATCACTTACGACGCAGCCAGACATACACTTAACCTGACAGCCAGGCACGAAACTGCTCAGACTGCTCGCGCTGGCGCCGTCTCGCCAGACCCCCGAGCTCGTCACCTGACTGGCGCTGGCAGCCCCAGACTGGCGCCTGACGGCCGGGCCGACGCCAGGAGCCAGCGCACGCTCAGGAGAGGACGCGCGCCAGACAGACCCGGCCGGTGACGTCAGACCGGCTGCCCGCCGGCCGCCATGCTAATCGGGCGCCGAAGAAGGGCGCTCGCCCGTGACCTTCCGAGGTCGGGCGGACGTCATCAGAGACGGCGGTGAGCGGCCGGCCGGCCGGCAGCCGGTGACAGGGCAGCCGGGAGGCGCGCAGCGTCAGCGGTACTGGCCAGCGGAGGGTAAGCAAGGGGAGCTACCAAGGGGGGGGGGGGGGCGCTCAGTCGAGGCATAATCGAGCTGTCCGCGCAATGCTTTGGGTTCATGTGTCTTGAAGACTTTTACGCAGCCAGTCTATAGAGTATTACAGGAAGCAATGACTGAGATGAGTAGGCCGTGATGAATAGCTACAAGCAAACAATTCATTACTGCACGTGAATAAGCGTTACCGTAACCTCTCCGCTGTCGTATCGCTTATTCTTAGCATGGGTTCAGGCGGGGGTCAGTTTGACTCCCCCTGAAGGTTTTTGCAGAATAAGTTCTCCGTGGTGGGGTGTTGCTGCGCCATTCCGATGGATTAGATATATTTTTGGACTGGCGCCCCTTTACCCTGTGTATTGGATGCGAAAGTTAGAAAATTAGACAATAAATTTAGGGTCAAGACTTGTTCTATTGACCTTCAGTTAGGTACGAAGGTCAAACCGATATCAGAACAAAAATCGTTATTTTACTGGAGACATTGCTCTCTGCGGTGTTTTTTATACTGATTGTAACTTGCGCGGCTACAGGGACGTCAATAAACATGTTATTTACGCTTCATGAAGATGAGAGGAGATCACTGACCTAAAATGACCCCAATGAATTTTTAGCAGGGACATACTACCTGTCGTAGCCCCTGACGCTTATTCAACTTCAAATATTAAAACAATCTCGAAGGTTTTTGGTTCCCTTGACCCTCTGAAGGTCAAGCAAGATAACCGACTAAAAGCAACGTCAGTGACCTTTGCTTGGACGAGGCATCTAGGTTAAAGGTGGGTACATGAGTTCTAAGGGCACTTTGCACACCGATCTGGATTTTGATCTTGTTTCACCTTATTTCACCCAAAGGTCATGACTTAGACTTCAGCACTCGACGCCAGTGAGTTCACTTCTTGTACAGACCTACCTACCCTGTGCATTTGAAGAATCTAGCTTTCTTAATGTTGATATCTCACTAGGTCCAGCTGCCGCTCCTTCCCCTTCCTCCCACCCGGGCGCGTTACATTCAACTAACCATCCGTGTGCGTGTCCAAAGGTACCGTCGTGGAAGTTATTGAACATATCAGCCCATTTCAGTGGCTAATTCAAGTTTACGTAGTGGTCTATCGCTTCAGTCTGGAAGCCTTGCACTGATACAAAAGATATGTAGATCCTTAGGCAAACTTAGGTTTTTTGTGATTAACGATATTGCCAAGTCCAGCAATATGGCCGGATAATTGACAGCGGTACACATAACGAAAGACACTGTTGTGATTGTGCGAGATGCACTGGTACAGAAGAAAAGCAATGGAACGGGGTGTGGTTCACAGCTTACGATCCAAACACACGCACAAAGGCGAAATGCCGCGAGTCCTTGTCAACAGTGTACTTAACGCTAATTCCCACGGAGGGGGCGAAATTCTGCAATAATCCCGACTCACCCTCGCAGCTCAGTGGCGTTTGAGATAGCACGTCACTGGTTGCTGGGCGTGGAGGATTCCTGAAGCGGAAAGCTCCCTAAGGATTTGCTTAGTTCCCCCCCCCCCCCCAACCGAACAGCGTGTGCCGCTGAACCACGCATGTGACGCATGCGGCGCAACGAATACGTTAGGGTTTATGACGTCACTTCGGGTCGGATCTGACAGGCAGAAGGTTTGCGGTCTTCATCTCAGCGCAACGTTAGAAATGTATTAAAACTCCTCTCATGGCATGCGCCACGCTAAAGCAAGGGGCGCATCGCTCCCGTGCGTCTTTCTCGTTCTGTGCTACTGAGAAAACGGCGAGGGAGGAGTGGTATGATCCTCCACTCCATAGAGCGACTTGTGATATAACCAGTGCAAAAGAGGCAGAACGCTGGTCCAACGTTTCGGACCACGCGAATACATTGCAGATCAACACGTCGTGGGTGCCTGGGGCGCATGGCCCGCACAATAAACGCCTGTTCCGTCCGACGCAAGCCCAGCGTAGCTCTTTGACGCCATACCTGACCGTGTACAGCTCTCCATATCAGACGTAGCCTTCCAATTGGAGGCCATTTACCAGCATTATTCAGCACTTGGATCGGTAAATTTGCGCGCGGACCTTGGCCATCAGCCGATACATCCCCCAATTAAGCACCCGTCATATTCAACCTGAGGCCGGCCGTGTGGTTTATATTACCATAACTTACCGAGCGCCTCGTCCATTCGTCGACAGCGGAGCAAGGCAGTTGGACGGAGGAGACGGCGGAGATCGGGATCGTGAGTCGTGAATACTGATTGCCGTGAGGGCCGAAGCTGGTCATGCACGTCCGGGTGTAAACACGGATCTGCCCGTTTTTGTGTTGTTCCGAGGGATTTCTGTGAAATTTCGGCAACCAGATCAGATAAAAACGCTAAGCCCATTGCACGGTCCAGACGAAGGTGTCTCTTACAAACCACCGCGGACACCTCGAGGCTTTACGAGCCAAGCGACGGCCGCGATCGGCTGAGTAGTGAGCGATGCCATCTCTTCAGAACAGGCCTGCTTTTTGCTGCAGTCTAAGCCGAGAGGAATCGGGCCAAGAGGACGCCGTAGGTGTGTGAACCAGGTTACTGTAAGCATTAACCACCTAAATTATTTGCGTTTTTCTATCGTGCGTTATCTCCAAATATAAATGATAACAAATTCATCGATTACGTCAAGTGGAATGACCAAGCTTGGCCCGGCCCAGTTCGTCATTTTCACGGTAGATCAGCGTACGAAAGCTATCGGCAGCGAACATCGTGTTCTCTTTAACGGCCATGAGGGACGGACATAACATCCTTTTCCGCCATTGGTCTGTATAGGCTTTCAAATGGCCAGACCAACACGGGGCTTTCAGATTGATGCATGCGCAGTGCAGATAGCAGTCACGTCTGTTGTCACCTCGCGTGTCCCACTTCACATACGTCTTGCTGACCTGACAGTCGATTTTTTCTTGCATACATTCTGGATGGTTTGATAGCAAAGAGAAACCTCGTCGGCGTGCTTCCAACCTTATGCATGCATGCATCATGCATCTCAGATATTCGACTTTTCTCATACATCTGCTATTTCGGACAAAATAATGTGACCTGTGACGGCGTTCGATGAGCACAGCAGACGGAAAACGTGCACGCTGTGAACAAACAACACCGGGTGATAATGGACCCTCACCTCCGTGACGGGTCGTAGCGGTACAATTGCTTTTATTTCACGAGATTTATGCGCAGCAGTTGATGAGCGCTGTAAGATTTACGACTTCATGCATGCATGTTTACTGGTTAGAAATTAACATCATTGGCATGACTGCCTACTTTATGAATTCCGGAGAGTTCTCATGCTTTCTTATCGGCCTCAACAGCTCTGAACTCATAATGCTGAAAAAGACAGGAGCTAAAAGGCCTTTTTGGCTTGTATCACATGCTGTTTGATGATGTTGTAAGTCCGGACCACAAACACGGATCCTCAAACGAGGCAGCTGCATCGGAACTTAGCGTTTTGATCTCTGTCTCTGACAGAGCTTGGGGCAGCCGCGGGTAGATTGGCACTGGATGGATCGCGGTGAAATGATGCCACGCGAACGGACGGTAATTGAAACATTGGCTGCCTCCATCTCAGCGGATCCGATTACCACCCTGGCCGATCGAACCGATCCCAGGCTGATCGATGTCAGTGGCCGACTCGACCATCTCAGCGCTGAAATAGCACTGGACGTCCGGCTATTCTGGGCGCTGGCTTTTACGCGCCTCGCGCTCTGATCGGCAAGCTGACGAGCGACCTCTACGCGCAAGTACTGCGAACACCAGACGCGACCGCCGCGCCCTGCCAGCGCCGCAGACACCGGGGTCGCCCAGCGTTGCAGAGACCGGGGTCGCCCAGTGCCGCAGAGACCGGAGTCACCCAGCGCCGCAGAGACCGGGGTCACCCAGCGGACCGGTGACCCGTCGGCCGCCACGGCCGGCTTCAATGACGGACAGCACGCAGAGCTGGCCTCATTTGCGGTTGTCACCGGTCGTCTGTGGCGGGTGCGGGCGTGCGCCTGGCCAGACGGTGGGAGGCGGGGGAGGGGTTGGGGCGGCCGGGTCGGAGCGAGACCTGACCCCTGACCCAGGACGGTCACGTGACCGGCAGGGCGGCCGTGTCTCAGACAGCATCATCCGTCACCGGCCACTGTCGCGCTCCCTCCGCTCAGAGTTACGCAAGGGTATGGTCGCGGGGCACCAAGGCGGCGCGGGGTGCGGGCTCACTAGGAGTTATTACTGGATACAATATTGCGCATTTGTGCGATATGAGAGGACAAGTCAAGAGGACGGAACATTGTTCAGGATCAATTTTGTGTCGGTATTTGGCAGCCAAAGCTCACGGATCACTTGAGTTATCCGTGCTTTAAACTGGTCGGTACAAACGTAATGCTCAAATCTTCATCGCCAGCAAAGTGCCTACCCTTCGGTTTAGAAGTTCGCAGGTTACGTCTGACGATACAGGGGTTAAGGCCTGAACAACAGGGCGTTTATTTTTTGTAAGTCTACGACGGTGAGGGGTCGGCAGCGCTTCAGCTCGTCTTCCCTCCCACCCACAAACCGGCGGCTGATATCATGGATTGAGTCAAGATATTCACGCTATACATACCGAGACTGAGTAACCGTCCAATCTGTAAGCTTCACGAGCACACATCATGCAAAAGCGTGTAACTTATAGCGCTGCGTCTTCATCTCAGAAATACATCTGCCGGTAAAGTCCTCATTCGGGTTCTTGGACTATATTCGTGTTTATCGCTTCAACAGAGCACGGATGTTTTTGCGCGTCTGAAACGTCGGTGTCACATGCGGAAGCATAGACACAGTCAATGTCCGTAAGGTTCATGAGGAAGAAGTTGATCCTTTCCTGGGGACTGGCGATGGGAAAGTCGACCTTCCTTAAGGGATCGACAAGGGACGAGTTGACCATCCCTAATGGACCGGCGAGAGGGAACCGTCGACACTGGGGAAAGCCGCGCCCTCAGAACGATACATGATCTGTCCTTTTACTGATCCCTGCCAGCCCGGCGTCAAAGGCCATACCATGTTCGGAGAAAGGATGTTGTTTATGTTGCGGCGCAACCGATATTGCCACGAAAACCGACTCGTCTATTCGGCTGAAACATGAGAGACGAATTGAGTTGGATGCTCGCCGCTTGCATCTCGTGGAGTGACCGACGTACGATACCGGCCGTGAATGTCGGGGTGTTCTGGCTCTTCAGCCCGCTGTGCGAATGCTAATTCCCTGCCCCACATCGGTATGCGCGTACGCCATTGCTTTCGTCCATGCGCTGCAGTAACTGCCGCAACAAATTGGTAAAAACAAATCGGTTGGTCATCACCTGCACATAAATCTCCGAGATAGCCAAAGCCTTGTCAACACTTGCGGATCCCCCCACCTTATCGGGAGGATTAGAGGGGGTGGGGGGTGGGGGGGTGGGGAGGCCTGACCGAGACGACGTGGATGCCGACCCACCGGCCGCAGCGGTGCCGCGGTGGCGCTGGGATGCGAACGTTTCGCAACAGCCCGGTGCAGTAGCGTATCATGACAATGGGCCGTGACGCAAGATGACCAGGCCATGGACCTCAACTGCGAGGGCCACTCGGCAAGGGCGCGCTGTTTGCGCCAGGGGGATACCACCACTGACACCCCACTGCGTGCAACGAACGTCAGAAGGAGTACGTATAGCCATTATGCATGACACGTTCATCACAAATAAATGACGGCTTCCTAGTGCCCTGCTTATTAGATCAAGACTGTTCGTCGCGCCCACAACAGCCTAGTCACGTGCCTGGTGAACGTAACACCATAGGTTTTAAGAGCTGGAAGTCCCAACGGTAGAATTCGCCTAGACTGCCGTCAGTGCGGATTTCTTTAAGAAAGAAGAAACGGGGCAATTTAAATGCGCACACACAGGTGGGTCAGATCACTTATAATCGCGATGCCATCACTCCAACTATGAAAACTGCGCAAATACACAGGGCAGGATTGACATGACAATCACGATAAAGGGAAAAGTTCACGAGGCTTCATTCTCTGGAAGAACAATGGAAGCCAAAGGGCAGTGGTATCTTACACGATTACACAAAAAGTGAAGGGACATTTAAAAGAAGAGTTTTCACCTCGTCTCCGCTGCACACGACTGGAGTGAAGCCAGGAAATATGACCAGAAGCCCTGAAACAAGAGGAGAAACGTGGTTACCATTGCATTAAGGCCAATGAGAACACGATGACGCATTACGCGATAATCAGACGGTGAGAATGTCATCCTCATGGATACGGCTGCGATAAGTCCATACATACCATGACCTTACAAGAGCGACGAAAAGGGTACCATGGAAACATACGTGCGAACAAGAGATGACAATCCACCGCTACTTATTACAGTGGTAAAGACATTACCGTACGTACGAGTCCATTTGATAAATATCGCCAGGTGGTAATTCCACGATAGCTCACGACAAAATTTGACTAATGATGCAGAATAGATTATTCATGCGTTGTCGATAACGTGGCTCAAGCGACTAATGATTCACGTAATGAACACCTTAGCCGTCTGTCGGTTAAGGTTACGCCGAGCGGATAAGAAATATAACTGGGCTAATAATGGGCTATTAACTCTGGCATCATATAGGGTTCAGGGACTACACACTCGGCCGGGGGAGATGTCTTCTTGACTCAGTGTAATGGTGATTCTACACATGTGTGTTTGTAATTATCTTGAGATGATAACAGATGTCACAAAATTGTTTGTGACATGATGAGCAGGGGCTATCCATCATTCATGATCAGACAGTTTGCAGTGTATAGACACTGAAATTGGGCGCGGGTACGCATACAAACAGCACATGCAGCCCGTTGATCGTAATGTAAGCGCAAATGTGTGTCCCGCGTTTGGACTTTTCATCGTTAGGCCAGACGGGATCCCTCCGGCATGTCTGCTTGGCCTTCGATGCGGTTTATTTCACACTGGTTGATGCCGATTCCGCGGCATTCGATGACGTCCGATGGCATTCGAGCCCACACCGCCTTGCAGTATGGGGTCGAGTACTAATCCAAATTACCCCGGTTGAACGACCCGGAGGAGTTAGTTGTGCGTAACTGTTAGTGGTAACTGGTAACCAGTGATAAAGACCCTGTGCCAAACTTTCCGGCCCACTTTCTGGCGTCACTGTTATTGAACAGCCGGCGAACCTATATACTGCCCCGAAGCATGGATAATATGCGGGGATCTGCACAGCCAATTTCCTCCCCCTCCTCGTCCTCTGAGCTCAAATCAGGCCCATAACACAATGCCAACAGTTGCTCAGCACTCTTGCACAGCCCAATACTCCGCGCAAGAAGATAATGGGATGATATATGTCAGTGTATCTCCACGTTGTTGCATATTTGTGGTATTAGGCGCCAGTTAACAGGCACATGCAATCCGACAGGCATTCTCATTAGCGCTTATGCACGCATCAGTCCATTGTGTCTGCTGTTGGCCATCCATAAGCTTCGATCTTATGTTGCACATGCCAAGCGGAAGAGAGGCATCCATTTAAAAACGCGCCTGATACCCTGGCGCTGGATAATCTGCCTATTCTACCCCATTCATTATCTCGCGCGCGTAATCTTGCATGCCTGCACGCACCGGCGCGCCGGCTCCTAGCATGGCCGGCAACCGTTCGGCAGGGATACGTCGCGGGTCGTTCCGGTTCTTGAACCCAGCCTGCACACAAGCCTACAGAATATTTCTTTATTTATGTGGGCATACATACGAACAATGTGTATACCATGCTCACTCGATGAGCGGAGCGGTTCAAGGAGGTTTTACACGGGCCAACAGTGGCACTGCGACGCGGCAATGCCTGTCGGAGCGTTTTTCGATGGGATTTTGACGCGGCGGCAGGTTTCCAGTCGTCATATCTGTGCAATTTTTATCCATGTGTATCGCTACACTTTTTTGTCAATTTCAAGATATAATGTGCCTTAAGGTAGCCCTCGTGAAACTCGTGATCATTTTCTGTCGGTAGCGTCCCGTGTGCGCTAGTTTTGTCAACCGTCGCCTTTATTTTCCATGACATTCGCGCAACAGTTGATTGTAAGAATGCAGCTGAAGCAGACTAAAAGCATATAAATTTACCCACACTGAAATGGCTGTTGGGTCATAATGACACAAACCCTTGACTTCTACAATGAACCGACGGCTACTGAAGCCCCGTCAGGAAGACCGCCTCTGATGAAGCCCCAGCGAGCCTGCTGATTGTTCGACGGTCCGCTCTAGGGTAAAGGTGGCCTGCAATGCCGGTTGCCGCCCGCCTCTGATGAAGCCCCAGCGAGCCTGCTGATTGTTTGACGGTCCGCTCTAGGGTAAAGGTGGCCTACAGTGCCGGCTGCCGCCCGCCTCTGATGAAGCCCCAGCGAGCCTGCTGATTGTTTGACGGTCCGCTCTAGGGTAAGGGTATTCTGTAATGCCGGCTGCCGCCCGCCTCTGATGAAGCCCCAGCGAGCCTGCTGATTGTTCGACGGTCCGCTCTAGGGTAAAGGTGGCCTACAGTGCCGGCTGCCACCCGCCTCTGATGAAGCCCCAGCGAGCCTGCTGATTGTTCGACGGTCCGCTCTAGGGTAAAGGTGGCCTACAGTGCCGGCTGCCACCCGCCTCTGATGAAGCCCCAGCGAGCCTGCTGATTGTTCGACGGTCCGCTCTAGGGTAAAGGTGGCCTACAGTGCCGGCTGCCGCCCGCCTCTGATGAAGTCCCAGTGAGCTTGCTGCTTGACGGTCCGCTCTAGGGTAAACGTGGCCTGCAATGTCTGCTGCCTGGCGTCGTGGTGTTTTTACCCTCCGCGGGCACTTCGTCCAGCAAGCTGTATTTCAAAAGCTGACAGTTTTTGGGCCCATGCTGCAGACATGGGCCTTTTTCTGGGTGGGCTACTGGACGACATCCCCGGCCTCCCGGCGGGCCGCAAGACATAGTGAGAAATAATTATCACCATTTGGAGCAATACTTAATTACAAGAATCTGGGAGGTAAGAGCAAAAGGTCATCAGGCGCAAACAATTACAGCAGGCGACTGTGATGAATCTGGAGCTACCTCCAGTTACATACCTAAAAGCCAGGTAGATATAAATCGATCCATCTTAACTGGAGACCGCGGAAGGGCACCTGGAACAAAAAGGGCGCATCAGTCTAATGACAAAACAGCTACGTGTCAGTAAAACAATGCCGTTCAGCCACAAGCCAATTCATTTCGTCATTCCATACGGACAGATGCAGCGATTCGGTGTCAATTCAGCCACCCCAGCGTGACACGGTCGTCGCTGCACCCTCCACCAGCCGCACGGCTGTCCTCAGCTGTCGCGATCTCAGCCTTTCGTAAGCATGATCGTAGAACCGCACCGTCGTGTCTGCGCCACCTGCTCCGGGGATGCATCTAATTTCTGCGCGTGCTCGGCCGACGCAGCGTATTATGCAAGCAGAACAGCGCCCGCAGCATGTCCCACGCCCACGAGCCCCGTTGGGAAACGTCACCGAGTGCACAGAAGGAGAGGGCCAAAGGTCAGAGCGCAGCCGCGCGGTTCATCGCCCGGGGCGGAGGGACGCGCGCTCGCGCGCGCCGACTTGGAGTCTCGCCAATCCTCCGGACTGAATCACGCCCGGGCGCGCACGTGCACACGCGTGGGGCGCGACAGGTGGCGTAATTCGAATTTGTGAGCGATATTGGTGATGATCTGAAGCGTGGTGTCAGGAGGTCACTGTCGGAGGCTTCATCGTTTTCTCGGTGGCATCAGCCACCCCTTCGGAAAGCCTGAGAAACGGCTGCATTGGGTACATGGTCGGGTGCGAATGATCCTGTCGTGGACAAGCCAGACATTCGGGTAATACACCTTTGGACAGTGGGAGAAATCAACGAAGAGCGGCGGATAAATAAACATAGCGAGGCCAGTTGATCTGCATGTATAAAGAGCGGACAAAACATGGTGCCTGAAATCATTCCTCTCGAAAGCCTGCATGTGCTTTTTTACTGTTTTCACGAGAGAGGAATACCCGCGGCTGAAGCTCTTAGACCACGTTAAACAGAGTTAGACGTATGGCACTTGCCGCCTGCTGTCGGTTGGTATATCTAGCATGTTCCAACAGTAATGTGTCATCCTTGATGCCGTGCCTCGGCGTGAGTCCGAGCGCCCTCGGTCCCGTCCGAAGTAGTTACTAGTTCGGTTTGTGCCTATAGTCGCATGTCAAGTGGCATATTCAGCGGTGAATGCACCGGTGCTACGTGTCATACCTACCCCCCGCCCCTTAGCCAATTTCGCATGCTTTTATATGGATGCGAACGAAATTTGGGTAGTTAGAAATCATAGTATGAAAGTCATAGCAACTATATTGAAAGCACACCATGCTGTAATACGTCATGTAAGAAACTGAGAGCGCCCACGACGTGCTAACATTGGGTTCACGGCAGTTGTTAGCTATCCCCCATTGGGGAATCCTGCATACGTAAATGTCTACGCCACTGCATGTCTCAATGCCCTGCTCTGCCCTCCCCGGGGTGTCACTTTGTAAACTTTTGGGGGCTACTGAGCCCCCTGCCCCCAATGCTGACTTCAGAATCTCAGAGCTCTGCTAAACTCCCTCCCCCAATGCACATGGGCAAAAAGGACATGTTAGGTCAGTGAAATGCAGCAAGTGTCTGAACTGCTGGCACACTAGATAGCTAAATGCGTCATCATCAATAGCATCATCATCAGATATCCTCATTATCACTATCACATGGGTTTCGACTTTCGGAATTAAATGTTGAAAATTTTCAACACTGAGGAATTGAGGAACTCATTCCTCAATTCCTCAATGTCAGATCAGTTTTGAACCGATATCCTCATTATCACTATCACATTGGTTTCAAACAGGCATCTATTCCTCAACATCAAATCAGTTTTCAACCGAGCACATTTTGGGGTTCTAATTTTAACGTCAGGGACGCCATCAAAGTGGCCAAAATCCCAAGAGAAATCATGATTTGGGGCAGGTTTGACCAAATTTATGACTTCAGCCCCCAACCGATTTTAGACGGTGGCACTCTCAGCCCCCCCATCTTGACCGAAGCCTTGACATCTGCACTAATCCCACTAGGCTGTGAAAGTAGCGGAGTGGTTCGGTGGGTCTGAGGCCAAGTTCCAGCCAACCCTGGCCACTCTGCTTGGCTCCGGATCCGCACATTAATGCGAACCGCGGCAACAATGACAATATATCTGTGAATAAAAGACGCGGACACGCGGCGGTCAATGTCAGATCAACGAACTGCCTGGAGCACAAAGTAAGCTGACACGAGAAGATCCGAGGACAGGCTCAACGTGTCGTGCACACCCGATAAAGATGATGCCGATTGCACGAAACGTGCGTGTACATTCACTGATGTCATATATATATATATATATATATATATATATATATATATATATATATATATGTGTGTGTGTGTGTGTGTGTGTGTGTGTGTGTGTGTGTGTGTGTGTGTGTGTGTGTGTGTGTGTGTGTGTGTGTGTGTGTGTGTGTGAGAGAGAGAGAGTGTATGTATGTGTGTGTGTGTGTTTGTGTGTGTCCTATGTGATTCTTGGGCTTGTAACAGCGCATTGTCGCAAGTGTAGTAACTAGTGAACAGTTACATCCTGAACAGGTGTATGTGAGAACATCCGGAGAGTTGCGAATCAAAGGATTCCGGCTCCGCCTTCCTGGGGTGCACCCTGATGGAGACATGGCAGCAAGCACGGTCTTAGTGCTGAGGCCCAAACCTCTGCCAGTGACGGACGTTCTCATTAGGCGATCCACCGCGGACAGCACGTGGCTTCAAACCCTTTGAGAACCCTGCCGACTCACGCGACAAACATCGGATCATTTGGTGAACCAGAGACCGAAGCAGTAACAATAACACAAAACACAACAGCTTTTGATGGGGAGAAGAATGGTTGTTAAATCGCTTGCGTTTTTGACGTTGTTTAGCATGAAGGAAATTCCCACCGGCCTTCGCTTTAATGAGCCCTGGAGTATAACGGTACGAATTGTGTTGTTTAGCGCCGCGCCCCGCTCTGCCGCGGCCTACGTCGGATCGACCTCCGTTGTTTTTCACAACTCGGGTCTCCACGCTCAGTCGACGGCCGTTTCAGGTAAAGTTTACAGTATTTTCGCCGCCTAATGTGGGTGCGGGATGCACATCTCGCAACAAGTACAGCTGGAAGGGGGCGCACACCATGCGACATTCTTGACACATCCCTGGTGAAAGACCTTTGTCGGGAGATCCGTGTCTCGATGCGGCCATAGTGAGTTGCATCAGTATACCATGCTCGTCTGTGATCAAGCCCGGGGTGTTGGACGAACTGCAGCCGATGCGACTGAAGGTGGGTCGGACCTTCACCACCAAGACAGGTGAGGTGAGGTAGTTTCTTACCTCATCACATTCCTGACAAAAAAGAACGCGTTATCGGGGTCAGTACTGCACATTACCCCTGAGAGGTACCCGGTCCAGGCTCCGTCGTAAGCCGGCGCAATCGGCCGCGAGGGGGAGAGAAAGGAGGGGTGAGCGTGCGTTGACCAATCGGCACCGGGTCGGGGGCCGTCGGTCAGGAGGCAGGCGCCTGCGAGGTCGACAGTCGCTCGACCATGGCCGTGGACAGTTACAGCGTCGGCCTGTCATCTGATAACGAGATGATGGCGATGTTTATCGGATGGCATCGACGACACGACGCCGTTCAGTGTCGTGTGTCGTCTGGAGGCGGCGGCGGCGGCGGCCGGCTCAGCCGGGGCAGGCCGTCAGGCGGGAACGTTGGGCCGCCGGCCCGCTCTCGGTACGTGTCTGGCCATGAAGGCGGTGGAGGGGGGGAGGGGGGGGTGGGGGCACGCGGGCCTTTGACTGATCCGCCCGCTGTAGCAGACATCGCTGAGCTGGGAAAGTGTGTGAAGTGATAAGCTGCAGATAATCTTGTTTTGTGTGCTCATATTTCCATCGGAATGTCGCTGGGCTAGTTTAACACAATTAGCCCGACAAACCAGCATGCAGCAGGTGGGAGACAAGAGTGGTGTTTCCATCTTACAAGAGCCGTAATGATGCCGAGCCGACAACGAACAGAAGGCGAACGGAGTGACGCCATACAAAATCTGACACTCTATCACAACTAACAGCGGCGGCACTTTCCCTTCACTCCTAGACTCGCGTAACTAATGGAAAAGTGCCCGTGAGTCGAAGAGAGAGTAAACAACGAATTACACCGTATTCAGACGCATTGAAATAACCCACTCTGCCAATAAATATCCACGCTGTGATTTCGGAGAGAGTGAAGCTTTTCGTCACACGTAGTTGTCGTTAAAAACTATGCGTCAGCCCGTACACATTTGTAAAAGCTAATAGCGTATGTCAACCGGAAGCTTTCTTCTCTGTTGCACTTTGTTAGCTGGGTTGGCGAACGGGTAGGTGATGAGACGAGCGCTTGTGCTTTAATTTTAGGGGGATGCTATGGCCTTTTTGCGCCCTGATTTCTTGGCTGTTTTCGTTCGTAACCTTTACAGCAACTGGATTGATTTTTTTAGATGTGTTGAAGGATGTCTGTTATATGGGTTAGAATTAACGCTGTGCTTAAAATCATTGTGCGGGCTTCCTTTCCTGTAAAGGAGTATATTTATTTCAGCTTATTATAGGTCAGAGTACTGTTAGAGATACGCCGCAGCTCATGCAATCCGCTATACTACCTTGGTAATTTCTAGCGGCACATCGCGGACACCAAACCATATTTACGAAGAAACTGAGTATTTGTATTTAAGGCTGTTGCCCGCTGCTTCAGTAAGGAAGAGTTGACTTCATCACCCTTTGAGAGCGATTTACGTTTTCTATCTACCCAACGATCTACTGTTACAGTAGGAACTGTTGGTTGCGCGGCATAAAAATATAAAAAAATCAAGGAGTTGGATTCCATAGTTCATTTATGCATGTTGGCGTCTTAAAAATAGGCAATATTAGGTTAGCTGATTGACCAGATGTTACTCAGTTGGCATCATCGCGCATTTAAGAGTGGTCTTTTGTGCGGACGAAGCCATTTCAAGCAGAATGCTGCTACTATTGGGCTTTCACCCTTTTGATTTACCTACCTTTAGAAATCACTCATCTTTTATGACGCACG